TAAATGCATAGCTGTCTACCGTAATCTAGGTGGAGCAACCTTTCAAACCTTTTATATGTTCCAGAAGAGTGCAAGAGCCTAGGCGTCAATTAATGGTTATATCGCGAGTTACTTTAAACGCAACGCGGTGCGGCGCGTATATCAACCCAAATTTCATTCACTAAATACAGTTTTTTATTCTTTTCTTGCGTTATTTCTGATGAATCCGTATTTCTTCACGTCCTTTATGTTCTGAAAAAACGTGTTTAACCCGCTTTAGAAAGGTTTGAAGTTATTTTCGTTTTGGCAGTTTTTTTTTCTGAAATTAACGCGTTATTTGTTAAAAATGAAGGAGCCGTTAGACAATTTGGGTCCTACATCGATATACTGTGATCGCGATATGACAACTTTTACGCGCTAAATCAAAATTTTCGTTGAAAATAGCCAAAATGTTTAGCATTTGGGATTCCGCGCGTAGAAGTCGCATCTCTTTGTAGAAATTGGTAATGTAATAGAAAATCCTCTATCCAATATCATCTCACTATCTCTAGAAGGAAAATAAGAAGACGAATGTTCATGAATTTATCTTTTTGGCCATCTGATTTGCCCCATATCGTCACTTTCACTAAAAAAAATTAGTCGAAAAAAATGTGTGTTTACATTTTAGTAGAGAACTAGATGAAGCTGGGCTTTTGTTTATTTCTGGTGTACTAATTCCAGTGCCGCGCCAGCCACTGTTCGCTTTTCTCTTCATTTCCATATTTTGGCAAATAACTCGGATGCACTTCTTCTTTTCGCTCCATCGCTTTCAATTTATCTATGGGGCGTGCGAATTACGGCGTGTTGAGAATTCAACGAGTCGGTACGATTCTCCTATTTTTCGATTATAAAAGGATATGTCACTTTTTACAGCGATTTATATCGAAAAATTGGTATTGGCATGAACTAAGATTCACTTTTTTTTTTACTGAAAGCCTTATTTTTGGTCCGCACTTCTGAAGTTTAGAGTTATATAGTTGAAAAAAATCACTCATTTAATCAAAAAAAAGGTGATTTTCATATTCGATCAAATTTTTTCTGACTCTTTTATGGTCTGAATATTTTTTTCGAAATCAGGAAAAAAAGTGAATACGTTTGAAATTGAAAAAAAGCTAACTAAGTTTTTTTAAACATTTGCGTACAAGATTTGTGGCCCTTCTGAAGACTCTTTTATAATTATGTGTAATTATTTCTATTATCATGAAGTAACTAGATTTTTATGCGGAAAAAATTGAAGCTGTATTTGGTTTTCTGATTTTAAAACGCCGTTCATTGACAAAAGTGGTTTGGCACGATCAGATTTGTCTATTTACGGTCGGAAGATCAAATTACCGCTGCGAAGTTACCAGTTTAACTGACAAGTAAAACAAAGGGAATGAGAAAATAAGACTATATACGAGCGAAAAACGCGCTAACGCTGGCTAGCAGTTGTTTTTAGTTGGTTGGCTGGTTGTGGACGGGTGAAAGGGCCAGAGGGGGGAGATCGATACTCGGACCAACGGCTTGTCCTTCTCACTCGAAAATCTTTCCCGAAAACGGACATTTGTTGGACCTGGGAGCGTAATTTCACTATCTAAGTAGAGCTCCATTCCTTTTTTTTTACGCAATAGCCATATTTTTGATGTAGACGTGAATGTAAAAATTCGCAATCATTGAGTTTGAAGAGGAAACTATCTTTTCGTTTTCATTATTGGTCTTCTTTTTTAACTATTTCCTCTCATATTGCTGATGGGATACTGACGAAAAAAGAAATTATAACAACTAAAAAATCGAGTTGGTAATAGAGAATTTTGATTTTGCGTTGTTTTTAAAACGATTAGGGAAAATACGCCAGATCAACCTTCCCTTCCAACCAAATTAGATTTCATTTAAAATGGGTACACAGAAAACCTCTGCGGGAGGGGAAATAGCTGTTTGATTGGCAAAAATCGGACAGGTATTGTCCAACAGGTTTTCTTCAAAGTTCCTTCTGCATCCCAACCAACCCTTTCTTCAACATTATTCATTGTTTCCCGTCATTTCCCACTGGAAATCGCATTGAAAAGATGTATATCTATATGTTTTGGAAAGTTAGACAATTAAATATTAAAAGCTAAAAACGAGTTGATTCGTTCTGTCATATTTGCAGCTCCTGCATTATAAAGCAAATGTTCTAGACAGTTTACAGTCTTTTTTTTCTAGTATATTCAAATAATATATCTTCGCTCACGCCGTTTGAATATTTATGGATTCTATTGGCTATTGAACTTGATAGAACGATTGTTTGCTCAAGGGTTTTACAGTCACAAAGTCACTCTTGTTCCAGTTTACCAATTAGAAAGTTCGCTTAAATTATAACGAGAAACCTTGAACTTTATACAGTAAATTTCTCCTAACCATGTACCTCAAAAATGGTTCTGCAGTTCCATAAGATTTCATCATTTTCGCATTTTTTTTTATTTATTGGAAAAGTTTACTCTTTTTGTATTCCCCGAATGATTCACCAAAATGTCAGGTGTTTCTCAATCGAATCAGTTCACATTGATCTCCTCCAGTTTTCGATGAGTCACCACTACCTTTATTCTTTAACTTGAGTACACGACCCTCTCTGATTTGTTTTCAAGTTTTGCTAGTAACTGGAAAACGAAATTCAAGGTCTCAATACTATGGACTATGTCGCAGCCGCGGAAGCGAGCAATATCGCTCGCCTTTCGCTGGACTTCGCAACCTCTATTATCATGTCATTTTTCCGATGACTCAAGCCAGCCCTGAAGTGGCTATACCTATAATATTTTGTTTGTGAATATTATGTATATAATTATCATCAAAATTTTTATTTTCGTTCTCTTCTTTTGATATGATCCGCGTTTTTTTTACGTTTTAGTGATTTTTTTTGTGAACCGAAGACAAGAAAGAAAGTGGTAAATGTTTTCACCGCGTTCTACTCAAATTTTAATTTTTTTTTTACTTTTTTAGCTCTCGCAAATCAAGATAGGAGGATAGTAAGATTCCACGAATAGTATTGAAAGAGTAGAAAATTAGACTTTATATCCTATTTATTGATAGTCCTTTAGAACACCCCGATTGATTTTGAGAGTGCAGTTTGTTAGTTAATTCTCTACACACTGTCCAGTGTCGAAAACGGGAAATGGCGCTATTGAGCAGTCAAATTTGTTTTTCCCTTTGTAGGCCTATACAGATCCTTCTATTCTTCTAGGCGTCTTTAGTCAAATTTTATCAATTTTTTCAGCTGATGTTCGATATTAGATAATTTTGAATTTTTGGGTGAACGCAGTATCCATTCCATTGCATACGGCCCCACTATTGTACTTGGAGGAAATTCACAAGTTTTAACTTAGAACTCTCCTTTCTTTCTGTGTGTAGCGGCAATCATAATCCAAGTTTTCAAATAGAAACTATCGGTTTTTCGCGCGAATGGAGTCGCCGACCGGCCAATCGACGACCAAGAAGCCGGAAAAAAACTGTTTGATGGCATTAGGCGTTAGCGATCCGCCACGCTCTTCCTTCTTAACTTTTCCGTTTCCTTTTTGTCTCTCATTTTTGCCCGTTTTCACATAGTTTTGTGGAACTCAAAAATGCTCTCCATCTTAATTAAATCGTTTGTAAAAAACTTTTTGCAAAATCATGTTTTTTATAGTTGTGCTAGTTTACAAATGTATTGTGTTATCATTCGTTATGGTTTAGTTTTGTCGATGGAGGTTCTCTTGAAAACCTTGTTTCTTTAAAAACGCTCATTCATTGATTCCTTGAAGTATTCTCAGCAGGTGGGATTGGTTTTGTCGTTCCGCCAGCGTGAAAAAAAAGCTTAAAAAAACAGCGTAGAGGTCGCCGATGTGACCATTTTTCGGTGCTTTTCCCGTTACCTGCTCGATTTGACATATGTGTGTGTCTCTCGTGGTCCCTTTTTTTTCAAAGCTTTTCGCAGCTATGAAATCCGGTTTTCAGCCCTTTTTATTCATTAGTTTTTCAGATAACAATTTTCTGTCAACAAGTTTATTCCTTCTGAAGAATAGCAAAGAAATGAATTAGAAAATTTTGACGAGGTCGAACCGGGATTCATTTTATTCGTTTTTATTCGAACTTTTATATTCATATCTCGACTCAAATTTTAAAAATATCGAAATAATGAGAAAGAAAAGATGAGAATCTTTACTTGATAACTTCAGTATTCATGTAGTGTGATTACATGCAGCGTTACACGAGTATTACCTTGAATGACTTATGGATTTTTAGAGGCTCATTTTCGTTCCATGAAAGCGTGTCTTGATTTTCACAGCTTTTTTTCTCGTTGAGATACATATCCATTCCATTGCAGCATTCTTCTCGCGCGTCCCCGCCCGAAGATCTTTAGCGCCAAAGTCGTTGGCGACGCGATTGAGCGAAAACGCGGCGACCGTCCGCCGCTCCAGCTCTGCCGCCTCTGACACCAGCGGGGGTCGTTTCCGTCGCCCAGTCTCCATCTCCTGCTCGACAATGATCGTCCCTGGTAAACAACTCTCAGCAAGGCCCCATCATCTTTCTCATGTCATTTTTAGGTCAAACTTCGTTACCTCCGGTGCCGCCGCAGGAGAAGCTCGACGAGTTGTTCGACGACCTTTTAGTGAGAGCTTTTTCGAAATTTTATGGTTTTTTCAACAGAAAAAATTTTTTAGAAGAAAATGGACCTGCCAGTCGATAAGCTGAGAATCTTACGCGCCTATGACAACGAGAAGAAGTGGAAATTGGTTATTGACGAGCAGGTCGTGAAGCAAGTCATTCCTCCCGTCAAATATCTCGAAAAGTTATCCTACTTTCACGACAAGAAAACTCTCAAAAAGGCTCTCAAGAACAAGGAGGTTTCCGAAGAGTTTCAACTTTGCCTTATTTTTTTTTCAGATCCTTAATGATGAAACGTCGACCAGTGTTTTGAGTCATATCGAGATTAGCCTACGAACCAATAGTGTCGAGTTGGTTTTTTGTAAACCTGTTATGATGATCAAACCTGATTAGACTTGAAATATATATCGAAAAAAAAGAGACAAGAAAGTAAAAGTTATGACTGGAACGGAACATGCTTCAAAAGACATGCTGAAAAAGTTGGTCGCTTTTTTATGAGGCCTATTTTTCTCGAGTTCTCAAACTCTGAGAAGTTTTTTCGGCTCTATTAAGGTTTTAACGGTTCGAAAGTGCGTTTTTTTCTTTCATACAATAACCAGTTTTGAAGTCAGTTTTCAAAAAATCTGCTCATTAGTTTTACAAAAATTACCTTTTCAAATCAATTTTTCTATAGTCTGTTCAGATTTTGAATGTCAAGCAGCTAACTCCACCCCCAAGGCTACAATATTTTTCGCGTCAATGTTTTATCTACAGATGACGATGGCCCTTTAATAAAGCTGCATTTTTGACTTCTTTTTCTATCTTTTAGATCAAAAAAGATCAAAAATTGTCCCGCGCGGTAAAACATCGACGCGAAAAGGTACCGTCTCAGCAGAGGCGGAGTTAGCTGGTTGACATTCAAAATCTGAACAGACTATATTTTCGCCAAAAAAAAATTCTCCCGAACACTATTTCGCACTTAACATATTTTGATCTGAAGGCGAGTTAAAAAGGCTGACATGAAGTTTATTGAAAAAAAAACGGAAAATCTCTCATTTATCTAATATTCGCTTTTTCGAAACTTAAAACCTAACCAAAATCATGAATTATGCCTTTATTGGACACTCAAACGATTTAGAGCTAAAAAAAAACTTCATAATTTTGAAAATTTTGGTTTCTCGAAAAAAAGAAACGACCGAACCGACCGACTTTTCCAGCATGCCGTTTTCCTAGGCGAAAACGTGCTTATCGGCGCACCGAAGTTGCTCCAAAACAGTACTAATTTTTGTTTTAGAGCATTTTCTTGCTTTTCGGACCATTTATCATTTGATCCGAAGAACACGCCGTTACTTTTTTTTCAGCTGGGTGTTTCAATTTTTGGACGTTCCCAACAATGGCCTGCAGAAGCTCGTCGACTACATGTGTCATCTTCTACCGACTTGCGGTCAGGCGCCGTCCACTTCCACAGGCCTCCAGAACTCATCAATGTTCGCCTCGTCGACCAGCGCCGGAGCCTCCGACTCACCGTCGCATCTTTCCGGCTCCGATGTCACCGGCAGTCCCATTTACAACTACAGCGACAATAGTATTCTCAAAAAGAGTTGGTATTCTCATATATGTTTTCCATTATCAGTGTGTGATTTATTATTAGATAGAAAATGTCATTCTGAAAAATTTCAAGTGTGGAAGATCTAAAAAATGTTTCTATACATTTCGTTTGAGAATTTAAAAAAAATGCGTTTAAAATGATGAACCAGAAATAGGTATTATTACCGATGTTTTTGAAAACGAAAGCTATTTCTATATACAAAAAATTTGGAGAGAAAACATTTCAGGATCTCTTGTATTTTTTCAAAAGTGCTTTCATACAAAAATGATTCTTCATTGTAAATATCCCTAGTGTGCCAAGTCCTAATAATTTTTTTTTCCTGGTATTTCCCAGAACCGTTTTATTTATTGTAAAATGAATAAACTGATGATGATGATGAGAATATTTTAACCGACCACTATTACAGGCGCAATAACTTCGGCGAAAGGAAAATCAAGTAAAAACGTAGGAGAAGCCGAGGATGATATCCATATATGTATGATGTGTTTGCGGGCCATCATGAATAATAAGGTAATTTTAATAGAAATTTATTTCAGAATTAAATTTGTTTTCAGAATGGTTTTCAATTAGTTTTCGATCACACGGAAGCCATTTATTGCATTGTCCGGAGTATTCTACATCAAAACTTGAGGTTTTTTCGATTTAATAAAATTTCCAAACGTTGTTTATTAAGGACAAAGACTTTGGTGATACAAATGCTCTCTTCGATTTGCATGGTGCAGGGCGGACAAGAGCGTGTCAGCGCGGCATTCACTCGTTTTGAGAAGGTTTGATTTTTCTCTTCTCACATGTAGATTTACCTTTCCTTCTGGAACTTTTTATAAATTTGCTCAAACAATCCCTGAAGGTTCATATAAGTTCTATAAAAGTGGCAACCCGCGCCAGATTCTATTTTTTAAGTTAAGTGAAATTCGAAAAGTTAGGCCTAAAACTTGTATTTCGAAAATTCGAATGAAATCTCAAAAATTAAAAAGTTTGCGCAGCCATTACTGGGATCTTCATCTAGACATTCAGAAGATGTTTAAGCGAATTCGCAGAATATCTCAAACCGCCAATTAAACAGACCTCCTCTGTCAAGCCTTTTTATGCCAAAATTTCGTGTTTGCAGGACTTTCGGGAACCTCGACGGTTCTGGACCATGATGTACTTTATCCACCATCAACCGGGTATCTCTCAGCCTTTTTTTCTGTCATTTTTGAAGTTTCATCTTTTCAGAGTTTCACGTTGAATTTTTGTCATCCGCTTTGCAGTTCTTCGACTATTTTGTGAATAATGTCGACGATTTGAACTTGCGTGTCCACCTACAGTATGAAATGACGGCCGTTGGACTCGACAAGTACATTGAGGTTATCGAAATGTTCCCGATCTACGCTAATATTTTTTTTTCTAGACAATGGCCGACTGCAGTTCGGATGAACTTCAGACTCGGATGGTCGTCTATCAGAACAATGCGATTGACGTCGCTCAGTTGCTCGATGATTCAAATCAGAAATCAGAACTGCTCGACGAGATATCCGTCGTCAGATTGCGTCTTTCACATGTTGGTATAATCTAGTACGATCACGTCTTGAGCGTTTTGAATATAATCATCGAGAATAAATTCCGAGATGAACGTCGGTAGATTGACGACCTTGAGAAAGTGCTGCTCTTTAACCGCGCCGGTCTTGGCATGCTAAAAAAAGTCGGTCGCTTTTTTTTTGAAAATATTGTAGTTTTTTTTAATTCAAAATTGTTTGAGTGTTCTAATTGCGTAAATTTCTCGATGGGTTAGGTTTTAAATTTCGAAAAACCAAAACATTGGCGGTCCAAAATAAGATTTTCTGTTTTTTGTTTCAATAAATTTCAGGTCAGCCTTTTTAACTTGACTTGAAATCGAAATATGTTAAGTGCGAGATAGTGTTTAAAAGATTTTAAAGCACTTTTTGGCCAAAACAGATATATTCAAGAAATTGAATGATTAGAGTTTTTTGAAAACTGATCGCCGAACTGGCCATACTACGAAGAAATACGTATTTTAAAACCGTTAAAACCTTGATAAAGCCCAAAAAACTTTTCAAACTTCGAAATCTCGCAAAAATAGACATCTTAAAAAATTGAACGACTTTTCCAGCATGCCGCCGGTCTTGCGTTTTCCTTGGCTTTTATGAAACACGAATAGAATGTTCAAAAATCATGAATCATCTGGCTTTCAGGCAAACGAGCGGGTGCAAGAAGTAGAGGCTAAGTGGATCACTGACAAGGCGGCGCTGGATCGCCGGCTCTTGGATTTGGTCAATGAGCGCGAGAAAATGGAGCGAGACTATGAAACTCAAAAGGGCACTTGGACTCGGACGCTTAGTGGGTTTTTTCAGAGTCTTTTTTGCGTTGCTAAAAACCATTACGTAAATTCTATTAATTTTTCAAATTGTTTTCGAAGCTCTTGATAGTTTAATCCTCTCAAAAATGCTTTATTGCCTTTTCACTGTTATCGTAGTTACAAAGTTATTGTATAGGTCGAGAATGAATTTTTAAATCAAAATTCTATCAAGCTTTTTTACGGCTCAGTCTTCAGATGAAAAGGATCGGACCGCTCGCGAGGAACGATCACGCCTTGAACAGAAGATTACTGAGCTCGAGTCGATACAGAAAACTATGCAAGGTAAAGAAAGTGTCTGGAACGAACCTTATCTAAGGATTTTAAAGCGGGTCTACAAGTGCAGCAGCAGACAAAGTCACCGCCGACCCCGCCCCCACCAGCTCCTGGACCGCATCGAGACAGCGAGGAATCTTTTTCGCAGTTACCTCCTATAGGTTTTTTTACAAGTTGCATGTTACAAACTAAAAGAACAGTACTACTAAACCACGAGTGATGTCTACCTTTATCACACTTGTAGTAGTATTTCAGTTTTGCCATTAGTTCAATTTTACTTCGCTTTTATAGTCAATTTTGCCCGACTTGGAAGGCTTCTTGGCGGGAAACTAGAGGTCGAATCCAATCAAGGGATAAATGTAAAAAAAAAGACATTTCCTTTTTCCTGGCCTTCTAAAATCATAAAAACCAAAATTTTTTTCAAATAATACCAAAGTAAGGCTCGAAAAAGAGGCGCGTTTGATTTTTACCATAGCTGATGCACCGTTTCAACACAGTTAGGCCTCAGATTTTCGAAAAAAGCAAGGCTGGGTCACCAAGCTCAAAAAACAGGGTTTGAATAATAGTACACCCGTTGAGCATGAGAATCACCATTACCAATCGACCTATCTTGCCTCTCAATTTGGGAAGGAGTGACTTTATTTCAATTCTACTTTACAAGTTCGCTTGCATTGCATTTGCATTGAATGAGGTTTTCGGGAGGAAGTCGCGACAAACTAACATTTTTGTTCATATTTTATTTTGAAGTGGGAAAAACAACACGATTGCAGCAAGCGGACCTCCTCCGCCACCGCCACCACCGCCGCCGCCTCCGCCGATCGCGTCTGGAAGCGCACCGCCGCCACCGCCACCTCCTCCACCACCAGCTGGAGTATTTGGCCAAAGTGGCATCCCACCCCCGCCTCCGCCTTTGCCAGGAACCTTTGCTCCACCGAGCAATGACGTCAAGACTATCAAGAAAATCTACCAGACCAAGTGTGTCAAAGCTTTTTTTTTAGAAATAAAAGAAAATCAATTTCATTCCATCCACGACATTTGAATTTAATTTTAAAATTGTTTACAGAAACAAGCTGCCACAGTTGAACTGGACGGCCATGAAACCCAACCAAGCAAAAAATACAGTTTTCGAAAAGCTCAATGACGAGCAAATTATCGAGGTTTTACACGAACCATTTACATTTAAGAAAAATTTTTTTCAGAAAATCGATTTCACCAAACTCGAGGACATGTTCAAAATGGCGCCCAGTGCCAACCTTGTTGATCATGGAAAGTCGGAACTGTTGGCGTTGAGCCAAGTGAGCCCCGGATCGACAGGAAGCTCAGGCTCGGCGAGAAAAAATACCCTTCTCGAGACGAAACGCCTGCAGAACGTCGGTTCGTATTTATCTGTAATACCAGACAGAAACTTTAAAATACACTGAGGTTTTGTGGTTATGACATATCGTGAAGTATTGAAAAAATGAGCAAGTTTCAGGAAGACTACGTTGGGATTTTCAAATCTAGATAGCACTAGCTTTCAAGAGCTTTTTAGGAGAGAAAAAAAACGCCAGTCCTCTGATTGTTGAAAATTCAAAAATTTTTTTTTCCTCAATTTTTCAAAATTTCTTTTTAAACTCATGAAATTCCCGAAATTTTTTTCTTCAATTTTTTTAAAGTTTTTATTTATTCAGTAAAAATATTTTTTTACAAGCGTTTTTTTCACATAGGAATTTTTCTCCTTTTGCAGCCATCACTCGTCGGAAAGTTGCAATGGATGCTCGCAGCATAATGGCGGCTGTACATCAATTGGACCTGAATTCCTTACCTGCTGAGAAGGTTTACCTGTTTTTTTTCCGTTAATAATTTTCATATTTTGAAGGTGGACATTTTGTCGCGTATCCTGCCGACGGAGGAGGAGAGGAAGCTGTACGCCGAAAAGAAGGGCGATCTCGACGGCCTCAGCGAAGAAGACGTTTTTGTTGCCTCGCTGTGCGAGATTGAGCGCCTCGAGCACAAGCTCACCGTCATGAGAGTCATGGCGGACTTTGATGAGAGCACCGCTTTGCTCGAACCTGTTAGTTCTTTTTATTCTTATTCGCCCTGCTCAAAGAAGTTAGAACTTTGTGTGCGCCTTTGCGTCGATGTGTTTGTTAAAATTTATCTTTTTTTTCGTATCTGATAACCCTGTGTATTTCAGCAGTTGACCCATATCACAGCGGCATCAAAGTGCGCTCGCGAGGCAAATTTGTTCCACAGCGTGCTGGAAGTGATTCTGGCGTTTGGAAACTACATGAACAGTGGCAAGCGGGGCGGCGCGTACGGCTTCAAACTCGCCAGTTTAGATTCGGTTTGCTTGAAATTGAAGAAAAAAAAAGAAGTAAACTGTTAGAAGAGTCACCTTGTCAAAGGGAAACTAGACTCAGTTTTTACTTTTTCCATTTCAAATTTCGCAGCTAGTTTTCTTGGTAAAAAAAAATGCATTCTTTGCAGCTGGCCATTTTGAAATCTCCGACAGACAGGTCGCTGACCTTGCTGCACATGATCGTCGAGACGATGGAATGGTCGTTTCCAGAACTCCTCAAATTTGGAGATCAACTCAAGTTCGCGGACAAGGCGGCCAGCGGTTCATCGGCTTTTTTTAAAACATGACTGACTTATCTTTTTTCAGTTCAATGGGACAGCGTGAATGCCGACATGAAAGAATTGGAAGCTGGTTTCCAGGTGAAATTTTTTTTTAAAGATGAACTTTCGCAATCACCCGGAAGATTTTTTTTTTGCGCTTTGCGAGATCGAATAATTTGATTTTTTTTGCAGACAGCCAGAAACGAACGAAAACTGAAAGGAGCCGATTGCCCCCAAAGTCTGGTGAAGTTTTTAGACGCTCGCGAGTCGAAAATGTCTCAGCTCCAGGAGGCCTATAAACTCGCAACGGTTTGATTTTGATTGGCATCGAAGTAAAAATTGACAATTTTTCAGAAGACGTTTGAGCAGTGTGTCGAGTTTTACGGGGAAAACGCCAAATCCACCGCCCCCAATGTGTTTTTTGGCAAGCTCGCCCAGTTCACGGCCAATTTTGCGCGATGCAAACAGGAGAACGATGCGCGTGTGCAGAATGAGAAGGTTTTAATTGAAAAAAAAAGCTTTTTCGAATTTTTTCTGCCCAAAAAGTGCCTCTAAACTTTATTTCCTTTCCTTCAGAAATCATGTTAATTTTTTGGGTTCAGAGACTTCGCGAAGAATCGGAACGTCGTGCTAGAGCTGCCTCCAAGTCTTCTGGCCAGCAGGACCTGATGCTGGAGCTAGCCGAACGCGTTGGGGGAGGAGCTCGTCGAATTCGTCACAAAATCGAAAGTCAGCAGATGGGACATGGCGACTTCGAAAAGCTAATGAGTGGTTGGTTTCGAATTATTTTTGGCGAATAAAGATAGCAGTAGTATCGGAATTAGCACGAACAAAATTGCTATATCAGAAAGTTAGACTATGTATGCTACTTATTGGTTCAAAGTTAGCATACACATATCAAATTTGATAGTGCACTTCGTTAGCTAATTGTGTGGATAATACGCCGATCGAGCAGTGATTGACCTTTGCAAAATACATTTTGAGCCCGTTTTTTGTAGGATTGAAGCACACCGGTGGGAAAACGCCGCAACGACGGAAAACTTCGTCGTCCCCTTCTCCAGCGCCACGATCGTCTGTTCCACCACCAGTGGCTCCAAAGTCGCGAGTCGTCAACGTTCAACGAGATCGCCAATGATTTTCGCTATGTAGACTCAAATAATTTAGTCTAGCTAGTTTAATAATTTTTACTTCTTTCGATGCTGCGGGGACAGGCTTTCAAACGGGCTTTTTGAATTGGAATTTAGCAGTTGCAGAGTGTAATTTTTTTTTTCGTTTCACACTGGCCTTACTTTGAGAAAATATTATCGTTTGTTTGAATTTTTCCACTAGCTGCCTGTTGATGTTTTTTTGCGTATTCTCAGTGCTTACTGACTCACAAAAAGTTTCTTTTTTTTTCTCTGTTGTTTTCTCTTATATGGACTGATTTTTTTTGTTGCCTCTGCACTCGGTGGTATTTGCTTTTTCTATCACGCTCTTGTAAATTATGGATTTGAAAAGTTTAATAAAAAGAATTATTAACAATTGATTTCTTTTCTTTTCATCAGTTTTCATGCTAAAGTACTTGTTGAAATAATTTGAAAAAAAAAACTTTTCATTTTTCCTTCAGATAGTTTTAGAGGAAGTCCATTAAACGGAGGGCGAAATAAGTAAAACGTTGAACCATTCGTTTCTTGGCGGAAAATTCATCATTTTTGTATAGAAGACATGGAAGATTCAGTATCCGGTCTATAAACAAAATAAAAGTGAGTAGTGAACTCAAAGGAAACTTGACTAGGAATCTATGCGGACTCTAAAACGCTGATCAAGTTCAAACTTTGTTGGTTTATAGACCTAGATCAAGATAATTGAAAAAAAAGAGATATATCTGCTACACCCGCTGAGGCACCGAGAAAATTTTTAAGCCTAATATGTCCGTTTTCATCAATACTTTTCTTTTGTGGCTCCATTAGGAGCTTTCCAGAGTGGTCCTTGTAGGCATAACCTCAGCAGGTCTTGAAGGTTACCCTCTAGAGGACACGCTAGTCGTTTATTCTTATGAAATCAATGAGAAGAAGCATTTCAAGCGGAAAAGTCAATAAATTAGCGTCATTTGAAAAAAGGATTAATTTATCAAGTTTCATTTAAAAAAAGTTCAATTTTCAAATCTGAACAAAAATCAAAAGGCCTCTATAAGGACCACTTAAGCTTCAGCGGCTACGGGGTCAGACCCTAAACCCATACAGGAACTACCTAAATTTAACCCATGTTGGGAACTCTTTTTCGTCTCCTATGAAGGTTTTTTCCTCTCACCCCTATCTATAGGGACCGCTCTGACGTTCTTCTAAACTAACCTTTTAAGTATAAAAGCAAAGCAAAACAAACGAGCAGTCAACGTGATATGCCATGACGAGACGAGTTTGGATCTTGCCGTACTGCTTCAGTGCGACGAACAACAACAGAATGAAAGAGACTGTTGCGTAAGAGGTACTCAACGTCCAGTACTGCAGCGGGGTCAGCTCGAACTTGAATGCCTCAGCTTCGACCTCTTTTTTCGACGTCCGTTTCAGATTTTGTGCTAAAATTTACTTCAGTAAATTTTGATAATATGCTCTTCTAAGACTTTTTCCGGAATTGAAAACAGCCGTCTTAGAGTGAAAAATATGATTGAATGTTTTAGTGTCAGAGATGATTTTGAGTTTCAATTTCTAGGATTTTTAAATGAATTTTCATGATGAAATATTGAAAGAGAAAAAAAAAAGAAGTTTTGAAGGAAATTTTTTTGAAGGTCGCGCAAGACGTTTGCAGCGATATCGCTCGCGGCTCGAGAGCGGAACAGTTCATAATGTTGGGTAAATGTGCGAGCACCAACTTGACCAGTCGAGCTTGGTGATGTCCGAGCAACTGGCGCCCTTGCAACAACAGACTCGGGCCACGATGCTTGCGCCGCTTGCCAAATGCACTGTCGAATCTGCACAGGTGTTTATCGATGAGCAACTCCTGTACAGATGATATCTTTTTAGGTGAGTAATCTGTCGGAAGTTGATTTTTATCCGAACCTAACATGTTCACCGAAAAGTTTGTTTTTACTTGGTAATTTTTTCGTTTCTGGTGAATTTCCAATGAAAAGATAAACAGAAGGTTTATAAGCTGACAGGCCGGCCTTAACACAAGCTTAAAGCTGAGGAAGTTTTACAAGTCTACTCACAATTCATCATGATCAAATTTTAACTAACTTGTGAACTTTCTATTTCAATTTTCGACCTACCTAGAAAATTTGACGAAATTTTGTCGTATGACGGCTATTGCACTCGTGTTTCCCCACTGGTTTTTGTACTGTAATATTTTACTTCTGATCTTTGCTTTGCATTTTTTATCGCTTTCTAAGCGAAAATAAACCAAGAGCTAAATTTTGCTTCTGAATTGTGTGTAGAAAACGGGGAGTGTTTTTTTATTCACTCGTATTAAGTCATAATTGAAAAAAACCAAGAATAGAGGAATTCTACAAACTTTCAATACAACAGGCACGAGTTCTTGATCGGGAATACATCCGAAAATTCTCTCATCTTTAACCTGGACTTGAAAACACGAATACTCCGAAAAGAGACAATTCGTCCACAGCTGCAAAGAAAACTTCAACTTTATTGAAAGAAAATCCATATTGTATAGCTAAACGTGTAATTTTTTTTAACTTGCAGTCATGTTAGTTGCATCACACAGCGATGAGTTCACCGGGTCCGCATTGCGCTGTATTACGGCAGTTTTAGTGAAATTGGTTACAAATGGGCAAATTCCAATCCGAGATCTCGAAAATGAACCATTTAAAGAAAAGGTGATATTCATCTCACCCGCACTCCTCACATTTCACAAAAATTGCTACTAGGGTAATGAAGAAGAGAAACATTTTCGATATAAAATGACTCGAAACAAAAGCCGTAAAGTACACGTTTAGATCTTCTTTTTTTGACTATCAATGACATTGCAATGTTTTAAAAATCGTTCAAAAAACCATGCGGTATTTATCCCGCGCTTTGTGTGCAAACACTTCCGAGCCCCGCGAAATCCAAATTTTAGGCATGGCTATTGGGAACGCCTCCTTTTTCTCTCCATTATTCCAAATCAGTCGTTTTTCAATTTATTTTTTCTTTAGGGTTTCAAGAAAAGCCTACCGAGGAAAAATAAGTATATAAAAATTTTTTTAATATTGTTCTTTGAATGTCTTTTTTCTCGCTTGTTTTCTGCATGATCATAAAAATTGCGTTTAACGAATATAGGCAAGCAAACTGTATACTTGATTAAAAATAATATTTTAGAACTGGATGGACTCCAATTATGCAACTCCTTTGAGAACACCAACCCAGAAAAATCGAAGAAAAGCGATTTCACCTGTTACGCGGAAGTTTTCTTCGCCCTATGCGGTTTCAATTATTTCACTCATCTTGTTCTGAATTTTTTTTTCCAGCATGTAGATTTGGATCTGGAACCGGGAGAACTTCAGAAGATAATTATAGATCAAGAAACTATCATTACAGATCTTCGAGAAACGCTTCAGGTTTTTTAAAGGACAAATATTTTTTTACTCGAAAAAAACATTTTTTCAGCAACAGCATTCGGAAATGACGACGAGTGCTGGTCTGAACGAGAGTATCATCATTGAGACAAGTAACCGGATATCCACGAAGGAAAATCGTCTTTACCGGTTGGATAATTTTACTTTCAGGTCGCTAACGTTCATTTTTTTTTTAGAAGAGAAATGTCTGTACTCGAAGCTGAACTCGACTCTGCAAGAAGAGAAGTCCGCACCTTGACTGAGAAATTGCGCGCCCTTTCCAGTGCAAAAAGCAGTGTTGTACGTTCAAGGTTAAAATCTCAACTAATGTTGTCGTTGTACAGGACGATTTACTTGAAAAACGGGAAAGAGACTTGGCAGAACTCAAGGAAAGTACATTGGAGATGACAGAAAAAGTCAATCAGTTGGAAGAGAAGGTTGAACGAAACATATTCATGTTTAGATATCCGATTCAGGTGCTGGAAAAGGAGCGAACTGTGGCTTCCATCACATCCGAGTTTTACGCGCAGAGCCTCGAGTTGCAATCACTACGGGCAGAGTACCGTTCCAAGATAGCAGCCATAGAAGAGGAGTTTTCTAAGACTCGCAACGAACTGGACGAGAAAAGGTTTGACCCGAACCTCGTCCATGACAGTTGAGCATGAGAAAAAAAATGGTATGAAAAGAACACCAGCGAAAATTCAAACGGCGACTTTTCCGATTTTTTCATATCGTTAGGGAACTTTCCGACGGCCACCTTTCCGACGAAATTTTTTCCGACTTTTTTCCTTTATATTTTTCGGTTTATAAGACATCTATTTACTTTTTTTTTCCTATGTCTTTGTGTTTCAATCATGAACCAACTACCTACTTAATATAGGAAGATTTAAAACCAAGATTTTATCGAGAAAAAAAGTCGGAAAAAGATTCGTCGGAAAGTTCCCTAGCGATATGAAAAACTTGAAACGCGAGAGGCGAAGAAGGGGGCGGGACGCTCATTTCGTATCTATTCTTCTAATTTTTTTCGATGCAAAAATTTGAAAAAAATCAATATATAATCAAAAATGATATGTGCCCCGCCTCCTTTTTTTGCCTCTCTCGCCTTTCAAGTCAGCAAAAATTTGACTATAAATGTAAATTCAATTAATTATTCGAACAAATTTAAAAATTTTTTTACTGCTCAATTTTTCATGGACGTTTTGCAAGTTTTTTTGAAAAATCTTTCGCTTTTATTAAGGATTAGCGTCGTCAGGCTCACAGAGGAGAACAAAAAAACAACAAATAGCCCTGCAAAATGCACGCGAAGATGTCGCACGGTACATTGAACTGGCGCGAAGAAATGACGAAGAAGTGAAGGAAAAGGAAATTGAGGTTTTTTTTTTGAATTTTTGTACAAAGAAGAGAAAGATATGCAGGAAATAGAATGTACAGAAAAGCAGTTTTCAAACATTAAAATGTATCAATATTTTTTCTTTTCAGCTCCGCCGAAGTCTGGAACAAGCACTTGTTTCAAAAAACGAAACAGCCTCGAAAAGCGTTCTCAACGAGCTGAAGTCTATATCGACGCATATAATCAACATCTCCACCCCGAAGGTTTTGAAATTTGTTGACTTTTTTTACAACTTTTTTTTAAAGTATACTTCAAATTAGGTTTTTTTCAATCTTTTCTCCATGTGTTTTTCGACAAAGTTTCGATTTTTCAGCGTACCATTTTGGAAGAAGGAAGTTTGCAAGAAAGAGTCGGGGCTCTGACTGCAACCAACATGTTCTTGGAGGGAAGCCTTGCCGATTTGCGACAGCGAAATGAGAAGCTTGAGCAGGTTTCTCTCTTCATATTTCTCAGAAGAATATTGGACGGATCAGGAATTGGAGATGTCGCGCGTAAGGACACAAGAAATGCAGGAAGAAATCAGCGATCTCCAGAAGAAACTTGGAGAAATCGAGGGCGATTCGGGCAAAGCAACCGAATATTTGCGAGAAAATATTGCCAAGGTAAAGCTTTGATTTTTGAGTTTTTAGAAAAGGGCACATAGGTACAGAACTTAGTCAGGCCAGGAGAAAGGCTCAAAAAAAATTTTGGAAAATTAGGAACAAAATCATTTTTCAACCTCCGGTATTTTCGGCCCCAATAGTCGAAGAAAAGGGTCTACTCATGTATGAACCAAATGGCTGAATACTATTATTTCACTAAAAGAAAAAGTTACAGGATTTTACAGTTCCCAAGTTTTTGAAGGGAATTTTTTGCGTGTGCCATGATTCAAGCTGCTCCATTGCAAATGTAAAGAAACATGAAAGCTTTTTGAGATATCACTTCAAATTTTTTTTTCAAAGAGCAATAGTTCACAGAAAGAAATATTCTAAACAAAAACTTGCCGTTTTGTTGAGATCAAATGGATTCATTGTGAAAAGATCGTACAGAAGAGTTCAATTTTGGCTTTTTCCAGTTAACACTTCAAAAGGCGGATATCCGGTGTGAGTTAATGGAAGTTCGTCGGCAGCATGAAAAATGCAAAGAGAGTGAGGTATAGTTGCATTCTTCTAAAACGACTCTTATCATCGAAACATTTTGAGGAGTGCAAAGATGCCGAGTTGGCCCAGCTTCAAGATGAACTTGCGGCTGTTCGTTTGGAAAAGAGTTCATGTATTGAAGAGCTTCAAAGAAAAATTGAAGGTCTGGAGCTGCATGAGAAGGAGCTCGACCAGAAGGTTTTTTTTTCAAAATTTCTCAATTTTTTTTTTCTTGTCTCTCAGTTGGAAGAACGAGCTGAGAAAAGCGCAGCAGACGATTCACTACGCAAAGAGAATTCCGAGTTGAAGGTTTTCGAATAATGAAAGTTTCATCAAAGTGACCAACACTTTAGGCGGAGATTATTCGGTTGCAAGGGAGAACGGCTCAGTTTGTACACCACCTTGAAATGTCCGACTCTCAGTGCACAAAGTACAAGGTTTGAGTAGAGATTATGCATTGGAAGAGAAAAAAAAAATCATTTTCCAGGAGAACCAAGCTTTGACGGAAAAAAGAAGGGCGCGAGCGGAAGAACAGTGCAGCAAATTGACGCTGAAAGTAGTTCTTGTTTTTTGTTTTGAATTTTTAGTATGGTCATGTTCAGATTGTTGAGCTTGAACGCGAGGTCGAGCGGCAAAGATCTTCGGAGAGCGAGCTTGCCACATTGACGACAGATAACGAAAGGCTGAAGGCGAAAATCGAATATTTACAGGTATCCTTGCGGCTGTGAACCTTCAATTGAAAGTGTTCTCCGTTTTTGAAAAAACGTTTAAAAATAAATGCAACAAAAATTTTCCCAGTCTTCTAGTCTAAATACGCCCCTGTGCTTACAGCAACTCTCGCGGCAATATTTTTTATCGTCATTCTTAAATAGCGCTACATTTTCCGATCTTTGTTCTTTGGAAAACCCGTACTTTTGCTTTCAGGAAGAGCTGCAAGAAACACACATGGACTACCGAGAGGAGCTGACCCGATTGGCGAGACAAGTCTCAGAAAGCCGGCAGCAGGCCGCCCAACTACAGGACGCCGAGTCCTGCGCGGCACCCAAACTCGGCGAGCTTCGACTTGAAGTCTCTCAGAAGGAGAGCGAGCTGCGATCCAGCCGCAAACGAATTGAGGAGATCAAGGCCGACAACTGCAAACTCCAGGAACAGGTCTGAGATGACCTATCCTTTCCTTTTGAAATTAGAAACACCCCTGTTTAAGGAGGTCAGTCGTAGTACTATAATTCATGAAATCTTTTTGACTATAAAAGGGAAAATCCGGCTGTTTTCGAGAGGTGTTCGAGACGGCTTAGTAGTATGTACTCCTGCTACCTAGAGAGGTACATAGGCAGGCGCTATGAACGAATTGCAATCGGCTTCCGGAACAGACATCACAATATTGACCAGCTGCCTTAGCAATGCGCGTGCGTCACTATCGAAAATGACCTGAAAGAATTAAAACTTCTGGTTCAAATTTGGCAACGACCACTTTTAAATCTTCTAGCTCACGGATGTCCGCCAGCGCGAGTCGACAGTGGCGGAGGAAAATGCACAGCTAAGAAAAGGCTTATCTGCCGCTGTCGCCAAAATCGAAGAGTACAAAAGGGAGACGGAGGACGCACGCGACGTATCCCAAGGCCTTGCACATCAACTTTCTGACAGCCAGCTGAGAATCGTCAGTTTTCACCATTATTCTTCTTTAAATTATCCTCTCTTTTTGCAGACCAAACTCGAAGATGATCTCGCCGAGCTGTCAGACGCTCTGAAAGAGAAGGAACGTTTGGAGAACTACCTGCAGTCGCAGATCAATGTCAAGCAAATGCCGAAAGTCAGCCGTAGGAGCACACTGCTGCGGACCGTCAGCGAGACAAGCATGGTTCGCTCACCAATGTTCTGAAAAAGTATCAAAGGTTTTTTCACTTCTTAGGACAGCGTGAGTTCCTCAGCCGTCGAGCAATTGGAGGTCGAACGAGCCAAGTTAAGACAAGTTCTGGAAGAGAAGAGGAAAAGTGAGAGAGTAAAGTTTTACTTCAACCAGTGAATGGTCCGGTGGTAGTGGGACTTCCGAATGAGACCGAGTTTACTAGATGTAGTTTTTCACGTTCATTTCAAATCTGGTTTCACAAACAGCGGAGGATGTCTATGAAAAGAGTTATGAACCCTCAAAAGTCGAAAATTTTAGGGTCTCCGATTGAACTCATTTTTTGAGGGAGTATAGATGACATTTTCGACTTTTGAGGGTCCATAACTTTTTTCACATGTATTCTAGGAAGTCCCACTGCGACCGGAACTCATTCCTTGGTGAGATAATTGTAAACTTGATTGAAAAAGTTTTGCAACACTTTTTATTCTTTAAAAATCGTTTCATTAGATCAATTTTTTGTCACACTTTTGTTTTTAAGAGTTGAACGCATTCCGCGACGCCAGCTCCAACAGCTCAAGTACCAGCGACTGTTGCTCAGAAACTGAGAATTCTAGCGGCTTTGAAGGGTCCGAATCAACGCACCGAAGTGAACCTCTGCGTCAAATTCAAAACTTCGAGATTCCTCATAGGTTTAAAAAATTATTATCTTATGAAAATCATTTCTTTTAGTAACTCAAATGTTCCGGCAGAAGAAAAGTCGAAATCAAAGTCCCTCACCGGGCAGGGTATTATGCGTCACGACATTCCGCACAGGTGGCTTCTTTTTCAAATTCCGCCACTTTTGAATTTTTTTTTTTTCAGGTGGAAGGATCTGCGCCACATTAGCGTGTTTGCAATGAAATGCGCCGTTTGCTTCATTGGAATTCCTACGGTAATTAGCGTTTTTTTTTTTAGAATTTAGAATAGGATTCAGGATTAGACGAATATTTCATGATTATCTGATTTTATGATTTCATGAACAAGTTTATATAATTTATTTTTGATTATTCATACTAAAAGTGTGCTTACTTTTTTTTTTTCCATTTCTACATATTTAGTCACCTATTTCTTCTTTGTTTCAAAATAGTTTGTTTATTTTTTCTATAATACTACCAAGTGCTCTTGTTACTCCTTGAAACCCCGCGTGCGCACTTTTAGCAACAAACACGCGCCGCCGGTACCTGAGTACCTTTCCAAATTTCAATTTCAGTTCGGGAAAGCAAAACGGTGCGTGCACTGCGACGTACAGGTGCACGCTTCGTGCTCATCCCGTGTCGTCAACACCTGCGGGCTGCCTGGTCAATGGGCCAACTACTACTTGGAAAATCACACGATTAGTCCAGAAGACCGGAGTGGCCGCATGAACGGCTGGGTTCGCATTTACAGGTGAGAGTCACTCTTGGCGTAGAAACATAAAGAAAACAAGAGGAAAAAACCACTTATAGTATCAAACTAACTAGTCTTAGAGATTTTAGAGGAATCCCTATAGGTGAAAAAAGCCCTTATAAGGGCCGAAAAAAACTTATAAGGGTAATTGCCCCCTATAGGGGCCGCTTACTAAAACCCTTATAAGGACCACTTCTGCAAGCTTTGTTGACCACTATAGTGGTTGTTGAAGTAGTCCCTAGAGGGGATCCTCCAAGGACCGAAAAAGATGCCCCTATAGGGATCACTCTAGAGAGAGTCGGAGTTAAAAGTTTCCCTTTTTTCCAAGTCACTAGATAAGCTTTTTTTTTGTCATTTCGGAAATGCGTCATTGTAGAGATGACGCGCCGTCTTCAACCTGGCAAGCGGTTTGGGCTATGATGGATGAAAACCGAATTTCTTTCTACGATAATGAGGGCAGCGATCTCGACAAGGCAATGCTGCAGGTGACCACTCGTTTTTCTCGTGTGATTTAAAATGGGACAGTTTCAGATTAACTTGCTGCAAGAGCAATGGACCGTCAGAGCTGGGACGGAGAATCCAATTCGCTGTGAGGAAGCTCGAGGGCACAATATCGTTCAGCTCAAGACTCCACAGTGCGTTTTGAAATTTTTTGAAAGAGTTGTGTTGAAAAAACTTTAGATTCTCTCATTCTCTGGAAAAACATTTCAATTGCAATATAAAAAAAAACTACGAAATATTGACTATAAGAAATATAAATTTTGAGGCGAAGCGTTTTTCTTCTTGCTTCGTCGACGCAGATGGCGCGTCGTTGGGCCGACTGCCTGAACAATGCGCACAAGAGGAAAATGCTGACGACCCAGAGGCCGTCGTCAAGCTCCGAGTATTCCTGCATGCTGTCCCTGCAGTCGCCGAACAACCTCGCAGTCAACAGCTGCCATGTTCTGGACGATTACTTGCTGCTGGCCTCGCAGGCAGGTCTCTTCTTCACCAGCCATTCGCAGCCCAGGATGCCGGTCCGCGTAAACGGAATCAACGCCATTTCAGCGGTAGCATACAACTTTTTTTTTCCAAGCAATTTTCGTTGTTTTCAAGATGGAATTCATGCCAGAAGTGAACTGCGTGTGCCTGGTCGTTGGCGGCATCCGTTCCCTTGCACTGGTCCCGCTCGACTCGCTGCGGATCGCGCTCAAAAGCTCTCAGCCTGCGATTCGGCCAGACGTTCTGCCGGCCTTCCAACATATCAATATTGTCCACTATCACCAACACGATTCCCAACGGTTATTTGAACGAAAAAAAAAACGAAAGAAAAGAAGGGTGGAAAGTAGAGTTCTCAAAACCGAACGTTCAAAAAATGACCGTTTGAAAAAAATGAACTTTTTCATTTTTCGATAGTTTAGGATATATCATTTTCAAACGTTCAACCAAAAAGTTCGAAAATCGTTTTCTTATAATAATGAACGTTTGCTTTTCACATAAAAAAACGGACGTTCGTTTTTTGAACGAACTGTTTTGAAATGGAAAATGAACGTTCACTTTTTGAACGAACTTTTTTAAAATGAAAAATGAACGTTCATTTTTTGAACGAACTTTTTGGAAATGAAAAATGAACGTTCGTTTTTTGAACGAACTTTTTACGAACGAAAAATGAACGTTCATTTTTTGAACGAACTTTTTTAAAATGAAAAATGAACGTTCATTTTTTGAACGAACTTTTTGGAAATGAAAAATGAACGTTCATTTTTTGAACGAACTTTTTGGAAATGAAAAATGAACGTTCATTTTTTGAACGAACTTTTTGAAAATGAAAAATGAACGTTCATTTTTTGAACGAACTTTTTTACGAACGGAAAATGAACGTTCATTTTGGTTGAACGTTCAAAAGCAAACTTGAACCAAAAGTTTGGTTTCAACATTTGTTCGAAAATGTTTGGTCGAACGTTCGTTCGAACGTTTGGTTTTGAGAACTCTAGTGGAAAGTAGTTCCAATTTTTGATTTTTCAACGTTTTATCGTTAAAATTCTTTGAAGTTTGAAAAAGACCACGCCAAAACTTAGTTCCTATTGCCGTGTTCAAAGTAGTTTGCCGCGAAATTCAAAGTTATTGTCCAAGCCTGCGCAGGTTTTTTCTCAAAAATGAGGCCTAAAGCCCGGTCTGACGCACAAGAATGCAGAGAATAACAAAAAAAAAAGTCATTGATAAAGTTTTTTTAGCTTCCTCATTGCCGCCGACTCTACAAAGATTCATATTTTGAAGCACAATCCGTCGAGAGACGTGTTCTCGACATTTGGGGTGAATAAAAATAAATAATCAAACGCAATCGGCTTTTTCTTTTAGATTATCGAGACATCGGAAGCTGCAGTGTGTCTACAGTCGGCGAATGACGGCTTTTACTTTGGAGCTGACACTTTTTATTTCGTATCTCTTGCTACGAATCGACAGAACCAGGTAGTGTCATTTGAATTTGCAACTTGATTTCAACTTTTCTCAGAAAATTTCGGCCCAACCTCTGGCTCCGGCTCATGTTGCTGATTATCCGATCGCGATTTTGCCCCTTCGTGACGACGAAGTCCTCCTTGCCTTTCAAAGTTGGAAAAAATATTCGACATTCCTCTCATTAAAAATTTCAGATTATGGACTTTTCGTGGATTCTTGCGGGAAGAGGACGCGCAAGGAGACTGTCGAATGGGAGCAAATGCCAATGGAATTTGGTTAGTTTTCTGAAAAACGACCTTTTTTTTTCGAGAATTTGCTCAAAAGTTTAAAATGCATCTCATCATTTGTTCTCTCATTTCAGTGTTCACTAGCCCGTATCTCTACGTCGTGCACTACGATTCGATTGAAATCATGCGCGTAGCTGAATTCACCGGGATTGAATCAAGGTATTTAAAGATCGTGTGTTCCCATTCCAACTCGGCGGCTCAATTCAGAACAATTCTTCCCGAGCGCGAATTTTTCCAATGCGAGAACGCTCACGTTATCGGAAGGTCAGCCAGCGATGACGTCTTTTTCGTCATTTCTTCTGCGGAGTGCACTGAAGTCCATCGGTATATTATTTCTTTTATTCGAAACTTGCCAAAAAGGGTATATTTCAAATAAAAACCGCGAAAACAAAGTCGTGAAAAGACAACCGAACATAAATGAGCTACAGAGGTTTAGGCGACTTCGAAACTTTTTCTTCCACGGCAATTTTTTCGTTGGCTCGATTTTCGCAGCTTATCATATACCCATAAAAAATACTTTACGTGAGAGTCTTCAAAAGCTAGAAGGCACTGGTAAATAAAGAAAGCGTCCGTTCCCTGAAATTAAAGAATGCTATCTAGCTTTCGAAAATTCAAGGTGCGATGATTCAGACGTAGATTCAAAAAAAAAAAATCGCAATTGATATAAAAAAGTTTACAGGTTCAACGCGACGACAAACAAAAGGAGCGCGATGAAACGTCGTGGAATTTCCATCACCAACATGGACAAAAGATCTCGAAATTGATACTTAATATTCGAGTCCCGCAGATGTTTTTGTGGTGTGTCATCTCACACTGATACTCAAAATAACGTTCAAATTGTATAATATTAATATCATGTTAAGATTGAGTTATTAATGATTGTTTCATGTACGATGGATAAACGTTTTTTTCAAATTTTTTTGTTTTCTCTTTTTCTCTGTTGATTTCCCATTTTTGGCTATTGGGGCACAGTTATTTGGCGGATCGCCTACCGAAAAAATCGGGAATGTCAAAGTTTTCATGGGTTTTTTTGAAGGAAAACATAAATATATGTAGTAAAGCGTTTTGGGCCTAATTGAAGATTTTTCAGTACAGAAAACTTGAAAAAAAAATTCAAGAGTGAATCGTTGAGTGCACTTTCTTCTTACGCCTTTGTACCGCTTGAGCGGCGTCGGCGCCCCAAGTCGATTAGCCGAGGTCCTATCCTGATATCAGTGGACTGGCTCCCGTGACATATCCGTCCTTGTGTGTGACGGCTGGGGATTATAAAGCCGTGGTTTCCCACTACCAACATTTCTTAAACCCCTTCGTTGGGTCGGGGCGGGGATCGAACTTGTGACCCTGTGGACCGAAGACAGGCACACAACCTGTTGCGCTACGCCCCGTTGAGTACACTTTGATTATCAAAAAAGAGCTTATACAAGTGAAGTCGAAAAAAGCTCTTTAAAAATGTTTCTTTTAAGGTGACAATGGTTCCTTTTTTGCTGCCTTTGTCTTTTTTTTTTAATTTCTTGAGCCTTTAAAATCCCAGAAAAAGTGGAAGGCTTCATAAAGGGATTCTTTTTACTGCCGTTTTCCGCCCTTTTTTGTGCTTCTCCTTTTTAGCAGCCATTATCCACACCGACTTTTTCCGAGTTTTATTTATATACCGAATAACCAGTGTTTTTTAGCTTCCAATGAGTCGGTCATCAAGTGCGAATGAGAAGCGAGAAGAAGATGGTGATTTTTTAAACTTAAATTGTTAAAAACCCCAATTAAATGGGTTGTCAGTAGTGAGAAAACAAATTCCTGTCAAAAAGAATGTGTCGAGTCTCAAAAAAAATTCAATATAGCTGATTCACTGCTGGCTTGAGCCATTGGAAAAAAAGGGTCCTGACACAATAATAAAAGATATAGTGCCTGGTTAGTGGAGAGCGCAGACAGGCCACGCCCCTCCCAAGTCAGCAGTGAATCGGCTATACTCTTTTGAATGGACTTGAGACTGAATAACTTTTTTTTTCCAATGGAGTTCATTTTTCTAGACGAGTTGCCCGACACGCCGCCTTTAGACTCTAGATCGGACGACGAAGAGTTGCCCCCCACGCCGCCACCGATCAGCAACGACGACGAAGTTGATAACAGTCGTCAATTTCCAGCTGCTTCTGCTGCGATTCCATCAGATCAATGTATGTATTTAGACTCTCGTTGAAAAACTGATTCGATTAAAAAAAAAAAATTCACTGTAAATCCGAGTTCGGAGAAGTACTCTATATTTCCTGCGCCAATAACCAACAGGGTTGTAAGGAAGAGATTCGCGGAAATGCTCTTGAATCGAAATTTTCGCGATAACAAATTTTTTTATCGCAAAAAAGTTGATAATAGTGAAGTTACGTGTATTCGAACAAAAATATTGGAAAAGTATTTCTATAGAAAACATGTAAGACGAAAGGAACTGCTATTTTTGGATGAGAAAGAAACCTCTCAGAAATTTCATTTCAAGTTTTCTTCCGCAAGTCTCTTCCGTGCAATAACCAATATATTTCAAGCTCATAGAAAAGGTTGAGTGAAAGACTTTTGTCGTTGAAGCCGGATACGATTCTTTCGACGAAGATATCGTGTTCGTCTCTTCACTGAAGCAAGACGTCGCTTCGTCGTCTACGTCCAGTAGCGACGATTCCAAGGATTCCGACTACACTTTGAACGAGAGTCAGGTCGACGACCCGGACGACGACTTTTTCGAAAATGATTGTTTGTTTTGCAGTTCTGTGCTGTTTGAAAACTCACCAAAATTTTCCAAATATTAGGAGGTTGACAATTTCTGTTTTTGAGAAACCAATGTTTTGTTGATATGACATGTTGTGTTATTTGTCGTTTCAATCTGTCCAATTTTATTTCATTTTTAAATTGAAGCTTTTTAAAACAGTTCTCTTTCAGCACAAATTTTGGATGTCGAGCTTCCAGCTGAAACAGTTTCTACCAGGTTCGATTGATTTTTAAAAGGACTTTAATTTGAAAGAAATAGAACTAGAAAGCGTGCGGCTGGAAACCAAGATGTTAAAGCCAAAAAACAAAAACTGACGAATTCGACAGAGGAATCGGCATTTCTGCAAGAGGAAGAAGAAGAAGGCGACGTCGCACCTCCGACACTCAGCGAGTTGAATTCTTACTACCCGATCAAGAAAGAGGGTAACGTTGCGCGAGTCTCCGAAGAAGAACGCTTCAATTGGTCTCGAATGGACCAACCCCCACCGGCTGCCATTAACGCTTTGAAGGAACGCCGATCATTGAAGTTGTATCTATTTATATTGGCTCTCTTTCAGGAGTTCTACGGTTATTCATGCTTTCGCGAGAAGCAATGGGACGTGATCCGTGCGGTTCTGGGTAAACGCGATCAGTTCGTCCTCATGTCGACTGGTCTGAAGAACATGATTTACACTATCGAAATTCCCTCATTCCTTCAGGGTACGGTAAGAGCGTGTGCTACCAATTACCTTCGCTCATGATGGGAACACTGACGATCGTCATTTCTCCGCTTATCTCACTCATGCACGATCAGCTCGTCTCCCTTCGGTTATACTCACAATCTCCCTCAAAAAAGCAACTTTATTTAAGGCAGAAAAATGTGAATGCAATGATGTTGTGTGGCGATTCTCCGATCGCCGATTGGACGTATGTCGAGAAAAACCCGGCCGAGATACGGTATTGCTCACGTTGGCTCATCCGCACTATGCTTGTCTCAGGTTTCTCTACATGTCGCCAGAGCTGGCGGAAGGCGCCCAAATGCGTCGGCTTCTCCACGTCCTTGCCAAATGTGGATAGATACCTGTTTTTATTCGATAATATTCGAATCTAGACGTGTCGTTAGTGGCTGTGGACGAAGCTCACTGTGTTTCACAATGGGGACACGACTTTCGGAAAAGTTTCCTTCGAATTGCGTCCATTCGGCGCTACTTGGAGTTTGTTGATCGAATCTATCAAACTAGAAATAATGAAAAGAGACTTAAATTCAAAAATTTCGATTTAAAGTTGCAGCATCTTCGTATATTTTGTATGGTATGAAAAAAAGTGCTTGTTTTTAAATGAAAAACAGATTCAGTGAAATAGTAATCGATAAAAGATTAGAAAAAAAGAGGAAAATCTTTTTCATAGATTCGCCATCAGTAAATTGAGTCCTCATTTAAGAGTGAAAATTTAACAAAAAGTTTCTAAGTGAAAAACGAAATATTGCCAGAAGGGTACCTTTGATGGGTCTTACTGCCACGGCCACTCAACGTGTTCGCGACGATGTCATTAAAAACCTCGAGCTGGTCAACCCGCAAGTCACATTCACCGGATTTGACCGGTTCGATGATGCCAAACCTAGAAATTCACTTTTGAGACAACTTTTTGAGGAAAAACTTGTACATAACTGTGACGCGACAGGGTGTGAGCGTGGCTAGCGATTTGGAGAAACTATTGAAGGAAGATCCTCGTCTAGGTCGCCACTTTGGCGGACCTACCATTGTCTACTGCCAGACACGAAAAACGACCGACGATGTCCACAAAACTCTGCGAGGTTCGGGCCCTTGTTCCTAATTTTTTTTTCTCTATGAAAATACTCTTCTAGGTCTTGGTGTAAAATGCGAACGATATCACGCAGCTTTGACTCCCACCCAACGGAAAAAGGCTCATAACGAGTTTATCGCTGACAAAGTTGTCTTTTCCTCTTTGAGATTTTCCATTTTCTTTTTTCGGGTAACGACAATCGTAGCGACTGTCGCGTTTGGAATGGGCATTGACAAGCCAGACGTTAGAAATGTGATCCATTATGGGAGTTTGTAGCGCTGGTTTGTGATCGAGTTCATGAACATGTTCTAAGGCCCGAAAGACGTCGAGTCGTACTATCAAGAAATCGGTCGGGCCGGTCGCGATGGCGCTGCTAGCGTTTGCCGAGTGTTCTGGGCGCCCAAGGACATGGCTCTCAACAAGTTAGGCTTCATTTTCATAATTTCACACAAAAAATGCTTAAAAGTAGACATTTTCAGAATCCGTGTGAATCAGATGAACGTGTCGGAAACGATTCGCGGAAATCTTTTTGCTATGTTACGACAACTTGAGGAAATGTTCAACACTCGCATGTGCCGTCGATTGTCCGTTTTTTTTTTTAGAAAAATGTTCGTTTCAAGTCGTTACTCAAGTCTAATATATCAGCTTATAAATACTAGCTTGAACCGACTCGATCAAATCTCTCTCACGATGGCCAGTAGCACGCGCGGATGCTACCGCTGATCAATCATTTAAACAAAGCCGATCTTCCGAAAGGCAAATTTTAGCCGCGCATAGGCCCCATTTAAGTCCAGTGGATCTACGCAAATGCCCAAATCACGCGCCGAGCCCCCGTTTAGGTTCAGAGGAGCACCCAAGAAGTTTAAAAAAAAAACACCGGCTGAGCGGTAGTAGCACTTTTTTTTTGCAAAGTTATGACGTAGTAGCCCAACGGGTGCTACTGGCCAACATTAGAGCTATTTCTCAGATTGCATGAAAAGTTCAGCCAGCTGCTAAAGCACTTTGATCCGGCGACACCCAAACCGGCACAACCACGCGCCGACTGCTGCGACAATTGCACAGCGATGATGTCAAAAGACCAAGTTTGAGAGAAATCAAAAATGAGAATATTTGAAGCTGTAAATTGTTCTCACCTCGTTAAACCCTTCATATAGTACCACCAGTTCACAGCAAGAAACGTGAATTTTTGAAAAAATTGGAATTTAAATTTTTTTTTTCTTGTTGCGTTGCTTGCGCATAGTTTTAAAACATAATAAGGTTACTCAAAGTAATATGACCTGCGTGCCAGGATTACGCCCTGTCGTCCTTGGATGTGGGAAAAGAGGCTCGATGGCTGTTCCTCGTGGTCCGCGACGTCTACCAAGGTCGCTCAGGCATCGGGAAGCCGATCGATTTCGTTCGCGGCATGGTTTAATGACTGTAGTATTCATCTTATTAACTTTTCTTTTACAGAAGAAAGAAGAAGATTGTGCTCGAAGTTTGCAAGCCAAACAGCTCTTCGGCCTTGGAAAAGGCTTCAGCCTCAAGTGGTGGAAAGAGCTCGGTTTGCTCTGTGAGAAACTCTTGTATCAGTTTCTCTTTGGCAGGCAACTCTCTGCGCATCGGCGGCTTCTTCAAAGAGGAAAAAATTGGGTTCAGCTCGTTTGGATCTTGCATTACCCTGTCACAGAAGGCAATTAGCTGGATCGCTGGAAGTGATCAGGTTCGAAAATGCGAAGAATAAGGAGAGTTAATAAACTCGGTTTATATTCTTTCTGATATAATTTGTTCTGTGCTGCTTTTAGAGGTAGGGAGAAAGTAATCAAAGTTCTTGTGACTTTTTTTGTGCTTTTGCCCAGCCGTTTTGGATTACCCTACTTTTAAATATACACATATTTTTTTCGAAAAAAATAGAGCTTGAACGTCGAAGCCACGCCTCTGTTGCTGGACGGCAAGGTTGGAAAGGCGGCGCCAACAACCGAAGTACCTTCTGCCCAAATTTCCCGTAGCGCCGAGGAAAAGAGGTTTTTTTCGAATCTATGAATAAATAATAAGGTTTTTTTCGACACAGTTTTTTTAACCTCCAGGAAAAAAATTTGGATAATAATCATCAAAAAAATTAGAAAACTGATAAGACTTGTATTACCAGCTTCAGACTCTTTTTCTGTTCCAGATATCTCGGGAACGTCCGGATAAACATTTACAAGTCGGCATCCGAGTACCCGCAACTCCATTTTGTACAGCAAGTTGACCGAGATGATCATCAATTGGTTTCTTTTTTTTGGTTCATATCATACTTTTGATTAGGTTGGCGAGCTTCGGATCAAACTCGACGATTTGCGTGCAGAAATGGCGATGGAAAACGAAGTGGCACCATTTCAAGTCGTTGCCAACAACGTGCTCGACGCCATTTCGAGCCTGCGTCCCGATAAGTTTGTGTTTCACGGCGTTTTTGTAAAGGAAGAAAAATACGAAACCAAAAACACGTTGTACTTCACGGAGATAAAGTGGGTGTGGCTTTGTCGAAAAATGTTGAAAGTTTGCATGCATTAAAAAAGATTGTTTTGAGCACTAAATATTGGTGTAGCTGAGCGTCTAGTTCTGTTTTCTGTTATAGGTCATAATTGAGATAAATGACTACTTAAGCATGGACACACTGAGCCGCGTCAGTGGCTTCCCAATGGCACAGCGCAACAACTACGGTCCGGCCATTGTCGAGTGCGTGAAAAAGTTTTCGAAGGAGAAAGGCATTAAAACCAACTTGAATGCTTGTGAATCGGTTGGTGAACCTAGAACCAAAAAGTAACAATAAAAATCGAGTGATGTGCAGATACCCGAGGAAATTCAACAACGCATCGAGAAAGAGTTGCCGCCAACCGTCCAGAGCACATACCGCACTCATTTGCTAACCGCTTCAGACGCGGTAATCTTTTAAAGTAGTTTTAGCTGATTCACTGCCAGCTTGGGCTAGGGGGGCGTGTCTTGTCTGCGCTCTCCACGAGCCAGGCGCTATCTCGTGCATTATCGTGTTAGGACCCGTTTTTCGCTGGCTCAAGCCAGCCGTGAATCATTCATTCATTTCTGAGCGATTCTATTCATATTTATCCATCCACCCATCCTTTCCAGAAAACTGTAGCGGAAATCAAAGGAATTAGCAAATCGACCGTTTACAATCACCTGACGACCGTTCTGCAACGCGGATTGCCCGCCCATCTCAATAAATTAGGCGTCACTAGGCAGCTCCTAGAAACTGTCGCTGATACTGTTCGGAGCAAGCTTGAAGGAGGTTTCAGTGATTTGACAGATTACTCCAAAATCCCATTGGAATCGGATTAAATATCCCTTTCTTCCAGACGTTAGCTTCCTCAAGCCAATTATGGAGTCTCTACCCGAAAACACAATCGATTACGATAGCTTGAAAATGTGCCGCGCCATATTGGAATTCGAATACGGAGATGGCGAACTGATAGACGGCCAACAAAAAGGTGTTTCATCTGTGCATTTTTCTTGTTTTTTAATGCATCCGATAGGCTCAGCTTTGCCATCGTGGATTTCCGAAACGAAACCGGCTAACAGGCCGACGCTTGCCGCTGTTGGTGCCAGTCTTCACAATGCTGGACCAAAGAAAAAAATGAATTTGTGAAAGCGTAACTTTTTTTTTTCCTGCATGTGCAAAGTTTTTTCTCTTGTGGAGCCTTTATCAAAAAAGAAATAAAAATAATTGGATTTAAGCGGGCGCAGCTTCGGCAGCCTTTTCGAGCTCGATAAGTTTCTTGAGCCCCTCGTACATCTGACGAACAGCTTCATACTCAGTCAGCCCCAAGCGCTGCTTGTTGGAAATATCGTAAATGCCGTCAGCCGACTCCGAGTGTTCACCGTGGATACCGCGAATCTTAAATTTATGACATTTTTCCACCAAGTCGACCTCTTTTCAAAAAATGGCTGGCAACCTGGAGTTTCATTTCATTGCAAATCTGCTGGAATTCGGGTTTGGCCGAGACTTTTGGCAATTTGATGTGTGCCGAAGCGCGCACGGTGGTTCCTATTACAAAAAAATATGGTAAAAACAATAAAAATTTTTGTACCCAAGTTGGTGGGGCAAAAAGTGAGCCAGCCGAGACGTTGGTGGCGCGCAAACTGCGTTTTGGCAGCAATCAAATTGATTCCTTTGATCAGACGACCCAGGACCTAAATATATCATTTTGTAACGATTAGCAAACTTTCAGAAAAAGAAAAAAAACGCGTTTCTTAATGTAGCGTTCGAAGTGGTTTTCGCAAAGTTCAAAATTCTCTCTGACTCTTCAAAATTTAGTTTTTTTTCTTAATTTGACGGTTTTCAAGTTTCGCGGAATGACTTTAAAATTTAAAAACGTAAACGACATTTTTTTTTTCAAACATGCCTCGCCAACGTTGCCACCAGGCTGCATTGAAATGATACGAAGATGGTCTTCCTCATTCACCCAAACCAAAAACGTCTTTTTCTCGTTGTGGAAAATACCGCGACCGGTGGGCCAGAACCTAGAAATTGAAAGAAAAATTCTATTTCATTCTGCAGCATCAAATACCGATTAGCATTGGCAGCCTTAAGGAAGCGATCGCCTTCTTTAAACAAAAAGTGATCAGCAACAAGTTTCTTTTTCGTTTCTTCGTCCATGCCAGTGAGCGGATAATATGTTCCCTGCAAAGGTAAGTATTGAAACGAACAAAAGCAAACAAGCCTTCAGGTCTGGGTCAGTGATCGAGCTGAAAATGGCTTTCATGCGAGCTTCCATCGCCTTGTAATTCGGCTCTGTGAGACACGGATTGAAAGGATAGCCCTGTAGAGAACGTCCACACCGAACGCGCGTTGAAATAATGTACTTGTTTTCGGGATCGAGGTCAGGCAAGTTTCCAATCTACAAAAATCGAAATTTGATTTTTATTTTAAAAAAAATCCAGCTAACATTCTTCTCTCCAAGGTCCATGGGTGGTTGGGTATCCGTAGCCTTGAAGCCATTGTGGTATTCTTCGATAACAGGGTTGAATAGATCCGCAAACAAGGTGTACGACTCTGCGTCCGGAGCATACAAGCCAACGCCTAAGTTTTGTCACCTCCTTACATAAGTCATTTCCTACCCGAATCAAGGTTTTCCACACCAGATTGGATGACGTCCAACAGAGTTGCACCAAGACGAGTTTTTTTATTATAAAAATTGAAAATTAGGATGAACCCTGCCCACCTCAAAACAAACTTTAAGCTTGTCGACGACGGGTTTGCTTAGATGCTTTTTCAGGAGCGATTTGCAATCTGCAGCTGCTTGAAGCTTGGCGTAACCTTCTTCGATTTTCTTGACGACATCCGGTGAAGCGGTCATCTTGAAATGGTTGTCTGTGCCCAAACAAGAATTTTTCTATTAAATGACACGATATGCGGTATTTATATTGATCAAGTTCACGCAATCGTGTGAACGTCGTATTTTTTTTTTTTTCAAAATTTTTTCCAATGAAAGCCGTACCACGCATGTTCAAGATAGTGCTACGGCGGCCGGTGGCCGGTCAATATTGCGCTGTGAATTTCGGAGCCTGGAAAATTTTAAAATTTTTTTTTCTTTTCTGCAATTTGTTAAAGACCTATTTCTGGAGGTTGCAAGATAAGCTCCAAAATTACACAAGTTTCCATTTTATTACCCGGAAAACTAGCTCGATTACCTTAATACGACCGGCCGCCTTGAGCATGCGTGGTACTGGTAACGAAAAAGATAAAGAAAAAAGGTAGCCTTCGCGGCTTGGTAAAATAGGGTTCTATAAACTTGAAAATACTACATTTTGGAAACGAGAGAGCAACTATAGTTGCTTTGGTGTATGATAGTTTACACAGAATTAATTTGAATAAACCTGTTCGGATTTTGAATGTCACGTCGACACTCAAGCACCTCTAATGACACGATATATGAAAAAAAAAACAATCAGAGCGCGAGCTTTCCAAAACGGATTCGAACAATTTCATTTTTTTTGACACGCAAAATCTAAACACACTATGAAATTCATAATTTGTACAAATATTTGATTTTCCAAGTTAACAGACTATAAACAAATTAGCGACTTTTGGCAATTGTTGACCTTCGTTTCGCACGCGCCGGGTTACTGTGGCCTGAGTTGCCGCCACCACCCACCCCTGGATCAATTTCAAAAAGTCAACCGTTTTGTTTCCCTTTCAAGGCGGTTTTTGTCTATTTTGATTGATTTTTTCGATCCCTTTGTGCAATTAGTGTCTCTTTCTACTGCATCAAATTAGGTTTCACCAGGTTTAAACCAAAATTTCATTTTTTCTTTATCGTAAGTTTATAAAATTTTATTTATTTTTGGTATTTTTTGGGGTTTTTGAGCTGAAAATCATGAAACTGCGTAGAAATGAATATATTTAAAAGTGAATGACCGATTTTGAGCGATTTTTCATTTTTTTTGAATTGTGTTTTTATTGCTCAATTATATGTATGTGTAGATAACATTAGAAAGAAGTGCAAATTTTTATTTTTTCAGAAAAAGTTTCCAAGTTTTCATGAAATCCATCAGAAAAATGAGCTTCGAAAATTTTCCAGTGCTATTAACGTGAAAAACGCTCTTTTTTTCATGGTTTTTTGTGCGTTTTTGTGATTGTTTGAACTTCCTTAGGAAGATAAAGGTTTTCTCGTTTTGAAATATAATGTTCGATAAGATGATCAATTGAAATTTTTAAAAATTTAAATTTCAGTGATTGAATCGGACGGAATGATGTTGCCTTCGAACAAAAAAATAAATGATTTTTCGTCCGACAAGAAGCAACAAAATTCAATTTCGACGGCCTTCCGGTTGGTGTGAGTTTAAAGGAAATATTGAGAAGAGAATAAAAAGATTCTATATAGAAGTTCTAAAAACGACATTGATCCGTCGATGAGCGTTATCGGTCGAATTTCGATTTATTCTGGACAAACTGAACTAATTCTTGAGACAAAGAACGACCGGGAATGATCATATATTTCGTTCTGTACGTTTCACTTCATCATTCTTATGACAATCGAATTCCCATGTCCCTTTTGGAGGTATTTCCCGTCTTTTTAACCGACAAAAAATATGACTCAGTTTCATTAAACGGCCGGAATAATCCGACGTTACCAACATGTTTGATTTTCAGCATGAAAGTATAACCATTCGATCCGTCTCATTGAGATACGTACGAATATCATAAAATTATTGGGCGCTAGTAAGGAGAAATAAATTTATGGTGTGCAAAAACCAGAAAAAAACTCCAGAAATGTCAAAAATTTCGCTGCATTTTTCGACGCTGATTCAATTCAACTATCGCTACTACGCCATGAGAAGAAAAAATCTTTTGAAATAAGAAAAAAAATTGAAAATTATTCGAAAAAAACAATGCAAAATAAGAAAAAAAAAATGAGAAATCACAGTAAAAATAACCGACCGCGTCGAAGCCCACGCTTACGCACAGTATGCTCCTTTAATATTTTTTCTTTCTTTTTTTTGGGAAATACATTTTTACAGATTTTTTTGCTACTCGTATCAAGTTGCAAATCGTTTATAGCTACCTGATAGTGTTTTTAGTGCCCACGTTTTGAAACTACATGTTTTTTATGTCAGTTATTTCATTTATTTGACGAATTGTTCACTGTGGCTCAGTTCTTTCGAAGCGAGCCACGGTGTTTCTTTTGCGACGCCCCGCCCACTTTTCTCCGTCAATTAGGACGTGTTTAGTGCATGCACAAAAAAATTTGGAAAAATAAAGTTAACCGATGATATAAGTGTGAGAAACGAATGAACATTGAAGAAAAAAAGACGAGGAAATTAAAAGAGATTAAATAAAAACTATATTTCTGTGGAGAAACAAATAAAAAGATGTTTTTACAGCAAGTACTTTTTTTATTATAAAAAAAGTTGACGGAATATCCGAATATAAATGAATTCCGGAACATACTTTCTCAACTTCACAGACTTTTTTCATGTAACTTCATCTCATTGATGTCCACAACCTAGGAATCTGAACAATCGACAAAAATAGAATAAGAAAACATAAAATGGGGTGAAACATGTTCCATACAAACAGGTGGAGATTTTCAAAACGCTTCTTCATCACGAGTTTTAAAGTTAGCCTCACAGAACTACTTTCAAAAAACGTCTAACAACCCAGAGTTTACCCCTGATCGTGGTCCCGCAATACTATCAGCAATCTACGAAAAGAAAAAAAGTGAAAAAAATATGAAAAAAATTGACAAAAAAATCAAAAAAATAAAGCCACTTTTTTAAATTTCGCGGGCGAATTTCGAGAAGTGCGCAGACTTTGCCGAGTTTCAAATTCCTTGCATTTTCTTCAACTGGCAGAAACGCCGTGGAGCCACAGTCGCCTTCGCGCTATGCGCGCTCCGCCTCCGTGTGAAGCCTCAAAACTAAGCCTATTTTCTCAAGTAATGCATGAAAAGAAAAAGCAAACACTTCTATTCCTCAGAATAATTACTTGATTGAAAACTAATAAAGTTCATCTTAAATTTTTCTAAGTGGTCAGCGCCGAATAATTTTATGATATTCGTACGTATCTCGACGAGACGGATCGAATGGTTATACTTTTATGCTGAAAATCGAACATGTTGGTAACGTCGGATTATACCAAAAACGCGGAATCATTTAAGATGAGGTCTTTTGTGTGCTAAAAACTAAATAAAGGTTGAAGTCAATTTTAAGAACAGAACACCCCGTAAATTTACGTTTCTATAAGGCGCATTTGATGACCTGCTTGAATATTGGATTATACTTTGAAAAACTTTCGAAAGCTTAGAAACACGTTTGAAAGCTATAGCTGATTCACGGCTGGCTTGAGCCATCGAAAAACGGGTCCTGACACGATTGTGCACAAGATAGCGCCTGGCTCGTGGAGAGCGCAGACAGGACACGCCCCCTTAGCGTCCCAAGCTGGCCGTGAATCAGCTATAATTTTTGAAGTCAAAATTTGATTTCGCTTTTTAGTCGGCAAATTTATAACGATTTTTCACAAAACTGTCATTTGAAACGCGGAATCACTTATAAAAATCCTGCGCCAGAAATATGGATGCACACTCTGAGATAACTGTCATGGAAGTATAGCTGATTCACGGCTAGTTTGGGACACAAAGAGGGCGTAGCCTGTCTGCGCTCTCCACGAGCCAGGCACTGTCTCGTGCATTATCGTGTCAGGACCCTTTTTCCGATGTCTCAAGCCAGCCTTCAAACAGCTATAGGCCGTTCACGTTCTAAAAGTTTTGAAGCGCGCCTGGTATTTTTTCCTCGGCGTCAACTTTAAGAATTATGTTATTTATTGAAAGGAAACTTCGGAGCAAAAAATCACACCGTTTAGAGTCACTTTGCACTTTTTTTCTTGGCAGAATTCTGAAATGGTGATGTTTTGCCGTGGAAAAAGCGCAAAATCTAAACGGGGTATTTTTGACGCTGAATTTAAGTTGAAATTGCAAAAAGCAATGCAGCCGAGGGTTCTCCGGGAAGCGGAGAGAGGCAATCGGTCCTACTAGCCATCGCATGGTCCAGTGTTGGCTTGGGAGAACAGCCTCGCCGTTTGACCTGCCTACTGCAGTTTGACCAGCGGCGCCAAAACAATACGTCATCCTTCCATATGCCATATGGCCTCCTAGAACTTCTTATCATTTTTCTTCAATTTTAATGTCTTTTACACAATTTTGAATCAATGCAATGTTTCTTTAGTTTATTGAAAGGTAGTGTTGTACACTTTCAAGCTTCTTGCATCATTCTATTCATTCTTTAGTATCAAATTGATAGAAATGGGTGATTTTCATAATTTTTCGCTGCAAAAAGTATGCCGCATAGTCTGTTTTAAGTTAAAGCTTATTCTCTTTATTATCAATCAAGTATCAATATTTTATTCGTGAAAAAAAAAACAATTCAGAGGATTCACCAACTTCGGATGAACACAGAGGACATGTCAGGAAAAAAAATCGATGACACGGCGACGATTTGAAGCTGATTTCCGATGGAATTGCTGACATGTCGTGCCCAGTTCTGTGCCCCCATCGAGTCCAAGTTCAGCACCGTTATTTTGTTAGTTTAATTTCATTCTGAGCTTTTAGTTATTCAAGGGTACATGACAAAAAAAAATATTTATTTTAGCCACTTTCCCTAATTTGATAGAATAGTTTAAATTTATTTTTTCTTTTCTCTGTCGATATTTTCAGGATGACTCTGTCGAATCGACAACTCGGACAGTAATAGCCACAACAAGCTGCTCTACATGGAAATATTTTTTTAAAAATAACATTTTAATAAATTCTTTCCATTTTTTTCCAACTTTTTGTGGCTATTTCTGTCTGTCGTTTTTTGTCATAGGCCCTTGAAGGCCCATAATAACTATTTAATTATTTATTAACATTTAACTATAGTAGTTGTAGAAATCAGTTAAAAAGAGTAGAAATCGCTCACGCGACGCTTCTGCATTGCGATCATTTGCTTTCACAACGAGCTTTTTCTAAAATTTTTTGTTTTGCAATTCGAGTTTTTCGGATTGCTCCCTTTGATGTGCAGTCGCTAATCGATGACCGCTTCGTATATGTGTCGCGTGCAGCTGGGCCATCGTTGTTTCTTTCATTTATGAAGTCATTCAACTGTGGCCTCCAAGAGTAGTTAAAAGTTTGCTCTAATTGGTCTTCACTATTTTATGTTTTTATCGAATCGTTTCCTGTCTGTTGCCATTTTGAAATTTGCCGTTTTTTGTTACAATTTATAGGAAGCTCTTGATGAAAAAGTAACCTAGGTGAAACCATGTAGGGCAGACTCTTAACTTCAGCTTTCATATTACACAGAAGTTACCGTTGGATGGCTTCATATGAAATCTGTTGGAAAACAGTCTTGAAGTGCAGAGCTTACGCAAGACTCTTTGTACACACTGCGGCCAAAGTAGAAGTTGTAATCGTGCAAGGCGTGTTGAAGGACTTGTTCTTCTGAGATTTCCAAGCTTGCATTTCAATCGAAAAGGGTGAGCTTCTTCTTGGCTTCTGTCAGAAAGAAGAAAGGGGGCTTCTAGCCGGCTCTTTGACATGGGGATATTCGTGTCGAGCATGACTTCGGTCACTCTTTTCGGAGGGGAGATCTCAGCCACTCGGAACCTCTGAGTGGCACTTCGGTCCAACCAAGGAGACTGGTGCACTGTCCCACTCCTCCGTGCTCCTATACCCAGTCAGTCTCTCTAATTTAAACTTTTCACAACTAAACTGCTTAGAATCTCAGAAAAAGACTTTCACATGACTTTGCACAACATTTCCAAGACATGTTTGCGTATGGATTAATCTAGTAAAACTTTTTTTTTTACTGCGCCGATGCACCCAACTTCGATGATCGCGTAATGATGTAAATCTCTTCCAAGAGCCAAAATGACAAAATCTAATTTCGGCGCACCAAAGCACATTGACTGATATAGTAAACCCTCAGGAATCAAAATAATTGCAACTACTCTGACCGCAGTGTTGGACTTGTTGTAGTAACATGAACATTGAGAGAATAGAATATTTATTAAGAATAATTTACAATTGACTGAGACATCAAAAGTGGCCATTTCTGTGTATTTTGCTTGTGCCTCGATTTTTGAACTCCGAACGGTCCAGAGAGTTCTTGCTGAACATCGGAAGTCGTGCTCAATGGAGGCCACGCCATTCTGATGAGAGAGTGCTCACGACGACTTGCAAAAGTCGAGTCCGGTCAGGTTCTCCCGGCCGATCTCATCACAGCACGGCAGAAGATGCTTCAGCGGCATCACTTTGGGCCTTTCACTTGGAGAATTAAAAGTTTTGTCTGAAAATGGGCAAGCAGGAGTAGGCGGCTCGATTTTTTTCATTTTCAAACGGCCTTAATATATTCAAATTGCAATATTAATACAGCATTTCTATATTCAAATTGCTCTATTAATACAGCATTTTATAATCAAATTGCTCTATTAATACAGCATTTTTTTATTCAAATTGCAATATTAATACAGCATTTCTATATTCAAATTTCTTTATTAATACAGCATTTTTTTATTCAAATTGCAATATTAATACAGCATTTCTATATTCAAATTGCAATATTAATACAGCATTTCTATATTCAAATTTCTTTATTAATACAGCATTTTTTTATTCAAATTGCAATATTAATACAGCATTTTATATTCAAATAAATCTTCAACTTGTTAATCATGATCTCTTTTTTTGTTTCTCAATAAAGTCTTTGTATTTACATTGTGTTCTGTTCTCACAAAAAATCATTCAACGAAGTTTTCTCCAAACTGGCTGAGATACTCTCTGATGTACAAGTCTTTCTCTTCTGATCATCTCCATCAAGTTCGAAGCCTGTGAACTCGAGCACGGAAGAGTGGGAAAATCGCCAGTCTCCTTGGTTAGACCGAAGTTGCCACTTGGAAGTCCAAGTGGCTGAGAACTCTCTTCCGTGAAGGTGGAAGCCTTATTTTTCTGACCAAAGCGAGAAAAGCTCATTTGGAGATGAGAGAAGAGGAAGACATCTACAGAGTCAGGGTACAATATGAAATACTACGTGAAAGCCCATGGATGAAAGAAGTTTTCGGCTCCTGGATGATTTACTAAACGAATCGACGAGGATAGATTTTGGCTCTTGAAGGTAAATTTACAAGATCGGTCGATCATAGAAAGTAGGGTTCATGGCGCGCCAATGCAACTTTTTGGCTCCTGGAGGATTTATCAGACCAATCAATACCCAAAAGTGACATGGAAATGTCGTGCAGAGTCATGTGAAAGTCCAGATTTTCTGAGATTCCAAGCAGTTTGAGTCGGAAAAAGTTGAAGTCAGAGAGACTGACTGGGTATAGGAGCACGGAGGAGTGGGACAGTGCACCAGTCTCCTTGGTTAGACCGAAGTGCCACTCAGAGGTTCCGAATGGCTGAGATCTCCCCTCCGAAAAGAGTGACCGAAGTCATGCTCGACACGAATATCCCCATGTCAAAGAGCCGGCTAGAAGCCCCCTTTCTTCTTTCTGACAGAAGCCAAGAAGAAGCTCACCCTTTTTGATTGAAATGCAAGCTTGGAAACCTCGGAACAACAAGTATTTCAGCACTCTTCGCACGATATTCATACTACTTCTTCTATCCTTGGACTTTCATAACTTCCAGTACATCATCAACTATCTCAGCCAGTTTGAGAAGCAGTAGGTCTTAATTGAAGCGAAGTATGATGCGCGCAAAACTATTACTTTCCATCAGGAAAATCCTACTTCTACGTGCGCCTTTCATTCACTTTAAAAAAGACCTCATCCTACTAAATCCAAGAAGTCATTTGGCCCTCCGACGCGGTCGCGCTGCAGTCATCATCCCATGTTCACTTCCGGAGATTCAAGAAACACTTTATTGAAAAAATAGCAAGTTTATAACTGGAAGACGATAAACAGCATGACCGCGTCGCCCTATACACTCATCGATGCCTAAATTACAAAATTAATTCTAAAATAAAGAAACCTAATTCAGTTCTAGATTGGGCCGTTGAGAGTATATGACAAGATTGCTGAATTTTCGCGCTTCATAACAGTCACATAAAAAATGATCACGTTTTAAAACTTTTCGAGTGGATTAGAAAAACGAATGAGTTTAAATTGGAATTTTTCAGAAATCGCAGATGCCATAGACCATTTTCAAATTTTGTTCGTAAAAAGAAGAAGGAAACTTTTGCTCCATGAACACTTGAAAAAAACTTTTCGCATAAGAAAAATGTATCTTAAAGTGTGAAAGTGCAAAAGTTCCTGAAAAAAAAATGTCAAGAAAAATCCGAGTCAAAAAAAGGAAGACCGAAATGCTGCGCGCCACTTGAAAAAACATGTCGGATCACGATGGTACGACAAAATCTCAAGTCCGCAAATCTCTAGGACCGTAATCTTGTGTACGCAGATCTAAAGTCCCATAATCTTGGAAACCAAAATCTTGGAGACCAAAATCTTGGAAACCACAATCTTGGAAAGTAAAAATCAACGCTTTTGCGAATAGATTTTATCAGAAATTGTATTCGGTGATCCAAACGAGAGAATATAAGTAGATAAAGTGCAATAAAGAAGACTAAAAAGGGAGATTTTTGCCTTCCAAGATTGTGGTTTCCAAGATTTTGGTCTCCAAGATTTTGGTTTCCAAGATTATGGGACTTTAGATCTGCGTACACAAGATTACGGTCCTCGAGATTTGCGGACTTGAGATTTTGTCGTACCATCCGGATCACATCGCGCTCCGACATATTTTTTTTCAAACAGTTCAAGTGAAATAGCTCTCAACGTAACCATTTTTGAAATAGAATGGACATCAGCTCATCCATAGCGCGAAAAATTTATTCAATAGCTTTTCAAATTTTAAAAAAGTGATGCGATCCTGTCATATACTCTTTCTGGAAAGCAAGTTCATAGTAAAACAAAAATATACCTCAAAGAGCTGACGGCGGCAGAATCTTCAAGTCTTTCGAGCCTTTTGGCTTTTGGATCTCGTATTTTCGTTTCGGTTCATTTCCTCGCAACCTACTTCTATTCATCCAAGTCGTTTTTCTTCGACTCGAGTCGATCTATAAGTTGGAAAATTATTTGATTCAACTGGAAAGAATAACTCATTCAAAACCTTTCAGAGAAATTGTCTTAGGACTTCTTCAAAAGTCAGGATCGGCCTTACTATTTCCATGTCGTCAGGACCTCCGCAGAACGATCTGCAAATAGAAAAATTTTATAATAAAAAAAACACAAAGCACAGTGAAGTTTTCATCACGAATGAAATATTATGATTCGATTAATAAGACGAAAGAAAAGCTCCAACTTATGCACATTTAGTACACTAGAGAATCCTCAATGTTTTTTTCATTAAAAATTTACAGCGAAGAATTATGGAAATCAATCAATTAACTTAATTTGAGGCTAAATAATGAACACAGCGATGAAAGAAGCTTCAAAGTATGATATACTATCTTCAATACATTGAATAAGCTTTGAATTGATTTGTAAAAGGCATGAAAATTTAAAAATAATAACGCAAAAAGAAGTTCTAGAAGGCCATGGAAGGATGACGTATTGTTTTGGCGCCGCGGGTCAAACTGCAATAGGCAGGTCAAACGTCGAGGCTCTCCTCCCAAGCCAACACTGGACCAAGCGATGGCTAGTGGGACCGATTGCCTCTCGCCGACCAGGGACGTTTGGTCGAGTGGCGAGTGGCCTCGCTCTCAATATGGCAACCCGCGTTCGGGTCCGCCAGGCGTTTCCCGCAAAAGACAGCCTTCTGGGATTCACGGATTCCAGAATTCTTGGAGCGCGTCGGGTATTTTTCCCCCGACGTCAACTTCAAGAATTATGTTAATTGCTGAAAGGAGGGTGCTTCCCGGAGTGCCCTCCGCTGCACTGCTTTTTGCAATGTCAACTTAAATTCAACGTCAAAAATACTCCGTTTAGAAGCGATTTTGCGCTTTTTCCAGGCAAAGCTTCTAAAACATTGCTATTTCAGAACTCCGCCAAGTAAAAAGAGCAAAATCACTCTAAACGGTGTCAATTTGAAATTCAAGTTGAAAATGCAAAAAGCAGTGCAGCGAAGGACGCTCCGAAAAATCTCCTTTCAACAATTAACATAACTCTTGATGTTGACCCCGCGGAAAAATACCAGACGCTAGAACTACTTACTAGATCATTTTCAAAACATTCTTCGCGTTCAGTTAACTGATTAGAAATTAGTTCAATCAAAAACCAAGCACGCATTGTTTTTTTTTTCCAGAAAAGAGATGTTAGAAAGGTATTATGTTGACGAGTCTGTCCAATTTTAACCGCAAAACTGTTTTGAAAACTTGCCCAAGGAAACGTATCTGACAATATTTATGGAAGAACGAACGAGCAACGTTAAAAAATTGAACTAAAAAGCTTGATCAAACTCAACACCCGACAAACTTTGCAAATATTATTAAATTATTTTTTTTCAAGCTTGATCAAACTCAGCTTGCAAAAAGCTTTTTTTGTTTTTTTCAAATGCGGTGTTGTTTGAAATTGCGTCGAAAGTACTTTACAGTAAACAAAAAAAGACTGTTGACGTACGTTTCTATCTTTTTTCTAGATATAACACGCATGTTTGAGACAGTACTACGGTGGCCGGTCAATATTGCGCAGTCAGTTTCGAGCCAGGAAATTTTTTTAATTTTCTTTCTTTTTTTGCAATTTGTTAAGGACCTATTTCTCGAGGTTACAAGGTAAGTTACGTCACAAAAAGTATATACACACGATTTCATTTTATTATTGAAAAAAACCTATCCAAACTACTGTAATACGACCGGCCACCTTAAACAGGCGTGCTAAAGTCAATTTTTGTGAACTTTCAATTATTCTGAAACTCAGAAATCACTGATCAACTTCGAGACGTTCAAAACAATATCTTTCAAGCATTTTTGGATTTTTATCCGCTTTGAGAGTACTTTTTCGTATCCGCAGTCACTAAATTATTCGATCTCGAGGAAATTTGAACGATAATGCTTTTTTTTGTCGCTTTGAACGTTTCGAAGCGGCTCGACAAGAAAGTCACCGTTTAAAAGTGATTTTGCGCCTTTTTCACGCCAAAGCCTATCTGAAAAGATCGCCCGAGTTCAAAAAAATATATATATATATATATAAAATCTATCTAGGGCCCGAGATCAAATAATAATTGAAATTTAAAATATAAAAAAACGTTTTTTTGAACGTTGAAAAGATGCGAAAAAGTGGAGAAATCAATACAAAAATCTCTCTAGGGTCCGAGATCAAAAAATTGGCGAGGTCAAAAAGGATTACTGTAATAGCATGTCTGACTCTTCAGCCGTGTTCAAAGTGATTATTATTGCAATTTGAATATAAAAATAAAAAAAAATCGAGCCGCCTACTCCTGCTTGCCAATTTTCAGACAGAAACTTTGGATTCTCCAAGTGAAAAACCAAAAGTGATGCCGCTGAAGCATCTTCTGCCGTGCTGTGATGAGGTCGGCCGGGAGAACCTGACCGGACTCGACTTTTGCAAGTCTTTGTGAGCCCTCTTTCAGAATGGCGTTGAGCACGACTTCCGATGTTCAGCAACAACTCTTTTGGACCGTTCGGAGTTCGAAAATCGAGGTACAAGCAAAATACACAGAAAGCTCAAGTCTTCTCTACAGCCGCTTCTGATGTCTCCGTCAGATATCTTTTATTTTACATTAAATATTCTATTCTCTCAATGTTCATGTTGCTACAAAAACTCTAACACTGCGGCCAGAGTAGTTGCAATTATTTTGGCTCCCGGAGGATTTACTAGACCAATCAATATGTTCTTTGGTGCGCCTAGGAGGATTTACAAGATCAAACGATCATCCTCAGACCTTGGTAACGCGAACGGCACGCGAATCGGACGTGTCGGGGCATTTCTAGTGACCACTTTAGTAGCCTCAGAACTCTTAAGGGATCCCTAGAATCGCCAGAAAGTCGGCGAGACTGACTGGGAATAGGAGCACGGAGGAGTAAGAGTTCACCAGTCTCCTTGGATAGACCGAAGTGCACTGATAGAAATAAGCGAAAATATAAAGGTTCAATATAGTCTTTCAGATTTTTAATGTTACGCAGCAAACTCCGCCCTTAACAACAAGAACAAGCGAAGTTAAGTCAAATCTGGCAGATGCCCGTTTCTGAAGAGAAAAAAATCGGGACAAGTTGGCGCGAAATAAAACATTTCCTGGCCTTTCGGGCTTTGACTGAGCAGGTATTTTACACCGCCTTTCTCGCGACGCCCCGCCGTAAAGAAAGGATATAAAATAGATATCAGAAGTTAATAACTTGGATTGAATCAAAAAAGCAAAAAAAAAAGTCGAAAACTTTGTTCTATGAAAATTAAAATATGGAAAGTATGGAAAACCAAGATGGAACAACGAATAACAGTATATTATACACTCAGTTCGATAAAAAACAAAAATTGGGGAAAAAAAATTCAATTTGATCTGTTTTTTTCTCTCCTAGAAATTACGCGACGGTGTAGGGCTTTGGTTTCACAAGGTAGCGGAAGGATCTCTTTGCCAAGGAGCCACGCGAGAACTTGTGCCTGAGAAGAACAGTTATAAAATCTATGAAACAGATGATAAATGTGGAATCTTGGAAAAAAAGGTCGTAAAAATAACTTTTTAAAGAAAATTTGATGAGCAAAATTCAAAGATTTTAATTAGTACCGTAATCGCTTGGTGTAACTCTTGCCGACAACAGCTTCAACATTGTGACGATATCGTAGCGCTGCCTCAATAACGTTCAACGGTTCGGCATTTACTTCCTCTTGCGATTGGAGCGAGAGATTCGTTCTGCAATTCCTAACAATTACAGGTCGTAGTTCTTATGATATTTAAAATGTGTAAAGAGCGAGTAATCTCTTGGGATCAAGGCGCTTTATACATTTTTTTCTTGGTTTTTTTTCTCGGATGGCCGCTAAGAGTTAGGAAGGTAGCAAAAAGACCTTTCTTTTATGTACATGAGCTACCAGGAGCAAAATTCCAGGATTTTGTACTTTTTTAATTCAAAAACCTGTGCGTTTTATATGAATGAATAAACGGGATTACCTTGTACTACACTTTTCAGAAAGGTAATAATTTCGTTGACTGAAGCCCTCCAAAGGGACGCTCGAAGCTCGGTCTCCAAAAAAGAATACCCTGAAAAATCCAATTTTTTTTCTGAAAGGAATTATCCGGCATTTTGGGGCCTCATTATGGAAAGTCATTTAAGCATACGGCTTCCCCTTTTTTTCGTCTGACTCTCGAAACTTCAAATCTTTTCCACTACCTGACGCGGCATTTAATAGTAGTACGTTTTTGGTTGTTTTCAGACCTAACAGCTTGAAAAAGTAGGAGCGTTATTAAAGGATCATCGGCGCGCTCAAAAATGTCGACCGGAAAGACACTGTATATACCAGGGACAGTTAGCTTCTCTAAAACGAAAAGTTTGAGCAGCAGATAGCGCCTATGTGGGCTCAATTCCCAGTCCATCAAAGACTGATTGAGCGCTTTTACAGAAAAAATTTAAATCGTATTCTAAAATGACCTCCCATGAGAAAAAAAATGTGCATTGTTTCTAGTCGGCTTTTTTTCATTCGTTAAATTAATTTTACCTATCAGATGTAATCTCCCAAATCCGCAATAAGCCTTCCCGTGCAGCCATATCGAGGGCAACTTTCAAAGTCTCACCGGCGCCTGGATAAACAGGAAAATCAATTAAAGAGCCCATAAATATAACAAACTTTGACTAACGAGCCGCTTTTTGTCCGCGTAAATTCCAACCACGTACATGGGCTCAGCGCTGACTTCACCGACGGCTCTCAGAATCCTTGGCTCAACCTCAAAAATTCAAATGATTTTTTTTAAACTTTTTTTTTCGACTTTCCATGATCTATAGAAGAGTCTCCTGTTCGCCCTGAGCAAGTCACAGGGAAAAAGAAAACAAAATTCATCATAAAAATTATTGAAGTCGAAACTTCTTTGTTTCTCATCGTTTGTAGACCATTCAAAACGGATTAAAAAAAGATGTCCAAGAAAGTTTTTTCGGAAATACTGCCATCGGAAAGTTTGCTGATAAGACGATTTTTCGTGAATTTTTTCAAGATTAAAAAAAAAGAAACCTCGGTTACGCCGTCCAGCTTGAGTAGGTCGGTTAGGATGGTGAGTGGATCCGCAACTGGGAAGATATCTTCAAAAATAGGAGCTAATTATCAGCGAAAATGTGTGAATGATTGACCAGCGAAATCGATATCAAGTATTTGGGGAACGACGAAGTCGATGACGATAGCTTTGGCTTTTTCATCGGCGACGACGCCAGCAAGGGCCCGCATCGCGTCGGCCAACGACTTTCGGCTCGGGGGATGTTCCGCCGTACGTAGAAGGTGCTCCACACCTTAGAATGAATATATTTACAAATTTTATTGAAAATTCAATAAAGTTTTTTGATCGTCCTGAGAAATATTTTCTCATCAAGAACAGTGAAATGGGCAGTAAAAAACGGGATTAAACAAAGGAGTTAATTTTACTTGGCTGTTTGGAATTTTCTATAAATTTGCTCAAACACTCTTCAGAGATCCCACATAGTGGCTACCTGCCCATACTTCTAATTTTCGACATATTAATTTTTAAAGTTGCGTTTAACACAAAGTTAGATCCCACAAGGAGGTCATTTTTCTTTGTGGCTTGGAATCATCTACAATTTTGCTCAAACAATCTCTGAAGGTTTATATTAGGATCCATCATTTCGAGATAATTATTTTTGAAGCTCGAAAAATTAGGCTTTAAAACTTATAATTCGCAACTTGGAAAAATCATATCTCAAAAATCAGACACATACCGAAAATTAAAATGACCTCCCTTGTAAGGTGAAAGCAGTTTCTTGTTAAGCTTTTTATTGCGTATCGAGCGGTTTAGATGAATAAATGGTCCACCACCATTTGTAATCGATTACAAACCAAAAACTTCGAAAAGAATATAACAAACTGACCAATGTGTGATCCAATATGAGCAAGGATCTCATCACCAAGAAGTTGAGCTTCGACGGCTTCGATCAGGTCTTCAGGCGCCTTGGAAAGATGGAATCTTAGGTAGCGTTTCAGCCACGTCGACAGCTTTTCCTGGCCTGTAGAACGAGATTTTCTACATGATAATTGAAGAAAACTTTCAAGAGTATAGGAAAACTCTCTTGGAGCTCATAGTCGAAAAATGGTAGTTCGAATTTCACAAAGCTTCAGAAAAATGTTCTTTGAACTTTTATCGGCTTTCGACTGTGAAAATCAAATGAATTTGAAGTGAATTTTTGTCATTAAAAAAAACCTTGAGAAATGAGACGTTCATTGTGCTCCCCGCCCGAGCCCCCGGGAGCCGCTGATTCAACATTTCCTTCTACGTCTCTTCGGGTGAAGAAGGAAGCATTTGTGAAGGCCTAAACAATTCTAACTATTATTATTGTGAAAATGAAAGGAAAAACAAAAATTCAAAATCTCATAAACTATAAACTTGTCCACATTTTTAAGTGCTGACACAGTATCTCTTCGCGTCGTTGATTATAGCGCGCGACGATGATCCTTTAATACTGGAAGCTTTCTTGATCTGACAGTTTGAAAAAATCCAAAAAACTCAGCGCTACTAAAGGATCATCGTCCCGCGCGAAAAGTATTTTCTAGATGATTCACGTACTGGCTTGAGCCACCAAAAAAAGGTCCCGAGACGATAATGCACGAGATAGTGCCTGGCTCATGGAGAGCGCAGACAGGCCACGCCCCCTTAGCGTCCCAAGCAAGCCGTGAATCAGCTATATAGCTATTGGGCAGGTTAGCTACATCAGTCAAAATCTGAACAGGTCGTTGATCCTCAAAAAAAGGAACCTGAGTGAAGTCAGCTTCCGCGACTTCAGGAGCTCCAATTCTGTGACCAAACGCATAAACTTCGCTCGAGTAGTCCCTACAAACATCAAACATTTTTCCATTTAGCACATCATCTTTGTTCGAAAAACCTTCCTTGATAGATAATTTAACTTTTCTTGCTTGATTAGTTGATTGAAGGAGCCATAAAAATTGACATTTTTTCAGTAATGAGCTCTTAAATTGACTACGACGAACATCTTTGTGATATATATAAATATACCAAGAATTAAAAAAATATTCCATTTGAAATCTTTACAAGCTGCTTCAAAGTACAACAAATAAAAAATTTATCATTTGACACGATACAGAATGGAATAGAAACTCTTGCAATATAAATGGCTTTCGGATTGATAAAACCTTCATGAGAACATAGCAAATGTCAATGCACAATAATGACGAAAAAAAAAGTCAGTGACACGTATTCAAAATGTAAGACGTAAAATCTCGAATCATGGCTAGAAGAAATAAAAAGCTAGTATCTAGAGAGAGGAAAAAGAGCTTGAATCACATGCGGAAGACACCAAAAGGCGTCTCCGCGATCGGCTGCTGCAGCGTCGATTGGAACGCCAATCCGAGCACCTGAAATGATCAAACTGAGTTGTTAGAGCTAGAAAACTTATTACTTTGATTCAATAAAATGAGGGAGTTCTTACACGAACCCAATGTGAAAAAAAATTCAAGCTCTGTTCAAGAAGAAGGGAACGAAAAATAATGAAACTACTTCACCTTTCTTGTATTCTTAGGGTCGATGACCCCATCGTCCCAAAGCCTGGCTGAGGCGAAGTATGGATGTCCTTCCTCTTCGAACTTTTTCTCAACCGGGGTCCTCAAAGCCTTGTCTTCCTCCTGGAATGAAAAAAGATTGAGAGCAACAAACTCTCTTTTTTCTTTTTGTACTCTTCTCAAAGTCAAGTTTTTTACATGAAATGATAATTTACCGATAATAAAATAATCAATTTTCTTCACATGCAACTTTTTAGTGGATATAAAACAGCTACAAAAGAAATATTTCAAAAAAACACCAAAAGATCTCTCGAGTAACTACTTTGCTCTTTTTTTCAAATTGCCCTGTGTCTTTTCTTGAGCTTTTTCTTTCCGGCATCAAAATATCAGCCATTTTTAGAACTTTTCAGAAAAGCAATAAATTAGGAGTTGACAAGATGGGCTCTCTTTCATAGTCATCAAAAAGGGATCTTTCAAAGACCTTCTTTATTTGCTTGTGTACATTAGAAACTGAATAAAAACTTTCAAAATTAAAAAATTAAAAAATTTCAAAGACACAAACAAACATCGGTCCAAGGCTTTCCCTCGCGTTGCTTCTTCGCCGCTTGCACAGTCGAAAGAACATTGGCCGCCTGTTCACCGCCCATAACGGAAATCCGGGCATTCGGCCACATGAACATGTATCTTAAATGGGGAGAACGTGTCAAATTTTGAGAGTAAAAAGCCGACCGAGGGCTGTATCCACGCCCGCACATTCCGTAGTTTCCTGCCCCATAGGAGCCTCCAATGACTAATGTTATTTTTGGCACTTTTGCACAAGCGACCGCCGTCACCAACTTTGCTCCGTGTTTCGCGATGCCGCCTGCTTCGGCGTCGCGACCAACCTGAACATAATCGAGAATGAAGATAAATCTGACTTTTTTTTTTACTCTCCTTCATAATTCTTCATTTACTTTTGTGAAACCCTCTCACAGTTCAAAATATTTATAAATTCTTCATGCCGTGTTCAAAGTGATTCCGCGAAATTCAAAATAGCCGTCACAGAAAGAGAAAGATAACTGAATTTTGGAGGGTCAGAGACCATTTCGCATTTCGCGGAAATTACTTTGAACACGGCATCAGAGCCATTTGAAAAGTTTTCGTTAGATCTTTTTTATTCTTTCAAATTAAAAAAAATCGTAGATTGAGATTTGGTCATTCAAAATAAAAATTTTGAAAAGCTCAAAAAAGTTCAGTCGATTTCATGTGTTCTCTTTTGTCAAATTTTTGCGCATTGGAAACTCAAAAACCCAAGTTCCTAAGCTTAAGCCTTCAAAAAAATAACGTTAGCTTTCTTTTCACTAGGTTGAAAATTTCAAATAATGTACCTACTCATCGTTATAATTAAACATTTGTGATTTGAAAATAATGATTTTTGAAAACAAAAAACGAAATACGAACCATGAAGCCAGTGATGTTCTGGAGGAAAAGGAGCGGGATTTTGCGTTGACAGCACAATTCGATGAAATGAGCTCCTTTCATCGAGCTTTCCGAGAACAAAACGCCGTTGTTGGCCAGGATACCCACCCGTTGTCCATAAATGGTTGCGAATCCTGCAAAAATGGTTTTTGAATGAATGTGCTAATGACACATTGAGAAAAAAAATTGATAATCATTACCAGTAACAAGTGTTTCGCCGTAACGTTCCTTGAACTCGTCGAATCTCGATCCATCGACGATCCGTGCGATTACTTCCCGTACCTAACGAGTTGAAATGTGTGTGTGTGTGTGTGTGTGTGTGTGTGCCATGACTTTAAATTTCACCCAACGAAACTCCAACTCCTTCGCGAAGCGTCTTGCCTTTGCGAATCTCGGTCGCGTTTTCATATTTTTTTATTTGAAATTTCCTTTATTTAATCATGTTTTTTTGTGCCAAAATCGTGACCATCACTCCTTGTGCATTGACTACGAAAAATATTGAACAAAATCACGAACCATTTCATGAAAAATTGTCGAATGTTGTAAAGGCTAACTTTCGTTCAAAATTTGAAAATTATTTGGCTTTCGTTTGTTTTTAATAAAACAATTCATCTACCAGCAGTGTAATCATGAAATCGGCACAAAAAAAAACAAAAAAAAACATTATTTTTAAAACAAAAATTGGAAGCGTGACCGAGATTGGCAAGACGGATACGTTTTCAAGACCACAAGGCCACACAGCGGAATGTCGTTAGGTGAAATTTCAAGCCATGTCATACAGATTATGAGGAAAAAAGAAAATAGAGAATCGGAAACCAACGTCAAAAGTTTTTTTCAAGTTCGCTCCAACGATTCCATAAAGCTCTTCGGCGGGGTACAATGGTTCATCAGCTAAACAGAAAGGTTCAGAAATGTTTAATGTAGAAAATCTAAACCATTAATGTCAAAGTGAGCAGCGCCTTCTGCGGGGCCAATACCGGCAATACAGTTTCGCGCCAATCGCAGTGCATGAGCATCGCTGACCGCGTAGTAGTCGGTGACTCCCGACTCGGAACAATGCAGATCGGCACCTCCAAGTTCTTCAGCCGAAATCTGATTTGACAAAAAAAATTACAAAAAACTCATCTCTTTTGAGTTCTTGTTCTTAACAAAGAGGTCTTAAAATGTTTACTGGCTGAATAATAAATCTTTTCCAAAGCCGTAAAGGAGTTTTGAGTTTTCTGGGGCGGTTGAAAGGGCCGGAAAAAAAAAAATGAAACAAAGATATGAGCGCGTAAGAGCCAAAAAGGTACACAAAATGTAACAGTTTCGTTCTCAGCTCATTTCTGCGACTAAAAATGAAATCATAAAAAGCTGAAAATTTATCAGCTATTGGACAACAGTAAAAATGTCAGAGTGAAAAAGATGGTTGATTTGTGAAGAGTCAGAGACAATTACAAGAATAAACGATCACCTATAAGCCTACGCCGATCGACTAGTGCAGGCAATCGCCTACAAAAAAAACTTTCCGGTCTTCATCGACGAAAAAAAAAAATCCAACTTATTGGTTTTTATCAAACTACCAATGAAAAAGACGAAACCTCCTCTCCAGTTGCAGCTTTGACAAGGGGCGGTCCTCCGAGGAAAACGGTTCCGTTTCCTTTGACAATGATGGCCTGGTCGGACATGGCCGGCACGTAGGCACCTCCGGCCGTGCAGCTGCCCATCACGACGGCCAACTGCGGGATTCCCATGCTGCTCATGTTCGCCTGGTTGTAGAAGATGCGGCCGAAATGCTGGCTGTCGGCGAAAATGTCCGCCTGGCGGGGAAGGTTGGCACCGCCCGAATCGACGAGATAGATACAGGGAAGCTTGTTCTCCCTGAACCGAGAACAGTTTGTTTTTCTTGATCTAAATCTAATCGGGAACCGTGCAATCTCCTGAGCGCGCAAATGCTTCTTCACGGTGATTGGGTAGTAAGTTCCACCTTTGACAGTAGCGTCGTTCGCCACAATCACGCATATTCGACCGGAAACATGGCCGATGCCGGTTAAAATTCCACCCGATGGAACCTCTTCTTTGCCATATTTCTTAAAGTAAAAAAATTTTTTTTTATAGTATACTCATTAAAAAAAGTGTTAATTGATAGTTCAATGTTGAAGTAACAAAAAAATATCTTAACTTACATCTTGACCTTACGAACTGGAAGGAGCACATCATTTTTGAAAAATAATTTTTTTGAAATAATAAATTTCCGACTTTATAAAAAGAGCTGCTAAGTTCTGAAACTTACAAAAAAATTTTTTTAACCAAAAAAATTCGTTTATATAATTTTTTTAAATAAAAGTTTCCGAAAAAGAAAAATAGAACTTTTTGACCGTCATTTTTTTTTCTCACACAATTCTCACACAGGTAATGAAAAAAAAAATCAAACCTCAAAGCCAGCGAGCTGACTAAATTCCAAGAAAGCGGTTCCAGGGTCGACAAGGGCGTCGATGCGTTCTCTGGCAAGCATTTTCCCGCGACTTCGGTGCAACTTCACGGCTTTCTCGCCGCCGGCTTCGGCGATTTTCTGGATTTTGGCGTCGAGGTCCTCGACGAGGTCCCGCATCTGCTTTTTATTAGCAGCGAACGATTCAGAAGACGAGTCGATCGCCGTCACGATCGGCGACCAGTAGCGTGTCGCATCGCAGTGGTGCAGTCGCACCGACGTCGCCAAAACCGCCGGACTGCTGCTTTCATTTGAATAACTGGTAATTTCCCCCAGTCTCTTATTGATTAGTAATAGCCCATTAATTTGAGATGCGATAAACCATTATTTATGATCAAGGAAGGTTTTCCGAAAAAAAAAACTATCGCAAACAAACCAATTGGGATAAGCACTTCTGGAAATCGCCGGATCTGCGCCGAGTAACTGCCGCCGATGGTAGAGGTCCTTGAGGTAGCCGCGTTCCCAACGAGCTCGCAAGAAGCGACCTATATAATTATAAAATTTTACAAGAACTCCTCAATTGAATTCGCAAATTGTATTGATATCAAAAAGTTTCTTTTTTTTCGGGATACTGGACAAGAAAGACCACTACAAAGAAGTCTGTGAGGCTTTTTCTTCAAAGGTTCTTTTTAGGTCCTTCTGGACTTTGCCCGTTTTTGTGGTTGAAAACGCATTAAAAGTTAACTAAAGCCAACACACTATTTGATGTACTTGATGAAGATCCTGATAATCTCAACATTAAAGCTTTTTAATTTTTGAAATAAGACCTCTCAAAGTCAGAGAAAAACTCTCAAAAGCTACTTTCAAGGGCTTTGAGCCCAGATCATTTGATCCCTAGGAAGTTGTGCAGGTTTTTTTTTCAAAATCTTCTTTGGAACGCCAATGATTGTTCTGCCAACTTTCAGGGAAATCCCAATCGCAATGTAAAATTAGCTTCCTTGTGAGATAAATGTATTTTTGTGTATCAATTATGATATTTTCTGATGAGGAAAAAATGAACTATGAAATCTTACAAGCTTGTATGTTGGTAGAACGTGTTCCCAGGTTTTGAGTGACGTGGCGCAGCATCACGGCAGCTGAACTTTCTTCAATTTTCAAAATTAGAAAAAAAATTTTATTTTTTCGAACTCAATAACTTCACAGGGCAGAAACTTTGGTAATAGTGATTCACAACAAGATAGAGACAAAGAGAAGATGAAAAAAACTCCTAGTTAAGAAAAAGGGCTTTGAAAAAGTTACTTGACGTATTCGTTGATCAAAAACCAAAAAAACTTTTGAAAAATTCTTTTTTTGTACATTTTATCATTGTTTTTTTCTACGCGTGATGAAAAATCTTCAACTTTTATTTATTTTGACACAAAAAAGCCAATAAAATCACATGCAATCAGAAAAAAAAAGCGAAAAACATATGAAAACTAAGGAAAATTAGCCATATGATAAAAAACAAGAAAAGTTTCAAAGAAAGCACGAGCTTCAAACGAGTTGTGTGCAAGACGAGACGAAAGAGCCTCGACTGTTAAAATGACATTGTGATGACGGGAATATGAGATGGTGCAGGGGAGAAAAGAAAAATGTGAAGAAAAGTGTCGCGCGTAAAACAAAGAGGATCGCGTTTTCGCAACAGATTCTTTTTTATAAAACAGAAAGATAGAAAAACAAGTTGTTTTAAAGCCCACAGTATTCCGAAGTAGTTATTTGAGGTGTAAAAGTAGGCAAGACAGTAAATTGATTTTTCGGTCACGCAGCGAAAAGTAGATTAGTTAGAATTTCTCGATTTGATTGTTTTCAACTACTCAAGCACTGCCTGAGTAGTTGAATACCATGGTATATAGGGTGTGCGCTGTGCGTCAGGCGGGAACGCGTCGAGTGCATCTTCTTTTTTTTTCGCATTTTTTGTTCATATAAGCTGATAAATTCCGCCTTTCTCATTTTTATTTTTCTTTTTTCACACGCTTAGGTTTTTGAAAAACTTTCACAAATAAAGCTTCCATAAAAGTGCTTGAAACAGGTTTTAAAGTGAGCAATGATACTTAACACGCTGTCTCCGTTATTCTCAAAAAAATTTCTAAAAAGCAACGGGTACAATAAAAAAAATTTTTTTGATTTCGACAAAACTTCATCCAGTGTGATAACCCATCATCAGAAATGCGGACCCAACTTTTTTTGAGCCATTTCCTTTTTACTGTAGCCGGGTTACGGTAGGCAGGTGGGCACCTGCGTATCTCAGTATTTATGAGTTTTTTTATTAGGCAAGTGATATATCAATCGATAGGTAATTCAATTTTAGGAACTTTTACAGTACATACCATCATGGGTTACGGTGGGAAAAATTTTTGAGTTACGGTACTTTTTTTGTGTCTGCCGAGTCAGTTTTTTTCGACCACCATGAGCTTGAGCCAGGAGATCCATTCTTCCTAACTTCTCAAAAAGATACCTTATGAGAAGCTGTACAAGCTGTTACTAGTTTGAAAAAAATCCTAGGTGGACCATCATTTCGAAAAAAATCGCCTCGAAGGGCGCGCAATCGTGGTCTTGCGGCGGCCAAGTGGGTGAAGTCCATGATGCCTGACGGCTCATTCTTCAGAGATCCATTCCAATCTTTGTTTTCATTTCACTAATAGACATCTATTATTGATTTTTTTATTTCAATTTGAGATGTTTTTCGGGTTGACCATCATCTCGAAATTTCATTTTGAACCCAAATTTGGCCTAAAATGGCCGACTCGGCCTTTTTCACGGGATCCCTGACCCCGTATGTGACCGTTCTCAACTTTTTCCTTTCTTAAACATGAACAAGAGTGTCTGAACAACAGTTTTATAACAATCGGAAACCATCTTGAGAGGACCATCATCTCGAAATATCGATTTTAACCTGAATTTGGCTTGAAAACTTTTGGTTTACCCTTCCAATGAAATTATTGGTTCCCTCAATACAGATCTTGGCCCTTTTAACTTTTTGATGAGAATATAAAGATGAGAACTGAAAATAAAATTTATTTTGGACCAATTCCAAAATGACCGTTTACCTAGGAAACCCACTTTTAAATAAAATTTTGCTTGAAAATCGAAATATTTTTTTGGTTATTTTTTTTCTATTTTTTTCACAAAAAAATAGTCACAAGACGAATGTCTTGTTTTTTTAGGTATGAAAAAAATTTTGAAGATTTAGAACTACTATTTAGGTTATAATAAAAAAACATTTATAAAAAAATCACCTTGAAAGTGAAGTTTCAACCTCACCGGTAGTCAGAAAGACGAGTTTTTTTCTTTTTATGAAAAAAATTTCTTGGTATTTCACATTTCTCATTTTTTTGATTAGCTGTTTTGAAAAATAAATTGGCAGAATAGATTTCGATGTAAATGATAAAAAAACTTCAAATGGGGAAACTAAGCCGATATTTGAGTTCAAATCGATATTTCGAGATGATGGTCCTCTCAAGATGGGTTTCCGATTGTTATAAAACTGTTGTTCAGACACTCTTGTTCATGTTTAAGAAAGGAAAAAAAGTTGAGAACGGTCACATACGGGGTCAGGGATCCCGTGAAAAAGGCCGAGTCGGCCATTTTAGGCCAAATTTGGGTTCAAAATGAAATTTCGAGATGATGGTCAACCCGAAAACATCTCAAATTGAAATAAAAATCAATAATAGATGTCTATTAGTGAAATGAAAACAAAGATTGGAATGGATCTCTGAAGAATGAGCCGTCAGGCATCATGGACTTCACCCACTTGGCCGCCGCAAGACCACGATTGCGCGCCTTCGAGGCGATTTTTCGAAATGATGGTCCACCTAGGATTTTTTCAAACTAGTAACAGCTTGTACAGCTTCTCATAAGGTATCTTTTTGAGAAGTTAGGAAGAATGGATCTCCTGGCTCAAGCTCATGGTGGTCGAAAAAAACTGACTCGGCAGACACAAAAAAAGTACCGTAACTCAAAAATTTTTCCCACCGTAACCCATGATGGTATGTACTGTAAAAGTTCCTAAAATTGAATTACCTATCGATTGATATATCACTTGCCTAATAAAAAAACTCATAAATACTGAGATACGCAGGTGCCCACCTGCCTACCGTAACCCGGCTACAGTAAAAAGGAAATGGCTCAAAAAAAGTTGGGTCCGCATTTCTGATGATGGGTTATCACACTGGATGAAGTTTTGTCGAAATCAAAAAATATTTTTTTTATTGTACCCGTTGTTTTTGAGAATAACGGAGACAGCGTGTTAATAAGCCCTATGAAAAATAAGAAAAACACGTTCTTAAAGTTTTTTTTATAACCAAAAAGCAAAAATAAGAGCCAGAATCCCAGCACGTCCCCTGCCAGAGCCTCAGTCACAATACGTTTCGTTATCGCGCGTTTACTGCCAAATTTTTTTGACGTTCATGAACTCTGTTGGCTTGTTCAGACCTAATTTGACGCGTTTTGCATACAAGTTTTTCTCGTTCAAAGACAGTGAAAGTGAAAGTTTTTCATAGCATGATTGGTCAGCCCGCTGAACTGACAAGAAGAAAATTTTTGAAAGAAAATTTATATTGAAAATTTACCAAAAAGGCGGAGCCGTCAAATCACACTGTCCGAACCCTCTGCGTACTGACGCGCTCGAACCGTTAAGCCGGAAAAAAATGCGCGCGTCAGATTAGTTTTCTCCAAAGATAACTAAATTTTAGAGAGACGGAGTTCGAATTTCGCGTAAATACCTTTAAACATGGCCTTATGTGGGAGCTACACAGAAGAATCATGCCGAAGGCGCCTTTCCACGGAGTGTAAAATAATTTTAACCTTAAAACAGACACCATATGGCGAGTGAGGGAGTGTGGGCGTGGCTTAATGCAACTTCCGCGCAGTCATAGAAGATGATTCTCCGTGTGGCTTTATGCCGTGTTCAAAGTAATTTCCGCGAAATGCGAAATACCCGTTAGAGAAAAGAAAAGATCACTAAATTTTGGAGAGTCAGAGATCATTTTGCATTTCGCGGAAATTACTTTGAACACGGCATTACTCTCTTGTGTACGATGGTACGACAAAATCTCAAGTCCGCAAATCTCGAGAACCGTAATCTTGTGTACGCAGATCTAAAGTCCCATAATCTTGGAGACCAAAATCTTGGAGACCAAAATCTTGGAAACCACAATCTTGGAAAGTAAAAATCAACGCTTTTGCGAATAGATTTCATCAGAATTGTATTCGGTGATCCAAACAAGAGAATATAAGTAGATAAAGTGCAATAAAGAAGACTAAAAAGGGAGATTTTTGCCTTCCAAGATTGTGGTTTCCAAGATTTTGGTCTCCAAGATTTTGGTTTCCAAGATTATGGGACTTTAGATCTGCGTACACAAGATTACGGTCCTCGAGATTTGCGGACTTGAGATTTTGACGTACCATCCTGTGTACATGTATTTTCGGATCAAAAATTATTTGAAGCTGCTTCTTTTTGAGAGAAACGCACGTGGAAATGTTCATTTCACGACGGAGAACCAGATAGCACTCCAGAGATTCCAGATAGAACCAGATAGCACTCCAGATTACGGAAACATTAAAAGAAGAAAATTAAGATTTTTAAAAAATCAGTTTTTTGCATCAAAACTTGAAAAGTCAAGAGTTTGAACTTCATACAGTGTTTTCCACGCAAGATGGTCGATTTTTAGACTCTTGTTAGTTTTTCGTTTCTTCTTGCACGATTAAGTCTGAGCTACCAAAATCTTTGCAAATGACAAAAAAATTTTAATTCAAAACGTTCGGTTGCCAGTTATATATAGGTACACTTCTATGCGTGGTAGTAAACGTTCTCTGTAGGAAAAAAAAAATATCAAACCTATTAGACTTTATTTGACACGAAAAAAGACATGCAGTAAATATTTCTTCTATTCACCCATCATTACAAACAATCGACTAAAACAAACCTAAATAAAATTCTATTTTCTTGACTCTTCGGATTGAGAGAGAATTTTCCATGCACTGAATTATTACGACTTAGAAGGGACCGTAAACAAAAACTTATGTACAGAACTGGTGGCAAAATTGAACAACAAAAGGAAGAGAAGGTGGGGAGGATATTATAGAATAATTTAATGCTCGAGGATACGCAAGTTTCCGGAAACAATTTTGTTTTCAAGTATCGATCCGGGTGGGATGTCGATCCTATCACCATGGTTTGCAATGATGATTACCGTTCCCTGAAAGACGTATCATCACCTTTTCTGATCTGTTTTTCTTTGAATTTACCTTGAGGGAAACGTCTTTTCCGAACCAAACGTCACCGCTCACCGTCAGATGGTCGAGCTCCAACAAGTCAGGGCTGCCATTGAAGCGCGACAAGAAATCTTTTACCTAAAGAAGCGGTGGAAAAATGTAAAAATAGGGATCATTCTAGAACGGCGCCCGACGGTGCAGGGAAAAGCCCGTAAAAATGCTTAGCCCACTCTCTTTTTTTAAACCAAAAAAAATTGACAAGAAAAAAAACCTTGTCGAAGCTGCTGCCAAGCTTGACAAGAGGTGTCGTGGGGAACGATCGTTGTTGTGAGAGGGTCAGACTGCCATTGTCGATGTCGTAGAGGTTGGACATGAGCAGCAGCAGATCGGACGTCTTTTTGACGGGAAGGAACCGCGACCGGGGCACATTGATGCCTGAAAACCGTGATTCCCTGAGTGATCCGAAAGGGAGGAGGACGTACCGACAGCTCCCTTGAAGCTCTTGATAGCGGCACCAGCAGCCGTCTCGAGCTGGATGACGTCAAGACCGCGGTCAATGTGCTTCGGATTGACGATCACTTCCATTTCGAGTTGGTTGTTCTCGACGACGCGCTTCATTGCATCCAACTTTGCCCAGAGATTATTCGTGTTGAAGATTCTGAAAGGGCTCTTGTTTAAAAAGGGCGAATCAATACTCGTCAAAGTTTACCTAAACTTGCTGATCGACTTGAACTCATCGGTATAATCCTTTGGCACTTGAGCAATCTCGAGAAGCATCAAACGCCCTTCGTACTGAATCAGCGTACCTCCCTTCACATCGGCTCTGGTCTTGTCAGTAACCTCAAAAAAAATTTTTAACTCTGGGAAAATTTTAGTGGTCAGTATAGGAGTACTTGAAGAGGATACTAAAGTGGTCCTTCTGGGAGCTTAGTTTCGTAGATCTCTAGTGGAACCATTCTCCAACTAGACTTATTCTTGGATGATTCTGACAGATAAGTTCTAAGCACGCAGTCCTGAGAAACTGTATACAGTACCGCCCAAAAAATTTTGGTTTTTCAGGCCTAGCGCGCTGAAATCTTCATGAAATTAATTTTTTCTGGGGCTTCGAAACATTATTTAATGAGTTAGTGTACGGTAGTTTTGATTTCGTGAATCAATCGTCTAGGTTGACTAAAAGGAAATATTTTCCGAAAAGCCTCAAGCCGAGAGCTAATAAAAGCTATTCAACAATCTCGCCATTTCCCTAAAATTCTTTTTTTCAAAGTACCTCCATGAGAAACTCGGGCTGTTCATCGCCGTTAGGTGGGTTGAGGAGGAAGTTGAGGATTGAGAGGTCGACGGTGGCGCCCATGTTGTCAATGTTTGACAAGAAGCAGTACTCTTTTCCCTGGCTGATGAATTGATCCAAAAGTCCCGAGTTGGCGAAAGCCTCGTAGAAGTTTCCGTGACCTGGCGGATACCAGCTGAAAGTCCCGAATTTATGTTTATCCGATTAGGATCGCCAACATCTTGGATAAGTTCAGACTTTTTTAAGTTTAGAGAAGGGACTTGAATTTTTTTGGCGAGATTATTTTTTAGGGCGTTCACAAGGCTTTCAAACTCACTGACCCGAAAGATCTGGTTAAGATTTTGTGGCTGATAAAATTTAAATAATGAATGGAATAAGTTGGTTTATTTTTATCACTAAATTTTTGAAAACTCAGTCTGGTTTTTCTCAACCAGAAATTGTCGAAAGAAGAGCTTTTTCTATCAAAACTCTGAAGATCAAATTCCACAAAAATGCACCACTCATTATCGCCATTCTCCAGCGCCTTCGCAATCGGAAGCAGAGTTTCTCGATTGATTCTGGGATACTGCGACTGCGAGAATGTGTGGACCGAGACCTGAATTAGAAAAAAAATGATAAAAAACCAGAATAATGGTCTTTTATACCAACCTTGACATTTGCGTACTTTTTCAAGACTTTCTGCGTGTCTTCATCCGTGTTGAATGAGTTCATCAACACCAGTGGGACATCGACTCCAAATGTCTTGTTCAAGGTCTGAAAAACTGAACGTCAATGTCAAAAAATAAAACGAAGAGTAAAGTACTTCTTTTTTATCAGAATTAAGACTCGGATTTGCGGATCGACCTTTTTGGTTCTTTATACTTATTTTTAAATTCTCGGACTTTTCTGACTCCTAATTGATCCCTAGAATTGCCTAAAACGTCCGGTTTCAGTTACCGGGGTCCGAGTTAGAATGAGTTTTGTCGACGTTGTGCCGTGGAGCGCATGTTCGAGAGCAATTTCAGCTCACCTTTGCAATTTTTTCAGAGCTCATTTCACTCCGGCAAGTATACTAAACTCTAATTTGCAATCCTAGAAACGAAAACTTATTAAAAATGAAGTTGAGTAAGAAGAGAAAGAATAACTTGAATCTGTTGCATGGTGAGATCCAGGAAAGTCAAGTCGTTTCTCACAGAAATGACGGATTTCGGCCCTTTGCAACCCATCGAAGTTCCCAAGCCTGAAAACGAAAAAATTTCCTTCATGTTGACTTTTTCTACGAGATAAACCTCCATTAAGCTTGACAACAACGAGTTTCCGAAGCTGTTCGGCAATGCCTTCTTTTGAGTTTGGGGTAGCGAGCTGAATGACGAACATTTTTCGTGGATACGTGAAACGAAGGTTCATTTACACTTTTATATGGCCGGATCGAGCCCTCGGGAAGAGGTTCAATCTTTTGCCATTCGACGTGCGGCTTCGCTCGCAGGAACCGCGTGAAAAGGTTGCGGAAGCCAGAAAGTTCCTTGCGGGCGTGCTGAAAATTGAAAAAATAAGAACCCTTTCTGAAAGAAACGCCCTTTAGGAAGAACTTGTTCAATACCAAGAACTCCTATGAAACAACAAATCTAACGGTTCTTATTCTCCCTGTCCACACCTCATATTTCTGTTGACTTGAGGTCGAAAGCAGCTGGGCGAGCTCAGCTTCCAAAAGGCCAAGGGCTTCCCGCTTGGTAGACGATTTCCACTCCTCAGAGCTCTGAAAAATGTTGTTCTAATTTGATTTTCAGGATTTTTTTTTTGGTTTTTTGTTGACTGTTTGCTGCAGATTTTACTACTGTTCTGATGCTCTCAAATCGTAAAAATTTTATAGCCTTAGATAATCGAAAATGAGACAATGTTTAACAGGTTCGCTAGTAAATAAACTGTTTTCGCGAAAATCAAATTCCGCATTTCGCGGGAATAACTTTGACCATGGCATGAAGCTGATTAATAAAGTTTTCAGAAAATAGACTTACAATTGACGAAAATTTGTGTAATTTTTTATTATATCCCAAAAGCCAGGGAATAGCAAACAATTTAATGAACCCTTTTACCTTCTTCGAAATCATCGGAAAAAAAAAAATTCCAAAGAGATTTTAATTACTCTATGAAAATAAAACTGAAAAACCGGCCAAAAGCACAAAAAAGGATCGGCAAAGCAATAACATGAATGAAACCCCACGAAAGATCAGTAATACCTCTTCTTCTTTATGCTCGAGGGAATAAAGACGTTGGACAGGGTGAGGAACCATTTCGTATAGAGTTTCGAGCTCGCACGGACTCCTGGTGCACGACATTTAGGTAAAATATGCTCGCAAAGGACACAAAAAACGACGTCAACACTGAGGATGGTTTATTAAAAGAAATGGGGGGAGTTTACACGCAAAGAGCTCTCATTTTTCTCTTCTTCAGATTAATAAAGTCGTAAGTTCTGGGCAGACGAGTTTGATGAACGTTTTCATTTTACAAGCTTACTTGCTATCAAAACCTTTGAAAAATTCAGAGCGTTTGCAAAGTTTCGTGGCATGTCCAGTTATGGCTATCCTATGCGGGATCAGAAAAATTACTCAGATTTTATAAAAAAAGACCAAAATTAATCAAAGTGCTTTTTGGCCGGGTCAAAAATATGGACTAGAGTCTGCAAAAAGGACAACCATTTGGACAGACTCTAATTCTCAAATTTAATTCAAGAAAAGGGTATCAAAAACGTTGCAATCGAGGATAAAAAGAACATTTCGAGAGGCGCATATCCCAGATAACACACGTCAAAACGAGAAAAACTGGACGATCTACGAATTGACGCCGCACGCTTTCGCTCGCTTTTAAAAACTCCCTAAATTGTTTAACACGCTCTTAGCGGCGAAACAATAATAGAAGAAACATCGAGCGCGACTAATGACTTTAATTGAAAAAATAAAGAGAGAGAGAAAATGAGCGAAGAGACGGACTACAAGCAGACTGTAGGCAACTACAAAGCACATGGTAGTTTGGTTCAGTGTACTCATTCAAGTTTTTTTTTTTGGTTTCATTCATGAGCAGTACAAAACTCAATTGGTCCAGAAGGGTGGGCTTGCTTACAAAATCTACCAAAAACTAACGAAACCTCAGGGAGGTTGTTTTAGTATCAATAAAAGCAATTTTCAACCTCAGGAACTTTAGAAGGTAGTGATGACTTTATTTTTGGAATTTTTCGATGGAGGTTTGGCGGTCTTCAGAAACCGTCTCTCCCTGTATGCTTGGCAGGCAACTCGTAAAACTTAACTCGAAAGATGATTTTTTTGGGCCTGCCTTTCTCGCTACGGACAAAGAGTTAAATTTTCACTCATTTTTAGGACCCATTAACTTTTCAATCTCCAGAATAAAATTGCCTAAAGTTACATTTTCAAACGACCATCCGAAACATAAGTCGAAAAAATGTGTCAATAAACTTTGAATAGTTAAATTTTCAATTCGTGACTTCAGGGGGTTTGGAAAAAATGAACGTTGAACACAAATATTTTTGAAAATGAATTCAACAAAACCTTGTCATCCTGACACATTGACGAGAGCCGGACACGACTGTTGGGAACTGAGAGTGAGCTGGCCGACAGGGAAAAGTTCATCTTGCACACTGTACCAAACTCAGATTCCAGCAAATGGGACACGAAGACGAGTGAGCTTATCAAGCAAGAGTTGGGGCGATAGTGCAAACTATTTCTCGTCAATAACAACCACGGCGCCGTCAGAAAACAATATCACTGATGAAAATGGATCGTCCCATCGCCCACACGCCTTTCCAATCCATTTCGTCTACCACTCAATGAAAAAAGGAGAGAAGTAAAAGAAATGGAAGCACATGACTGACAACATGAAAAACTAAAAGGAGTCAATAGATTAGAAAGAAAAGGATTTCAAAAACCTTGTTTCTAACCAGCCGTCGTGGGACATATTAGGCCTATTTTAAAAATCGCTATGAAATAAAAAAGGTTTGTTTAACTATACATTTTCTGGCCTTTTCCAAATCAATCTAAATTAGGTCACGTTATTAATTTATTTTAAGGATCAGTTTTCTTTGTTTCAGTAAAAACTTGGTCGAAACTCAAAAAGAGTGAAATTACTAAAATTCTTGAAACCGCTGTCTAAATTCATACTGGGGTTCAAAAATTCATTTTTGAAAAAAAGGAATAAATTCTCAAATGTTCATTCGTGTAAACCCGCATACATTCAATATGTCTCTCAAAAGATCTATTATATAAAAATGGAAACATTTCTTTTTAGACACAGTCAAAATATAAGAATGAAAGAACCTAGACAAAAGAAATTCCTTCATTTACCAGCTTTATATACTAACACAGAAACGCCTCCAATGTCCACACTCAGGGTCCGTTCGACCAAAGTTTAGGGAAGAGGCTCAAATTTGCTTTTGTCTACTGTGAAAAAGTTAGACAGTGCGGAAAAAAAGTTTGAGTCATGAAAAAATAAAAGAAAGACGCAGTAGCTTTTTGTTTTGTCAATAAACATCAAACCCTCCGAGCAAACAGTACATTTTCGCTGTATTTTTCACTTTACACCCACATTCAAGATACTTGGAATTCTTTTTGAAAACTTTGATTTGTTTGGATGAAATTGAATGATCAAAAAATTTTGGTATCATGTCTTGAATCAAAAAGAAAGTAAGGATTTTTCAAATTTGGACTGATCCGCTGAAACTTTTGAAAATTTTTATCAAAACGCGACTAGTCGTGACTTTAGAAAAGAAAAAGCAAACGTATAGGTAGAAGCAAAAAAAAACTTTTCAAAAGAAAAAAATTCCCATCCCGCGACGGACAAGCCAAAAAGACACGTCACCCCGCGCTTTATGAACAAATATATGGTGTTGCTTGGAATTTCCCGAAAAAAATTATTTTGTATTTAATATGTTACCTTTAACTCCTCCATGAAGTTGCTGCTGACACTCAATAGTCTTGCGGTCATTTTCGTGTTGAACGTCTATCTCTGAAAAATAGGTATAGTTAGAAATTCAAAAAGAATACGAGCTGAATAAAAATAAAATATACACAACAGAAAGATCATAGTCCATTGACTGACTTGGAGACTCGAAATCAAAAAAAAGTTTAAAATTTTAATAATGTTTTGCTTCACAACAGGTTTCGTGTTGAAAAAGGAAAAAAAGCTTCTAAAGGGTTCGCAAAAAAGTTCCCTATGACAACCCTTTGATGGAATGCTGTGAAAGTCGGTCGGTTCAATCGGTTCGGAGCGTTTTGTAGTAGTAACTTTTCGGAAACTTTCGAAGTTTAAAATGGGCTTTTGACGAAACTAGCGTTTTGAAGGAAGGATAATACATAGTTGTCTATAATATTGACAGGTTAATGTACGATTTCCAGGAAATAGTGATTAAAAATTTCATAAACTCTTACTTATTTATCAAATTTTTGCTATCAAAAAAATTATTTTAAAAAAACTACTTTGCCCATAGCATGACGTCAATTCAGGTCAAATCAAAAAATTTGATTTAAAAGTTTCTCAAAAAAAAAAAACAATGAAATATCCGAGAAGTATTCGTTTATTTGACACTCTCAAATTGTCGACAATGAAGGAGTAAACAGCTTCGAAACTAAAAAACTTTGTGAAATGAATAAAAAAGTAGTCACTATGAAGAAAACTTCGAAAAGACCGACTTTTCCAACATGCCGTTTTTGTTTATTGCAAGGAATATCAAAGCTGAAGTTTGAAAAAAAGTGATTTAGCAAAACCGCCCCTTTTTGACCCACACGTCCAGCCGCTCGAGTAAGGTCAAAAATATATAATTGACCTACATATCATTATGAAGAAAGTATATATATCCTAGACACCAATATCACAATTATCCCTGCAAATAAAAAAAAATTAAGTTAATCGCCACAAGTAAACAATTTTGTGCGGTCTATGAAAGAGGCTTAGGTAAAGAACTTTGTTCCAAAATATTGCACGGCTGAACGTTCAAGTGTCAAAACGAACCAAGTGATAAGACTGAAAGGAATCTGTTATTGTATTTGCTAGTTGTTTGTGGGAGAAATCGGCAGGATGATGCCGACTTGAAAAATTTTCGGCCAGCTGCCGTGTCGGTTTTTTCTTCAGTTGTTCCCTATCGATTCTCTGCACTCTCCTCACAACACAGACGTTTTCCCGTTCCCTTTCAGCTTATTTTTCTTTCCGAGCACTTTGCAAGATCATGGTGGCGTTGCAAATAATGATGTGAGGACAAAAGTTTGATAACAAACAGGTTTAGATCTCTTCAGCTAATTATGAGCTCAAAAACCTCATTTTGAAAATCTACTGAAAAAAATCTTCCTTTCAATACTGACTTTTCATAATACTGAAAAATGAGCTGAATGAAACATTTTTTTCTCATCAAAAAGCTCAAGATTCAAGATATAAAGCTAGAGTTCCACTTTACAACAAAGTGTCAACAAAATTTTTTTGGACAAGTTTTATTTTTCATACAACTTTACAAACAAATAGAGAAGCTTTGGTTGACTTGCTACAAGGTACAAGATTCCAACGAGATATCCCATTTGAAACGTTCAAAGGGCTGAGGAATTGCGCTCCAAGATTCATCTGAATAATCAAATAAAGAAGCTCTTGGGCGAAATTGATGCCGCGTTCAAACGGTGGCGCGCAGTGAAACAGTTTTTCTAGTTCAACTACTCCAGCCGAATTCCCACAGCGTGATTGGAGGGCTCCGCCTTCTAGCAAGTGTTCGATATGGTTTGACTTTTCAAAAAATTTTCTCGTCATAAGGGCGGAACCAACAAATCAAGCAGTGGGAACTTTGCCGCGTTTCGGTTCTTTTTGAACGAGGAAGACTGTTTTGCTAAAGGAAGTCAATGTGGAACGAGGCATGAATGCGTGGGAAACCAATAAAAATATTCAAAACGAACCACTGCACAACAATCGGAAGAGCATTCGTTGTTTCCATCTGATAACAAGTTGTTAAAATCTACGGCCGATTCATCCGTCCATGAGAGAGACTCGTTGTTGCTGGATTGTAGACCAATCCACATTATATCTGCATAGGCCGTAAGCTGACCCAATCCTGAAATAAACCACGGTGGAAATATTAACATTTTCAGTAAGCAAACCAAAAATTATTTCGTTTTCAGCCTCAGAGTGTATAGATGCAAGGGTTGCATTGACCTCGAACCTTTTGCCAATCTGTGATAGACCCAATTTGAAATTTCAGGATTCCACGCTTGTTCAAGGCTGCCGGTCATATAAGAGTGTTTAAAATTGTTCTGGTGGTAAAATATAAATTCAGGTGCTTATCGATACACTTAAGTTAGTTTCTCAATGAATTAAAAAAAAATTAGTTTCCTGGCTGTGGAACAGGCCACGGAATATAGACCAGTCGCCTTAGTATTGTTAAAAATTCCTGGTCAATCTTTCTCATCGTTTTCAGTTTTCTCTTAAACGGCTATCTCAATAGAAGCAATATTATTTGGAACGGTATTTTTAGTCGAAAAGGGCTTGTCCTTTTGCGTCATTGGATATATAATTTGCTGACGTTCATTCCGCCTTTCTATAAGAAAAATAGCTCTGAAAATTTCCTTTCAAAAACTGTATTCGCGGACCTAGTTTTCGCGTTATTTCAAAAAGTACAAATCAAATTCAGAAGCTTGGCACCTTTCAATATTATGATCACCATTGATGCTTTTTTCTGATAGTTAACATTTTGAATTGCTTTAGCGCTATTCACTAGGCGAAAAGACCTTTGAAATCAAAAAACACGGAAAAATCGACGATAAAGGCGATTTTAAAATGCCATTAAACTGGATCCACAACAGACACCTGTAAAACTGGCTCATCAGTTATTACACACCTATATCTGCGAAAGAAAACAGTTTTTTCACGCAACGGAGTGCAAAGAAGCTCTTGGGCTGAATGGAAAAATGGCCTCACGATATCGCTTTTCCGTCTTTTTGCGAAAATGTGTTAGCCCAAAATCAGAAAAACTGTTCTGCAAATTTCTGCTTTTCCGCTACATTGCTCAGACATGGCTCTTTGCATTTATCATCTGTCCGAATCATTGGATCGCTTAACAGCCAAAAAAAAATTGAAAAACTCATAAAGTCCAAATTTGGGGGTGCAACTTCTTTGACTCGTAGGCGGCCTAGTTTGTCAGAGAGAGCATCCATTCTCTGCGTGAGCATTGTTGACAAGGTGCTAATACAGATAGAAATTACAGTTCTAATTGATTTGTGATAACCTTTTTTTTTTGATAAAATTAAATGACATCAAAAACACGCATTTCTTTCCTGCCACCCTAATAATTTCTTCCATGTTCTGTTCGTTTTGAGATTATTTCACTAAATAATGCGAAGAACAACCAAATTCTATCGAAAAAGTATTTTTTCAATAATAAAACTCACAGCAACACAATACTCAAGAGCCTCTGACTGTGGATAGCCGTTCTTGATGTGAAAAACGTGATAGCAGCCGCCCAAACTGAATTCCCAAGAAGCTGGACAGTTAACTGAAACGTGGGTAAAACAAAAAGATGTATTACTATATTTCATCCACAGTATCTTTTTTAAACACTTTTTTTTCACTCAGAAAGGCTTCCCAGCAAGTTTTGTGCAAACTATATTTATATTAACAGACTGAAACCTTTCAAGACAGGCAACTGGCAGAGGAACTGGGCACGGTCTCCACAACTCGCGTGGCTCCAAAACTGAGTCGAGCGATTCATGAAAACGCAGTCCAAGACTGGATCTACGGCCTTCGTTTGGTTCGTTTTGTTGCCATAGTTCGAGTACTGAGAGCTGCCCCCACCAGTACATCCTCCGTTCGGATATACTCCTAACCAAAGAGGTAGAGAGCTTTCAGCGCAATAGAGGTCTGAAAAATTGTCGGATTTAGCTTCTTTTTTTTTCTCATACAATAAAACCTTTCGGGAAGTTAGCAATGAAAGAATTCATGCCTTCGGATGTGACGCACGGCAGCTGTCCACCCATAAGTTCACAAATGGACTCCGCCTTAATTTTATTTTTTTAAAATGAATGTTGTATAATAAAAAAATCTACCACGTAAAAGTTATCTTCTCGGTACATCTCCTTGAGACACACATCTGCTCTGTAAAACGAAAAAGTTATTTTGAGTCCGAAGAGTTGAAAACTAACGGCTCAAAGTAAGTACTGCTGAACGGGCAATGTGGATCCGCTACAGCGTCGAAAAAAAGCGCAACAACTAGAAAACTAGATATTTCATTCATTCAAAACGAGGAAAATATCAAGTAGAAGATTGCTAAGAGAGATTGCATTATCACATTAATCTGATTACCTCAACGTGTCATCATAGTTTAGTGTTACGAGCTCGATAAGATGTGGAAAAAAAACTGAAAATATCGGGATCTATTTTTGACAAGTTTCTCACATAAATAAATTACTTACAAAAACAGAAGGGACTCGCCTTTTTGATCCTTTGTTTTCCTTTTTAATAACAAGGTTTTTTATCGGGCGAAACGGATGCCGTGTTCAAAGTAATTTCCGCGAAAGTTCAAACTTGTCTCTGACTCTAAACAATTTAGTTATCTTTTTTTCCCTCTATGGCGGCTATTTCGAGTTTCGCGGAATCACTTCGAAGCTTCGAACACGGAAACACTCGAAATGCAAAAAAAAATTTTTTTTTTCAAAAAAAGTGGGCGTGGCAAAGCGCAACTTTGGCGCAGTTATAGGATGTAATTCTCCGGGTGGCTTTACGGCGTTTATGTTTTCGACTGTTATGCCATCTCAGGCACTGACGGCGCGTGTTTGTTGCCAAAAAGTGCGCATGCGCGCCGCCTGCTAGCGCACGCGCGGGGTGTCTCTTGTTTTTTTAGCTTTTTAACTAATTGAAAAGTTATAAATTTAATATTTTTTTCATGTCTATTCATCTCTTATCATTGCTCTGCACCAGTTTATAACAATTAGATTGCACAAAAAAATATGAAATATCAAAAGTTTCACTTGGCAATTTTTCATAAATTTGTTCGAAAAATGCTCGGAACAACTTTTTAAAAAGTGAGCAGGGGCACTGGGTAGTTTCACAAAAATATAAAAAAATATTTTTTTCAAAACCGTATTTCAGTGGAAAAAGGGAAAAAAAGAATCAGTACCCCCGCGCGTGCGCGCACCAGTGCCTGAGATGTTCAAAGTTAGTCCGGAGATTTCAAATTGACGCGTTATTCATTTTAATGGTTTTGCGAAATCTGCAAAAAAAAATTTGGGGTGCCGTTAGAAACTGAGTCGTATATATGTCGTATATAGGGGCACTTTTAGGCCATTGTAAGTTTTTTGTTGAAAAATGCAAATGCAATGATAGTTTCAGAATTTGGGGTTTCTCGAGTAATAGTCGCTATCTCATTTTTGAGATTCAGTTTTTCTGGCGATTCTCGAAGTTCCAATTTTGCTTGATTCGCGAATAATTAATAAACGAATAACGTGCCAAATTTGAAATCTATTTCCTTAAACTTGTCCTCATTGTATAACTTAATTCATTTTTCAGATGATTTCAAAATTGAACAGCGTTGGGATGTGTGCGGTTGTTGCCACAGGTTCATTTCTGCTGGGTCAAAAATATGAAGAAAAAATTGTTTACGCGAAGCTTGTAAGCTTTTTTTTTGGAAAAAGCCTATATTTTACTTTTCTTTTCTTTTCTTCATGCCACATTGTTCTAATATTTTCCGTTCCAGCTGAAAAATCCTCCTAGGTTCCGAGAAACCGTCTCGAGCGTCTGAAATTTTGAAGTATGGCATTCCCGGCTATGATAATCTCAAATCATATGAGAATTACGTTTTATCATATAATCGATATACACGTTCTGCTCATTGGGTAAGAACCATTTCATTTTTTTTTTGAAGTTGAAACTAGCTATTAATTTGTCAATTTCATTTTTAGGTTTGCGAGCACTTGACGCAAGACCGTCTGGTTCGTGGCCCTTCAGTCGACCGTAAATTAGCCGAATTTTTACCTGACAAATTTTTCGATGGACGATTCATAGCAAAGAATGAGGATTATCTAGTGAGAAAGGAAAAGTTAAAAAATAGCGAAAAGTTTATCAAGGGGAGCGGTTACGATCGTGGACATCTCGTTGCCGCAGGAAACCATCGTCAAACTCAAAAGGCCACAAATGATACATTTCATTTGTCAAATATTAGTCCGCAGGTTGGCAAAGGCTTCAACAGAGACAAATGGAACGACCTCGAGCAATACTGCAGGTAAAATCCCACAAAATTCGAATTTCAAATGAATGTAAAACGATCAACAAAATTAGTTAATTAGGAAAGCTCAAACATTCTGAATAGTTTACCAATATTGATTTATAGAAAGAGATGGCGAAAACAGCAATAAACACGTACATCTTGACGGGGCCTTTATACTTGCCGCGAGAAGAACCTGACGGCAATAAATATGTCAAATATAGGGTGAGCTGAAACTACTTTTCAAAACAACAGACTTAAAAAGTTAAGGTGATTGGAAATAATAATGTCGCGGTTCCCACTCATTTCTTCAAAGTTCTTCTGCTTGAGAAAACACCTGGAAAGTACGAAGTAGAATATTTTATGTTGGCCAACGAGGTGGGAGCGTCATTGTATCGCTAATGAAAAAAATTTCAAAGGTACACGAGGATTCAAATGACCTGAAAAATTATCACTGCACGAAAGAAGCGATCGAGAAATCTGCCGGCCTGTCGATTTTTGATAAACTTCCCCCGTCGAGTATCAAAAAAATCAATAGAAAAGAAGTCTGAAATCCTCCGTTTTTCGCGACTTCTCTGCGCCCTCCGTGTCTTTCACCAGCGCTCTAATGTTGACGTGCTGTTTTTATGTTTCTCTTGACTCGCCGGTTAGGGAACACAGAGACGCGGACTCTCGAAAACTTTCAAGTCTCGGCGGAAAGAGTATATTAAAAAAATTCAATTGATTGACATGAATTTCTAGCTTCCGACACATGCGAGTGCTGATTCTGTTTTTTTTCCGAATTTCGTATTTGATCAAAATTTTATTTTCAAACTATGAGCTATTAGTTCTCACGATGTTCTCAAACTTTGAATAATTTTTTAAAGCATTATCAACCATTAAATCCCGATTCCAAGAAACTTGTTATATTTTTTCTAACTTTCTTCTCCTTCATTTGTTGAGATTTATTGTTATTTCTTTTTTTAATGAAAGTTATTATTTTCTTCATCTGGTCAATTACCGGCGTCATTAGTCCTGTGTATGTGTTAATTCGGAAATTTTCGGTGCAATATAGAAAAATTACGAAGAAATGTCAGATTATGCGTTCGTGGCATGCTGTTTGAGCTTCTCCTCTTCCTTCCCGTCCACTTCATCGACAAATTCTCTGATGGACTTCTCAATGATATCTGCAGCTTCCTCCACCTGCAAACGCCATTGTTCCTTTTTGAATCATCATTTTCTCTGTGAGATAATTGACAAGACTCAGAACTGTTCTCCAACCTCAGCACGGCTGATGCAAAGAGGCGGGGCGAAGCGAATAATATCCCCATGGGTGTTTTTCGCCAAGAGGCCGTTCTCCTTCAGTTTCAGGCAGACCTTCCAGGCGTCGTACTCTGGAAATTCCTCTTTCTAGATTCAACACCATTCAACAGACTTTTGTTGATGACAATGGCACAGAAAAGCCCTCGGCCGCGGACCGTCGTCACGACATCGTTGGGCAATCGCCGAAGGCGTTCCATCAGTACGTTTCCCATTTCTGCCGAGTTTTCCACCAATTTCTCTTCTTGAAGAATCTGAAAGGAGGTATTTTGAAGATAGATGTAATATTAGTCATGCTCTTGAAATTTTGCGAAACTTTCTCAAATATCTATGGTCTTGATGAAATCATTAGTCACTTCTTCTTCCGATTTAAGAACATTTTTTGAGAAAGACGGCTCGTGAACTCGAAAAAAAAAGAAGAGGCACCTGAAGGGCAGCCATGGCGATTTTGGCGGCAAGTGGATTGCCTCCATAAGTGGAGCCATGCTGTCCAGGCTTGATGTTGAGCATGATGTGATCATCGCAGAGGACCGCCGAAACGGGGTACACGCCGCCGGACAGTGCCTTACCCAGAACGACGATATCAGGCCGAACGCCATCATGGTAATGCGCCAGAAGCCTTGAAACGAACTTTTGGTTTAATAAAGTCAAAAGCGAAATTTCAAGTAAGAAAATTGCGCTGAATATAATGACTTTTTTTTAATTAATGTTTTTAAAATTTCACAGATTTGAAAAAAATGTCAAAACACTGCCGAGGGAATGGTCTAAATGAAGTGGGGCTTCTGAATGCGACAAAGTTTTCTAGATTTATAGCCGATTGACGGCTAACTTGAGATGCTAGGAGACGTGGCCTACCTGCGCTCTCCACCCACTAGGCGCTATCTCTTCTTTTATCGTGTCAGGACCCACTTCTCAATGGCTCAAAGCGGCAGTGAATCAGCTATATTTTTTCTACGCTAATTGCAAATATGGTCCCAAAATTTTGTGCGAAAACGCGCATTCAAGTGAAAATCTCAAACTTCTAACGACTTTTGAAGACCAAAGGAGGAGCAAACCCACTTTCCAGTTCTACCGAGACCTGACTGGACCTCGTCGGCAATGAAGAGAACGTTGTGTTTCTTGCAAACTTCAGCGACGCCCTGGGATCGTCAAAAAGGTGAGTTCGTTGTATTTTCCGTTTTCATTAACCTTCAGGTAACCAGGATCTGGAACAACGACACCAGCTTCCCCCTGTACAGGTTCCACCATAAAAGCGGCGACATTTTTGCGGGAGACGGCTTTCTAAACTTTTTTTATTAGAATTTAGATGATATTTCACCGTCAAATGATTATTTTAAGAAAAGGAATAATATAGCGTTTTTTTCAGAGCCATACATCATCCTCAAAAATGAAAACCTGCTGTGAAAACGACCCTCCTAGAGAAAGAAACTTTAGCAGTCAGACTTGACCCGAAACTGAGCATTTCTAACTCCTTTCAGAGCCTACTTTCACAAGTATTTATTGACCATTGGAAGGAGACGATCACAAGATTGTTTCCACCCCTAAAAAGTCTTACGGTCAGTGACAGAGAGGAAAAAAGAATTAACAGTTAAGAAAACGCTAAGTCTTCACTAGATCCTAGTAAAAAAAAAGTGTTTTCTCAAAGCCGCGGACAACACAACACACAGTTAACGGTCACAACTGTTTGGATTTTTTCAAGTAAACATATTCACAATTTTTTTTCAATCAAATAATTCGTGCTGAAAATATGTAAACCTCAACGGCTGCCAGGTCGTTGTAGGGAACGCGATCGAATCCAGGCACAAACGGCCCAAATCCGCTGTAAGAATCAGGATCATTGGACGCCGAAATTGCGGCGATCGACCGGCCCCAGAAATTGTCTTCGGCGAAAACCACCTGCAAATATTTTCACTGGAAATTGTGCCAAAAGTGTTCAATGCGTTCACTAATTGAAAAAGTCTTACTCTGGCTTCATTCGGAGCAACGCCTTTGACGTCATACGCCCATCTGCGCGCCAATTTTACCGCCGACTCACAAGCCTCGACTCCTAAACAAAATTTTCAAAGTTGGTCCAAATATTGAGCCATTTTCTCACGGCCTTAGAGGGTTTCAAGCAAAAATAGACGGCCCGGCACAAAAAGCTCAAATTTTCATCTAGTCGGTTTTCAAGCTTTTTTTACGACAAAATTCATGTTTTGCTTATTTTTTTCACTGAGGGTTCAAAAAAAAATTATTTAACAAGTAAAAATAATGTTTCGGTGAAAATTTTTTTTATTGAAATTGAAGAATTTACTTTGAAGCCAACGCCCGTTCAGGACTTTTCTCAAAAAAAAGCCCAAAAGCCGGGTAAGACCGCCCAGGGTCGCCCGACCTGAAGCACAAGCCTGCTTTTCGGACTATTATTTTTTTGAAAACAGTTTCCCGAATTTTTTTATAATTTATAGAAGTATTCCTTCTTAGTTAGAGCGGAATCAAAAGGTTTAAAAAGTCTAAACTTTCAGACAGGTCAAGATTATTCGATTAGAAGCTGAGACTTATTTGTAACAAAATTTGGGAATGAAAAAACAAACCAGTGTTCATTGGAAGGACTTTATCGTACTTCAAAAGCTTGGTGATGTACTCCTCGTACTCGCCAAGGACGTTGTTATAAAAGGCACGAGAGGTCAAAGTGAGTGTTTGCGCCTGGTCGTGCATGACCTCAAATGAATATTCAAGGCGGATTTCTACGCTTCAATTTGCCTTGAGAAGCTTAGGATGGCAATGCCCCTGGTTGACAGCCGAGTATGCCGCCAGAAAGTCATAGTACCTCTTGCCTTCGACATCCCAAAGAAAAACCCCTGAAAAGAGATTCCAGAAATATATACTTCAAATGATTGAATCGTTCCACTCAAACAAAACCACGTGAAACTAATCAAAACTTTCTCTTTCGCGAGCGTCGATGAAAAAAAAACTTGAAACACTGATACGGATCTTTGTATCATCGAGTAATACGAAAAATCAAACATTCAAGAAAGTATAAAGGGAAAAACGGGCAAAGCCCAGAAAACCGCGAAAAAACCTTTGGAAAAAAGGCCTTGCTCTTCTTTTTCTTGACCTTTTGAGAGAAAGAAAGAAGGTGGTGGGGAAAGGTGAAAAAAGAGATTCCAAGAAACTTTCACTCTTTTTTTTAAGAACTCAAAAAGGAGCTCTAGAATCTTATTTTTGAGACCGTTTGGACTTTGCCCGCGAAATAAAGCTTAAAACCAAGAAAACGAAAACTATTAGTGACAAAGAGACAATTTTCTAACACCTTTTCCCTTAGCCAAAGCAACAGGAAGCGGCTTGTAGTTGTGACAGCCGTACTTCTTTTCCCGGTCGAAAATCTGTTGGGAGCTGATGCTTCTGACTGCGGTGGCTCGAGAAACTGCAGACAAGGATTTCCGTAGAGAAGGCAGCATTTCCGGGGCCAGAAAACGCTTCAAACTGAAAAACAACAACGCTTCATAAAGCGAAGAAAAAAGAAGGAATTGCTGCTGCGGCGAAAAATTGATAACTGCCTAGACTTGAAAGATTTCAGAAACTTTTTAAAGGTTTTTTTCAACTTCTTAAAAAAATAAGTAAATTTTTGGAAAAAGTGAACGAAAAAAACCTATTTCTTGTTTTGAACGGTTTTCCACAAGATATACTGAGAAAAACTTGATGCAAGGGATAACGTTCAAAGATCTCGATTTTATCGAATTATCTCGAAGAACGCTGGAGACGCAGGGGTCGCACAGTTAGTGAGATAACAGATTAATCAAACAATTGATAAGGCGAGTGCCTTTTATTGGTTATTACGAAGACACTTGCTGTTATAACACGTTGGAGATAAAATATGCAAATCGACTCAAATTTTGATTATTTTTAAGTTTGATAATTTTCCCGGCTTGGAAAAAGAGGTGTTTACGATCAGATGGTAAGTTTTCAAAAAACAATTTGAAAAGAAAAATTCAAAAAATTCCCTCCATTGAGCACGACCATGATTCAAATAAATCATTCAAAAAACGCGAAAAATTCGAAAAAATGGAAGTATATTGAAAACTTCAATCTCTAAGAATTTTTTTACAATCACAAACCACGTGATTCGGTCTGCGCGATGTTTTAAAAGAGATACGAATTGCTGATCGTAGAAAAATGATAAGAGCGAGGAGACCGAGAGAATTTGTGGGCCACTGGCCGGCAATAAAAAGAAGGTCTGGCAAAACTTTCGTTGAAACAAAAAGAAACAGATAAGACTTGGAGAGGACGAAATTCTTGAACCAGTTTTCAAAATAGATGATGAAATGGAAAATTTATAGTTAAGAAAATAGAAATGTCTCGTTTTTTTTTCATTTTTCGGCACCTTCTTTATGAATTGAAAAAAGTATATATTGAGAAAACCTTGTTTGTTGCGAATCATTGAAAGAACGTCGTCAAGTCTCCAATTTGGAAAAAAAGCGAATCTGAAAAAACAAAATGAAAAAAATTTTTGTTACCCAGCCTATGTTATCTATGAGATAATCTGGAAGTTCTTCGCTTTTTTCTAATCCATTTTCTGATCTTGAAAATAACCTGAAATGAAACTTCTTTTCCGGTCATTTTAAAAATGGGCCTGTTATCGAAATTTCAATTTATTTTGAATCAAACATTAAAGTTAAAATCTGAGGCTTGTAAAAACCATGAAACAATTTACAACTTATCAGATATCTAAATGTGATTCAATCGAAATTCAGAAATACTAAAACAAGCAAATGACTCGAACCCTTTTAATTACTTTTTTCAGTTAAAAAGGTTTTTATACCATTGGAAAGACAAATCTTAAAATCGAAATAAAAGTTTACTCGTAATAGTGAAAAAAAAAATTATTGCAGAAGGAAATGTACATGAACAATTTGAAAAAAAAGCAAGGTAAAGACACATTTCTTGGAAATCATATTCACTTCAAGGGTAAATCTTTTTATAAATGATGGCCGTGTGCTCCATGAGCCGTCGCGTGATTGTAGTGGTCATGAGAAGGCGGGCTTCCAAATGGCTCTCGTCAAGAAGCGTCCACTCGCGGAACATCTGCAGCACTAGAAACATTATAAAAGATGATCTGTTCTCAAAAAGCGCAGTATCATTAAGCATGAAAAAAACGTCCTGAGCAAACGAGCTCAAGTCTCGGCTTGAAAGGTAAGCACGGAGAAGTAAGTCCGAAAAGGGAACTTTTAATGAATACGCACTTTTCTAGCCCAGGAAAATGAAAAGTATCTGTGAAACTTTTAGCCAATCCGACTCATTTTTCATGTCTGAAACCTATAAGCGTCTTTGTCGGCTCAAAAAATGCTTTTTCTTTTTCTCCATATATCATTAAAAATTCAGCTTTGAACTCACCAATCGTACCGCCGAATCATGTGAAAAGCTGATTCTTCCTATGCTCTGTAGTTTGAATTTTATTTGATTTGGGCCCGACTCGCCCTCCTCGATCGTCATGAAGCCTTGAAATGCGAACCTTTTTGATTTCAAAGTTTAGTTTTATCTCTGACCATTGCTCATTGCGGTGTTCAGTGAAACGACGTCGACGCCGTTTTTTTCGTCGTTACGCACAGAAATGTAGCCATTTTCCGAGTGAATCTCGATCGGATCGCCTTCTGGCATGCTTATGTCCCATGCGAAAGCTCTTAAAAATTATTTTTCCTATTAAAAATAGCGAAAGTGATCCAAAATGTTTCGAACGTCTGTCTTGAAAAACTTCAACTCACGTGTAATTCAAGAGAGGAGCGCCCATTGAGACTTCGCCTATTGAAATGTCTAACTGTTCGCCGTACGTGAATTTGGGGATCGTTGGAAAGAAAGCCTCAAGATGAAAAGTTGAAACAATTGGAAATTTTTTTTCGTAGTATCGAAAATCAAAATTACCTTGCCACCAAATTCAGAGCGCCATCTTCCCACAAGCCAAGCCACAGACTTCAGATTGGGCGGTAACCTTCTGACGTCATATTCTGAAATGAAAAGTTATAAAAGCTACGAATTTAAAAAAACGCATGGTGTTCTCTTTTTTCATATGAACTTTTTTTGGTGAAGCCTTATAAAGGTCTCTTGAACGACTTTTCAGTCTTGAATTTAAAAATCACACTACACTAGATATTTTATAGTTACTTTGCGTGTTTATTTTCTAGTAAGTTATGATTTCCTAAAAAAAAAACGTATCTAAGCCCCCATAAGGGCCCATAAACCCACTTTTTTATTTACCATTGGATTTTTCTAAACATCTTTTCATAAAGTAAGGACCAAGGATTTGTCTTATCAAGATCAAAGGTAATCATTCAGATGACGTAAAATTCCCACTTGTTCCGTGTCACAAAAAAAGATGGATGCGTTAATCGGAAAGATGATCAACGTCCCCGTGCTAACAAAGATTGATCTTTTCTCCAAAACATCCTTTTCTTGTGTTTCGAAACTCAATCAAAATGAACTCACGAGGTTCCACGACAGGCCCACAAGTCTGACAAGACTTGACGCAATGTTTGACCACAAGTTCACCAAAGTCGCAATCCGTTTTGTTCGATGCTACCTTGAAAAACGGATGTAGGGCTAAGAAAAAAAGGGAGAAGATGGTCTAAAATTGCAGATTGAAACGCAGAATGTCAAGCAACGAGGAAAAAAAATTATTTAGATTTGAAGACATTTTTTCCGTTTGTTTTTTCCTTGAAAAATTGGAAAAAAAAAAGTTATTTTTTTAAAATTAAACAAGTCCTATTTTCACAAAAATTTTCGAAAAGCCCACCCAAACTGGACAGTTCATATCTGTGTCCTGACATTTCGAGGACGACCGAGCATCAATCGCAGTCGATACACAGAAGGTGACAAAAAAGAAGAAAATCGGGTTCTGCGACATTCTCCTGAAACTTCGTTTAATTGCCTTAAAATAGGCCGGAGTCGGCATGAAAAGACATCAATGATGAAAAGAGGAAGATAAACGGTTAAAAATCTTGAAAGGCAATTTGGTCCAAAATCTACCGGACACAATGGGTAATCAAAACGGCTTCTTGATGACAGAAATTTACCAAGTTTTATAAATTTCGCGTACAAGTTCCGTGCAGACATGTGAAAGATGAAGCTTCACACTTAATCATAGCCTTAAAAGTTACTGAAAAGTGAGGTCATTAAAGTCCTCGAATTCTTTACAAATTTTTCAAAATCTCTATGTAGGTCCTTCACTATGTGCGAAAAATTTCCGTCTTGTGATGATACAATTAGTAAATAAACGCATTCAATCTCTTCCAAACTAGAAAAAAAGGTCCAAAAAATTAATTTTTATTTTGAGGTTTCCATTTTATTTTTAAAAAAACGCCACCGTGAAATCTCGCACAGACGTTATCAGATGACACCTGTCATGAATTGATGCGAGAAATTGAAGAAGAAACAAAGAAAACATCGGATAGGGTATAAAAACGGACAAGCGGCGTTCGGCGACGGAGATAAGAAGCTAAAAGTTGTCACTTGTTGGGTAGACGGCGGTCGGTTGACACACGCAGAACTGGATAGGTCTCATCGGCGACATCTCTTTTCCAGAAGTGTCGACGTCGGTTGCGTAAGATAAGTTGATGGTCACACCCTTCTTATGCTCTCTGGATCGCTCTGAAGACTTTGCAATTTATTAGAAAAAAATTTCAAGGTTATATTCGAGAAACGATCGTTTTGAAAATAAATTTTGAAGCAGTGTTTTCTTTCAAGGTTAACTTAAGGTTTTTACTTTAAAAAAAAAACAGAAAGGGCTCACACCAAAAGCCAGGATTCCATGGGTGAAGCAAAAAAAGCCTTGGTTTTTTTCGAAAGAAATATTAATTCACTTATTCCATTTCCCTCAAGAAAGTAAAACTGATTCAAATGAATGAAAACATTTTCAAAATGTAAAAATAACAAAAAAAGTTAAAACTATCTGATATATCAAGATATATCTTTGAAAAAATTCTTCGAAAAACGTTTCGACGCGCAAACTTGCTCCTTCCGCATGCATCCCTTCGTAGAATTGCATACGCTTTTAATTTTTTAATTTTTTTTTCAACAATTTCTATTTTATCCAAACTCAGCCAAGCCTCATTTTTTGAGTTTTGACTTCTGAAGAATAAAAAAGTTGTTTATCTATATGTTTCACTATGTCCAATAGTTGTCTGTCAATGTTTGAAACCGAACAGGAATTTCAAAAAAAGCACTTTGTATTTAATTTTTATTGCTTCTTCACTCTAACATTCACGATTTCCTATTTTGATGAACTTTATTTAATTTTTAAACATGATATATCATCATTTTACGTGCAACTGGATAACTGACAACCGTTGAAACATATTTGACAGCATACATCCTTCATAATCAACTTATTTTTAAAATTTTCCTTTTAAAACTTAAGGATGCAATTTTTGCAAGAAATCAGAAAAAAAAAACATAGTTTTCACTAGAAAAAATGCTCTTTCAAAAAATATTTTGCATCAATGAATTTCTCTGCATTTTCAATATGAAGTTCAGAATCTATGTGTAAAATTAGGTATTGGTCAACTCCATTTTACCCGATTAAGACTTCTACCGCACGCAAATCGAATAGTAAAAAGAAACGAAATACTGAGCAAAAAAAGTGACGTGCGAGTGGGCGGAGCTTGGCGGGTCCTACCTATAGGCTTATATATAAATTTAGGGTCTGACCCCTTTCCAACACTTCTTTTTTTATTAAAACAAGTAAAAAAGATGCATGAGTGAGGGAAAAAAATCTGGAGGACCCTTGAAAAGGTCTTTTTTTGAAGAAAGCTTTAGAGGAGCTTGTACGTTTCGCCAGCGAATAGTGAAAGGCTAATGTGCCCTATGGCACTAGTTCAAATTTTGCACTGTGGAGAAAAACTTTGAGCGCGTTAATTTTTTGAAATTTCGCTTTTATATGTAGCTCTGAGAGAGGACATTTGAAACATTTTCTAATTTTTTTTCCGTTTCTTAATCCAATCGCGTCTCAATTAGCCTTCGTTCTTTCAGAGATTTAGCACTATCTTTTAGCTTACCTCGAAATATTCAGACCGTAATTGGTCTAGTTCTGTTAATGAAATTTCTTTGGGAAAATTTATCGAAAATTTCTTAACTCAAACTTTCAAAGCCAGTTGCTCTCTTCAGGCGATGGATAGGCTACCAGATCAAACGCAAGCTGAAAGAAAAGGAAGAAAACTTGACCGGAACCTCAGAACTTACCAGGACCAAAACTTCGCGCCGATTCCCCAAAAGAAGTCACATCAAGCCGTGACAAACATTCGACCGGAGTTCTACTATTCGAGTACTAGTGCACTCGAGATCACAAAAAACAGTGAAGTGCACAAAAAAGTTTGTTTTCATCAGTAAAATCAAGACGGTTCGTAACTGCGTTTCAAAAGAATAATTGAAATTTGCATTCGCATCCAACACTGCCGCCATAAACGTTTTTGTATCCAATGGGCCTAGGAAAATCCACATGAAGATATATTGACTGACCGTACTCTTTACGCTTCTGGGTTTTACATCCACTAACTTTTTTTTTAGCCGAAACGGAACACCCGGGAAAACGAGAAACAGAAATCGAGTATATCACGAATTGAAATTCCAAGGTATTTTTGAGATTTTTTCAAAATTTCGTCAGTCAGACTGTTTTAGTGAGATTATCATTGAAAATGGGATCCTTTCGAAGAATGAAGAGCTGATGATTCCGAAAGAGTTTTTGAATAGTGATCTCTATCCTGGAGCGAAGGTGAACTTTTTTCAATAACGAGTTTACCTTGACATTACAGTTCACTCTGTTAGATGTTCAAAAGGAGCACTTGCTTAACCAAACATTGTTCAATTTATTGGGATTCCACGGCCCCACGCCAAGTATACCGCTTTTAGCGCTACTTGCAGCAGCTATGGAGGTTATCAGTTGTGTAATTTTTAAACACGTTCAGAATAAAATACAGGAGATGCCGTACATTGATCGATCGCCGTCTGATGATTCGAATGAACTGGGAGGGTATTTGAAATCTCATCCTCACTGTTTCTACTCTATACCCAATGAACAAGGCGATCTAGTGGCACAAAACAGGAATTTGGGCAGTCGGTTAGTTAGAGAATAAGTACAAGTAGAGCATAAAAGGAAAATTTTGCGACCGCGTAAACATCTTTAATGCCAAATAAAGATCCTGGCAGTCTCAAACCTGCGAAATTTTCTAGTTTTAGAGAGCGAAAGGCTCAAAGTTTTCGAATAACCCATAGCATCATCTTTTCATGGTTTTATTTCACTTTGAGGCATTCGTTCTTGAAAAGTTTCGAGTTACAAAGTTTGTGAATGCTTTCGTAAACTTTTACCTTGAACGCTTACGTGTGCAAGTGAAAATTCAATAAGTCCTGCAGGAGGAATTTTACCTACAAAAGTTTTTAAAACTAAGATTTACTCCGGGATGTAGGTTCGAACAAAATAAAACTTGATTCCAATCTCAGGAGGTAGTGGGGACTAGAACTTAAAAAAGCTTGGGAAAGGGGTTAGCGGCCTTCAGAAATGGTCTGCAACATAAGATTATCATAGCATGAAATCATCGCAGAACTTGAAATAAACTATTTTTCTAGTTTTCAAAAGGATTTCAATGAAAAACGTTTAACATGTACAGAAAATGTGTGATGAAAGCCGCCCAATGGATTTTTTACAAAGGCTCCAAAGAACAGGGGATTTCACTCGAGCAACTCAACAGCTTGTAAGTTTTACAAACAAATTAAAAACATGTTACCTAAAGATATCAGGTTGAAAAGCGACTTGGAAGAACACGAAAAACTGCGGGATCCGCAAGTCGTCTTTTCGAACCGCTACAGAACTTCTGACCGTTCTGAATATTTGGAAAATTTAAAAAGGGACTTTGCATTGGCCTATGAAACTACCCGTTTCATGATTCTGCAGAACTCTGCACTGTTCGAACTAAGTAAGTACCAATAGCAGGCTTTACATAAACTACAACGTCTTTTTTTTCAAATTTACGCGTTTACAGCCGAAAATGATATGGTAAAACTAACCCGCGCTCGCCTTCGAGTTACCTTCGGTTTGGATTACATCCGCCCTGCCACGGTATCCCGCCGAGAAATATTACGATAGAAGTGATGTTCACGTTTTCTCGTCTGATATTATTGCCTCTTCTCATATTTATGCAAAGGTAAATTTTTTTTTCAATAATGGCGAACAGGAACTAATCAACTTAAGGGTGAAGTGGTCGACGGCCCTTGTGGAAATTTGACGGTATACATTCTCCGCAATAATATCAACATGGCGGATGAGGACTTTCGCAGAAATTTCCTTGTCGGCCGAAGGGTTAGAAAATTTTACTTTGTAGATCTGTTGCAATAGGTTATTTGAAGTCACAAGGAGTGCTTTCACCAAAAATGATTTTTAGTGAGACACTTCGATAAATCTGTGAGATTCAAAGAAAAGAGAGGGGTTGGAGATTAAAAATAAGTATATCATATTATATTTAGTGTAATTGCCGTTGTCACATGACATACAATTGCGTTTCGGATTTTTGTGCTACGGAAGCCGTTGTAGCTACGATCATAGAGGGAGATTCGAAAGTTTCGTGCATAGACGACCTTCAGAAAAAAATCGAAGGTATGTCATGCATATAATGAAGTTAAAACTGTTATGGGATCTTGAACTTTCCTCTTCCAAATTTAAGTGGGAATCGATTATAAAGAACTCAAATCTTTGTAGAAGGATAGTTTTAGACATTTTACAGAAACAAAAAAATGGGAGATTGAACAAGGGAGACTGAACACTTTCGAAAGCTTCAAAGAAAAATGTGTGGACTTGGATGAAGAGATTTTCACTGTTGAAACACTTTACCGTTTCACTCGAAGCCTGCCCGCGTAAGTTTTTGGAAAATTGACTAATCGGGATCAGGTAATCAATGTATACCGAGACTATACCTCAAAATGGATCAGAATAATATGATATTATGCTCATCGTTATCCCTTCGGTATATTCAGCCCTATCGGAGTTATACCGATAGTGCTGAGCTATTTATCAAGATTCTTTCGCATTTTGTTAGAAAATTGCAAGGTATACTGTCACTGGTATTACTGCGATACCCGAACGCGATTTTTTGGGAATCATCAACGAATAAAACGGGAATTTTAGCGGAGAATCTCGGTTTCTTAACATTAGAGACGCCGAAAAGTTCTTGTTCAACCATCCCGAACTGACTGCTCAGAATCCAGAAGAACCGGGGTACTATTATTTTTCAGAAGACCGGCAAAGAAATGTGAGTTTTTAAATTTATTTTTCTCAAAAAGTATATAATACCCACATCTTGATAAAAAAATTAAATTTTTTTAACTTTTTATTACTTTCGATATAAAAAAATCAATAGAGAAGATGGATTTTTCACACGTAGCTTTTTAGTTTGTGAGCAATCTTTGAGCCGAAAAATATATGTAAAAACATAAAGTTGCAGATTGCGAATACTGTTGGCACTACTGTTTTAATTGAAAAAAATTTTTATTGAATGAACAGCTGCAAAAAAAGTTATTATATCGTTTTCAGTTCTTCTCAGTAATGTACTATATGCTGGAAAAGGCGGGCGAAATGCCCTGGGAGCTCTTCCAAGAGACGTAAGACTTTTTTGGTGTCTTGAAAAACTCACGTATTTTTTAGTCTGGAAAAAAAGACGGACGAAGACCAAGACGTCCAACATATCATCCGAACAGGAGATTTGGAGTGGGCTTTGGATCAACTGAAGAAGGTTGTCAACATCAATGATAGAGAAAATATGTGAGTTTGATATAAATTGAGAGTTCTATGATAGTGAAGGGAAATTTTTCAGAGTGTCTCTTCGAGGAAAGTATTACAAAGAGACGGGTTCTTTCGTTCCGCTTTAAACGTTATCGATTCTTCGTTAATTTTGAAATTAATCGTTTTTTGTAAAATAATTTTTCTTTTCTCACGTTTCGCATATATCGGATTTTTTGGTGAGAAACGTCATGTGCAAATTTTTCCTTTTTTTTTAAACATCATCCCTCTGTATTTGAATTTTTCAATTAATTGATTAGTTTATTCTCAAAGATCCTGCTCAGAAAAGTATTATAGCAATTTCATGTATAAATATAATCCCTTTGTTAATTTCTCAAATAACTACCGTTGTTTTCTTGTTGAATTTATTTGTTTTCCATCTTTGATTTTTCGCCTTCTTTTGCTCAAGAATGCAAAACCTTCCTGTTGAATTAATTTTTTTCTTGTTTGATGAGTAATTTGGTAGGAGCTTCATTTAAAGAAAAATTTCATTTAATAACTTATTAAATGGTCGCGTTTTTCCTCTTCAATTTTCATTGTTTCTTTCGACTGTTGGTAATGATTTTTACGCAATAATTGCAACGCCTTAATGGTTTCCAGATTTTTTCGCTTTAAAAAACACTTGCCTTCTTTGTATATAAAAGATGCTCAATGAATACAGTTTTTCTCACTCAGCCTGTTTCAAATAACAATATGATTTTCCAATTATGGCGCGCCTCTATTCCCCTTGTCGTTGATGATATTGAGAATATGAAACGTGTAGGGATTCACATAACAGTTTTGTGGGTGTTAATTGAAGAATATATGGCAATCTATTCGGTGTGATTGGACGTTGGGAATGAGAACAGCGCAGTGTGAGGCAGTACAAAAAGACGACAAACCAAGAATGTCGGCATATTTGGCAGCTCTACGTTCTCGTGTAGGTTTTTCTTGTTCACCAGTTTTTTTTATTGTTCACTTGAGTTTTGTAGAAAATGAAAACGCTTCTCGTTCTGTTGGTTCTCGTGGCGCTGGCGGTCAACCTCGCAGAAGGTCGTCATCATAGACACAAGCCGGCTTCATCTTCCTCATCTTCCTCCTCTTCTTCAAGCTCCTCGTCCTCCTCTTCGTCGTCGTCGTCGTCTTCGTCATCATCGTCATCCTCGTCTTCTTCGTCCTCGTCATCGTCGTCTTCCTCCTCCTCGTCCTCCTCCAGCTCTTCTTCCTCCAGCTCTTCATCTTCTGAAGAGAAGAACCATCACCATCACCATCACCATCACTTTGCTCAGGCGGACTTCCTCAACCGGATCGCGAACCTCCGATACCGACCGGCTACGAGGCTGACTAGAGTCCAACCCCTTCCGTCTTCTTCTGTCGCCCGCTTCCACGACTTCATCCACAGACCCACTCGCTTCTAACTCATTTTAACTTTACGTATGAGATAAATTTTTCTGTGAATTCTATGTTTGTTTTTGGTTTCAACTCTGAGCGGCATGAATATTTCGGAAGAATCCAAGAAATGTGAATTTTACACTAATAGGAGCAGAAGAGTGAGAAGTTTAACATTCCTGCAAAAAAAGAATATTTGACAGGTAATATCTGAGTTTAGCTAGGAACAAATCTGCATTTGGCCTCAGAGGTTGCGATTTGACTCGAAAGTCCACGCGAAAGCTGGATAAAGACATACTTCATAAGTCCATTCGTAAGTTCAGACCAAGGCGTTCCCGATGATGTTTCAAAAGAAAGAATGAAAAAACTTTTATAATTCCTCGCAAATGTTAGAACAAGAATTGATCGTGCTCCGGATCGAATCCGACCGGCGTTGGCGCAAATCCAGAAACTTTGGGGTTGTTTTTTACTGCTTTAGAGTTGGTGAATGCGTATGGATCATAGGCAACAGGTATCGGCTGGAAGGCGTACGGATTGGACACTTGCATGATGGGAGGTGGCAGAATGGGGTACTGAATTTGCAGGAATGGTTGGGTGGCTGGGGCGGGAGTCGTGACTGTAGCTGGTGGTAGGGTTGTTCCGAAGACACAGAAGCATTTCCCAGTCATACAATATCCCTGAAAAATCTTTATCAAACGGTTCTTCGTTGAAAAATATAGTTCACTGTGTCAAATTTTGAAGCATGTTCATTGCGCCATAGCGGGCTATGGTTCTAAAAGGGGCAGTATGAAAAAAACACCAGCGAAAATTCAAACGACGACTTTTTCCGATTTTTTCATATCGCTAGGAAACTTTCCTACGGCCACCTTTCCGACGAAACTTTTTCTGACTTTTTTCTCGATAAGATCTTCGTTTTAAATCTTCCTATATAATGTAGGTAGTTGGTTCATGACTAAAACACAAGGAAATAGGAAAAAAAAAGTTTATAGATGTTTTAAAAGCTAAAAAAAACTTAAGGGAAAAAAGTCGGAAAGAGATCAGTCGGAAACGTGGCCGTCGGAAAGTTCCCTAGCGATAGAAAAAATCGGAAAATTCGCGATTTGAATTTTCGCTGGTGTTTTTTTCATACCACCCTAAAAGGTGAGCCTATCTTTTTTGATACTTTGGGAGGGTTAAACAAAAGCAAGTTATAATTATATATGTGATAATTTGGGACGCTAGAGTGAATGTGCAATACTTAAAAAGTTTGAAAACACTACATGAAATCGGTCTTTTTTTTCCAAACTTATCTCAAGCTGTAAAAATGAAAAGAGAGGTACCCGATTTCCCTTCACATGTTTTTCGATATAAAAGCGGAAAAGTCCATTTTTTGTCTTCGGCTTCCTTTTTTTCCGTTCATGAATTCTCACTGAAAACGCTAAAACAGAGACTATGAAATTGTTATTTTATAAAAAAAAAATGAATCTTCTCAACAATATACTTTTCATAACGGATCATCTGTAAATATTTTTCTAAAATCGTTGTTTCAAAATTTCACTTGATCACAACCAACCACTTGAACCGCACAGCAATGGAAGCACTCGTTATTGGTCTGACACTCGTCGTTGCCGTCGACTTTGCCCTTCTGAGATCCGGCAGACGAGTCGAAGTTGCCAACTTGCAGAACGATGACGTTTTGTGGTTGTTTTGCTGTTGTTGATGTCGTCTTTTTCGTCGTAGCCTCCATCCGCGTTGTGATCGTTGCCGGCGAGGTTTCGACTGTCGTCTCCGGGATTTCCATTGCAGCGAAAAGTACGAAAGTGCTGCATAGCACGATGATCAGAAGTTGAGAATGGCTGGTGAAGTCAGCCATCTTGTACAGAGGAGCCCGGACAACTGACGATATTCAGTCATACATGTGGGCGGAAACTTTCAATACCATTTTCGATAATTGTATTAGTTTTTATGGAAGCGAAAGGCTTTTTGGGCTTGTAAACACTTATTCGATTAGGCTGAGAAAAAAAATGGGCTGTGTTGATGGTTTCAAAAGCATCGCACGTTTTTATATTAAACAAAAAATGAAGAAACGTGAAATTTCGAAAAAATGGTTGTGATAATTTCTTTCAGATGGTAATTTTGCAAAGTAAATAAAGCTTTGAAGTTTTTTAGGGGGATAATTAGAACCGTGAAAGTACAGCTATTCTTCTACAAAGGCTATAGCTCTTGTTTTCACACATTGTTTCGGCAATTTCGTCAGAGCATATAGAGAACAGGGAAGGAAGTCTCACCGGGGGAGCTCGGCCGGTGATGACAGAGGGAGTCGAGGCGACTCCTGCGGTTAAAGTGGTAGGAGCAGGTTTATATATCTCCCCGAGCGCACTTTTACATTGAATAGAACAGCTCTGGAAAACTTTTTCGGAGAGTGGTGTTGGTTGAGTCAGCGAGAAAGGAAGGCTCAGGTCTTGTAGTCTCGACGAAGAGGATTCATTTCTTGACCTGCTGAGTTTTTGATTTCGTTACAGCTCGCGACGAAGCCGCTTCTCCTAGCTTTGAAATTGTCCACGAGTTCAAATGTTGACCTATTTTCAAGAGAATTTTCTTCTTTTCAGGTCCCGTAGATCCACGCGTCTCAAGCGGGACTTCTGTAGGCTGAGAAATTCGTGGAGAGAATCTTTCCGGATCCGTCGAAGTATCCTAAATCTTTTTCGATTCAGGATAAATTGCTGCACTGGTGCTGCTCGGCAAGCTGTCAACTGGACGCGGTAGTTTTCGGGAGCAGCTTGCTTGCAAATTCACTCCTCAAGTCCTTAAGTTGGGCTCGTTTTCGCCAGACCGATGGCGAAATAGGCGGCAGAAAATTGAAATATAAAGTCTGATTGCAGCGGATGTAAAAACACACGTAGCTTTTAGAAAAAAAACAAAATAAGAAAATTCAGCAAAAATGAATAAGAAAAGAAGAAGATCACGTAACGTGTGAACATCTTTCAAACATTTCGCAACTGAAGACACACTTCGAACTGTTTCTCCGCTAAAATGAGGTAACTGGGGGACCTTAAATAATGGTATAGAATCCGTAATTCAGCACATCTTCCTACACGAGCGCTTTTTCGGATCGTTTTCTCGATGAGGAAGGAAAGGTAACTAGTGTTGAATATGAGGAGTTTAAAGCTGGACTGAAAAGGAAAAAAAGGTTATAATTATATTTTTCCCACTAGCTTTATCCCTTCCATAACCCACCACTTTCTTAACTCTCGTCCTTTTTTTCATTTTTCTCCGAAAGCTTCACAGAAATGTATCTGTTAAATTACCTGAACTATCGCAAAAACGCACTTTTAATAATAGAAGCCTTTGTTGGATGTTCGACAAAGCGGTAAGCGATGTCGTGAAGACCCCAAAGAAGTACAAAAACTTCTCCTCCTTTAACACTTTAAGAAAGATTTCAAAAACATATGTATTTCCTAATATTTACTCACATTTCTTCATATTCTCTGCACCATATTACTTTTATGTTGAATTTATGCGTTTCTTTATCTTGAATAAAAAATAACGAATACCTATTGAGGAGTTCAAAGCGCTCATTCGACGTTGTGCCGACGTCTCCGAACGGGCGGTGCGTAACATCAGGGAGGGCGACCTCGAGCGCACCAAACTCTCTTTGGATGTCCGCGAGATGAACATCTTCTTCAACGAGGAGTATCAGAGAGTTTTAAAATTCTCAAATTAATGAAGCAAAATTTATTTAGTTGAAAAATAACCTCGATAATTTCGATGAGCAACTGCACGCTGGCAGGGTTCGAAACGCTCAAGTTCGCCATCAGCGGAGCACAGAAGCGGAAAGCTTGGCCGCTCAAGCTGTAATTTTATGAATCCTTTAAATAATAATCTTTGTAATTGCTGAGGAAAAACAATTTCCATCCAAAAACTGAAAATTTTTGATTTCAGCTCAACTCCCAAATCATGGCTAAGGAGATCAACATATTGGAAAAGAAGGTCGAGGTCCTCAGGGTGAGAATAAAAACAAATACCTAACCATTGAAAAAATTCAAAAAAAAAATTCGGGTTTTCTTCCAAGTTTTGGCTCTTTGAAACTGTTATTAGTGAGAAGTTTATTGATCATTTCTTTTCACCAGGATTCGATCGTCAATCTACATAAGGACTACTATCACTACGGTAGAACGGTGAGCGTTTCCGAGGTGCTCGAGCAGGTCAGCGAGATGGCCTACCGTGTTGAGCGCAACGAGCGGGAGCTCGGCACTCATATACTCAACCAGACAGACCCCCTTCTCACGGTGACAACTTTTTTTTTCTCTTCGTTTTTTTTTTATTTGAATCAAGTCTAGATTCAGGGGTTCAGTTTACAGATCCTCTTTGATTGGCTAGTCAAGTTTTCAAAAAAGTTCGTTACCAGCCAATCAAAGGCGCAATTATCTTTAACCAAAAGATGAAAGTATCATAATTTCCGTCAAAATCAAACAATTTCTTGCAGCCCGAAATAATTCTGAAAATGGCCGTCGAAGGGCTTTTGGGAATCAGCAGCAACAAACCCGAAACGCAAGAGCTGGCTAAGAAGCTCGCTCAAGAGTTGCGACCATTCAGAGACGCCGCTTTCAACAAGGTAAATGAGGATGAATGATCGTAGCGGACTGTATTGAAGTTTTCATTCTGACTGATGCGAAATTTGTGAACTTCAAAACGAACAAATTAAAATTCAACATTTTTCGCGGCTCAAATGGTAAGGTAACAAGACAAACAAATGAAGAACTAACGCTAATCTGATATTACCTTTTTCAAACCCTGCTTCATCTAAGTCTTTAGGATTTGATATCAATTTTGAAATATTGCTTAATGTTTTTGTTTAATCTATGAGAAAAAAGAACCTTCGGCTTTAGAACCTTCTTGCGTTGGTCGGCATCGACGATACGACAAGCGCCGATTTAAGAAAGTCGTCGTCAGTTCCGACCAAGACCATGTCTTCGGCATCTACTTTGAGCTCGAGATCTCTCAGCGAGGAGAGGAAGGGCTCGACGGCCAAGTACGTCAGCGCTGGGTCAAGTTAGTGTTTATCAGAAAAATTCGACAATTTGCCTCGAAAACTTTATTAACAGGACTGAATAAGAAAAAAAAAATCGTAGGCGCTTTCTGTTGGCCCAGTAGTCTTTTTTCAATCGACAGCCGAGTTAACCTGTAAAATTGATAAAATAGCTTTGAATTGAAATCGCGAACTTCCATGCATAAAAAGTTAATCGTAAAGAAATGTTTTTTTGTATTTTTCTGATCTGAATTCCCCACAAAAAAAGCAATCCTTTAAATAACTATTTGGATTTCTCTCTAAATCGAAATAGGCTTGATGCAACGCAAAAACTTTTTTATTGACAATGCCCAGTCATTGTCTCTCAAAATTTTGTTCTCTTCCTATATGAAAAAAAAAGTTCTGCAGATGATGACTGGGTAGTGTCGGAACGCGATTGCGACTGTGATCTTTGCCATAATTTCTGCTGAAAGTTAGTAACGAATTTTGGAAATTCAACAAAATTCAACCTTTTCACAGGCACCGACGGAACAAAAACTACTTCAACTTCGAGCTTCTCCCAGACCGACTCACAGTTCTCCATTTGAACTTGCTGTTTTTTTAATGAATTATTTGCAGTACTTCATTTCTTGCAATCTGATTTTTTCAGGATTTCAAGAACAGGCATACATTAAATTAAGATTTTTCCTGAGCATCGTTTAAGCAGAACAAACGGCTCAAGTGAAAAAAATAACATAAAAACTGTTTAGGGCTCAGAATATAGTGAATTCGATGGTCAAGTTTTGAAAGTACAGAGAAGAAAAATTTACCGTAAATAAAACGTTTTACTCTACAAAGCTGCTAGAAAGACAGCTTAATCTTGATCTAATTTGGTATACAGTGTTTTCGGCGGAAAGAAAAACGTGACAAGCTGGCGCGTAATACGCTATAGCTGATTCACGGTTAACTTGGGACGCTAAGGGGGCGTGTCCTCTCTGCGCTCTCCACGAGCCAGGCGCTATCTCGTGCATTATCGTGTCAGGACCCTTTTTTCGATGGCTCAAACCAGCCGTGAATCAGCTATATATGGGGACCTCGAATTTGCGAGCGAGAAAGTGCCGCGGCATCAGAGACTATTCTCTTTTGATGTCTGGCAATCTTTCCCGCCTGCTTGAGGCACCGAATATTCAGCATCAAACCAATGTTTCAAGATTTCGCTTTTTTCGGTTTCTTCGTGATTTTGTCGACGGGATGAATCAAGCCATCCGTGTATCGGACCGATTTCCAGCTTTCAGGAAAATAATCTGCCGCGTTGAGTCTTTTCTCGGTCTAGAAGAAAAAAATTCAAGATTTTGGAACATTGGAAGAACAAACATAAACAGAATCGGTGGTTTGTGTTATATCGTAATAGTAGACTCGTTGTCCTTTCGATAAGTATCCCATCCAGAATCCAAAGGTCGAGTGAGGAGCTGAAACTCACGATAAGGCGCGTTTCAAAAAAAAATTGTTTAGAGCGATTATAACTATTAGGTTGGTAACTAAGTTTCCGATATTTTTGAGGTGTGTTTTTGGTTAGCTCCCACGTTTTACTAAATGCACTTCTTGTTTCGCCACTAGGCATGTTAGCAGGAGGGAAGTCTCCTTTACGTAAACCACCGATAGATTCAGTCTCCCCTTTGTTCCCCTTCGAGGATGCCCCATAGATTCATCCACGACCGAACTCACATTCGACACACATTTCTGTTTTTTGTTCTTTTCTGGCAGCAATCAACCTGACACCGAACGTCCTATCAAGAACGTATACGAAGAGCATGCGCCCTCTCAAAGCACCATCAGCCTTTGGTTCAACAAGTTCTCGAGAGGGCTTTTTCCATGACTGAAGGTGAGGGGTCGGGTCGGCCGTCCGAGTTGGCTCTGGACCTGCTTCGCATCCAAATTGAAACCGATCCTTATGTAACCACCAGGGAATGGGGAGCCACACTGGGGGAGCCATACCACTATCTAAAAAGAAATGAAAAAAAAAATCGGAAAAGACCAAAAGATGGGCCGATGGATACCCCACCCATTGACCGACTACGACAAGGATCGCAGAGTCTACATGACTCTTTCTCTTCTCCCTCTCCACGGAACGCACGGATGGCTGCACAACCTCATCACTGAAGATGAAAAGTGGGTCCTCCGTGATAATGCTCAGAGCCGTCCTCAGTGAGTAGACAATGATGTAAAGGCAGAAGACGTCGCTAAAGCGGATCTACACGCGAAAAAGGCCATGCTGTCTATCTGGTGGTCGGTTCGAGGCGTGGAGTTCTGGGAACTTTTACCAAAAGGGTCGTACAACAATGGCATGTTTTACCTCTTCAACCATACTCCCCTGACCTTGCCCCTTCTGATTATCACCTCTTCTCCCACCTTAAACGAGCCCTCGCGGGGCAGAAATTCGACGACGAGATGCAAGTCAGAAGCTGGTTGACCAACTGGTTCAAGGCCCAGTCCGCCACGTTCTGGAGGCAGGGCATTCTTGCTCTGCCAGAGCAATGGCAACAGACCATAGATGCACATGCAGAATATTTCTATGATTTGCTCCTTTATTCCCCTGCTAAACATGATGAAGTTTGTTTACACCAAAAATATCGGAAACTTAGTTACCAACCTAATAGAATTATCACAAAAATTGAATTAAGGACAGCTTTTCGTGGTCCTTCAAATGAAGAGTTTCCGGGCAATTTTGGATCAACCAGAACTTTGTGCAGTTTGATAATTATTTTTTGAAAATCCCTCGAAAATTTCATAGTGGCGGAATAAAGGCTTTTAGAAGAGATATAAAAAATGATGGCCAGAAGTTATTCATAACTTTGTTTGAACACGCGGAAAAAAAAAACTATTTGCTTTAATACTTCAATTGGTAATACACGCTTCTCTCAAAGCCCAAGCAAAAAATTTGTGTTGTAGTCAACTTTTCGCGAATCGAAATATATGAGTATAATGGCAAGGGTGATTTTTTTTCGTACACAACGAGGACTTTGGAAAAACTCGAGATCAAATTTGACTTATCTTTTTTTGATGTTTTCTCTTTCTTTTTTTATGATAATGAATTGTCTAGGAGTCTAATGAATAAATTATGAGATCTGAAATCCCGCCGCGTAAAGACAAGCCGATACCATATTCTTTTCAAGATTGAAAAGAAACCTTTGAAAAAATCATGAACCTGTTAGAACGACGGAATCGCAGCGAGTCCAAGCGAAAGCCAGTTCAACTGAAGGCGAGTTTTTCGAAATGATAACCTGAACTCCAAGATCAATGAGGAGAACTTCTTTCGATTATGATCAACCTCGTGATCGCCGACACTTGTGCTGCCTGAATGCACTGTTTTTTTCCCATTTTTGAACGTAACTTTACCATTGAAAAGATTTTTCAGCCACTTTTGATCAGCTCCCATCGCAACGATCGTCAACTTCCGGTTGAGTGAAACTGAGAAAGATTTTGGAAGCAAAAAAAATATGACGGACCAACCATCGTTCACGGCTTTAGCAATTATTTCAAGTGACGGTTTCGTTTCAGAATAAGCGAAGTTGGCCCCTATGAAGTCACCTCGGCGTGTGTGAGCGCAGACTCTGAACGTTATGAAATACTTTTTTCAGCTTCGAATTTTTTTTCCCAAGTATTTAGTGAATATCTTTTTGTAATGATATAAAAACTTCACAAAATAGAATACGTGAAAAAAATTTTAAGCTGAGTTCTTAGGAAAAAATTGAGGGATAAAACGCTAACTGTATCATCCACATTCAAAAAAGAAGCACTCTAGGAACTTTATCATTTCAATAAGAAACTTCAACGAATTTCAATTATGATCAACATTGATTATTGAAGATGTTCATTAATTTCCTACATATTGAGCCTGCTGAAAATTAGGGTTTTACAACTACGATAGTGACGACGAGAAGACTTTAAAATCATTATTACTTTCTATTCTCACGAAATTACAGGGGAAAAGAAGGCAATAAAACGCGAAAAAAAGATGCAGATGTTTTAACGATGGTGAAACGTAAAACACAAGGGCCATTGAATTTTACAAGCGAGAGATTTGTGAAATATCAGCGGCACAGATTATTTCACGTCCTACCACCATTAAAAAGTCGTGTTTAAAAAAAATAGCTGGAATTTTCGAAGGCGCCTAGCTTTGAAAAATTTTTTTTCACTCCTTCAATCATCCAAAATGGTTTTCGAGCATAACACTTTCAACCCCCCACTTACATATAATTATTCTTGGAGTTCTGTGGAAGAATTCCTTCCGCTTTTTCTAAAACTTCTTTCTCTGGCACTGCTTGCTGCATTATTAATGGCTTGATATGATCAAAATACTTGTGGACTTGGAAAAATAGACCGTTCAAGTGCAAATGACTCGCCGACTCGTTTGTCAACCTAAATTAAAAGAATGAAAAACCATTCTTCAATTTTGAAGAAAACCTCCAAAAGTCGTTGTAAATACAGCAGACCGCGTTAAATTTGACTGTCCGAACGTTGTCCTTCTCAAAAAAAATATAATTTGTAAGAGGATTTGCGACAATTTTACCATTTTTTCTTGAGGTATCCTTTTGAAGAGACGATTTATATTTGGAAAAATAGGCTTTATTTTTTTGTCTATCATGTCGTCCATTTTGGGAAATACTGGAATGGCAGGAACGCGACCAAGCAACCTGGCTATGCCGATAAGAGAAGCCAAAGCAAAAATATTGTTTCCTGCAAAGATAGAAATTAAGGCTCCTAGAGCAAAAAGGTGCTTTTTGAAGTATGGCTAAAAAACCTCACAAGGAAGGTAATGACATTCTGAGGTTGGAAATTTCGTGAAAGTTCGCCTGAACACTTCTTGATCTACCAAAAAAATATTCTGAAAGTTTCAACCTGCACAATTTTCTAGTTTTCGATAAGGGCTCAAAGTCAGAAGAAAGCCTATTATAAGTTGTGTAGGTTTAGACTTTCGGTATCTTCATCTGGTACATCAAGGAGCGTTTTTGCCAATTTTCAGAAAATTTCCAACCATAAAATGAAATTCCCTTCCTCTTCAAAACGAAAAACTATATTTGTTAGAAGAAAAAAGCACGACTAGAAACAGCTTGTAGCTTAAAATTATTCATATTGACTACAGAGCACGCCTTCAGAAGGAAATTTGCCGCCATTTTTTACCGTTTGTTTTCTAGAGGATTTTTATCAAGACTATATTTCCGTACAGGCAAATAAAAAAACTTGCCTACACCACTTGGATAAGGAATCTCCAGAGTCAAAATCTTCTCATTCTCTCTCGGCAACGCCTCTTGTGTTGCCGATGTTAGACAATCTCGGCTTATCTGGGTAGGAAGTGACATGAAGTGGACATATAAAAAAAGCACCAAACAAGCTGTAAAGATTTTTTATAAGATGTGATAGGAAAGAAAAAACAGACCCAAAAAAATTAAGAAGTATTTGTGTTTATTGACTTCTGCCATGATCCTTCTGCTTCTGGAAACGAATGATAGAGTATTTGACAGAACAGAAACATTGTTTCAATTTCAACCGATGCCCTAAAACTTTTGAGAAGAACACGTTAAACACGAAAGGACGCCCATTGACACAGATAACAGCCCTTATCGAAAGTGTACAAACATTCGTCAAATACTTGTACTATTCGATAGAAATCTTCCCTAAAAGCTTATAGCTTCATAGTTTGTGTAGTTATATATATTTTTTATTGATTTATTTAGAAGTGATGTTTTTTTTTCAAAAATGAATAATTATATTACCGCACTCCACATAAAAAATTTAACCGGCATCTAACCACTGATATTTAAAAACAAATTAGTGAAAAATTGCGAAAACCACGATTAAATGAAAAATGAACAAAAATGACAATTTTCGCCCATCTTTTGCAACGTGGTATCACACGCCATCTACACATAATGAAGCGGCTCATTTCATCTCAGAGGCTTGATTGTGAAGGCCGTGAGTACCCCTCATTTCTTCCACCTCTGACTAGAGATTTCAAAATTTGATTTTATTTGATTTGCACATTACATTTCTCAAAATATTTATTCCTTCTCCGACTGGAATTCTTTTTTTCATTGCCATGAATATCATTATTTATGCAAAGGTTAACGCTTGCAGAAGAACATCAACCTTTGCAGATCCTTTCACAAAACACTATGATTTTGTTCCAATATTTTTTGTCCATTTTTATGTAGAAGGTTCGTTACTTGACATCGAAACCCAGTAATGGGGCGAAAAGGATGACGTAAGGCGAGCAAAAACGTCGCTAGAGAATCCGGGAACGCCCATGTTGTTCAAAGCTAGTTCTTGCCTCTTCCATCTTCGTAACCTAAAATCAAAGTATTTTTCAGTGGTGGAAAAAAGTGCAAAAATATTCGAGAAAAATATAAACTCGGAAAAGGATGGTGGCGGCCAGAAAGGGTCGGCGACATCAATAAATTTCCCATTGCTTTGAAATCGGAAGCCAAGGAGATTTAAATAAACAAAAAAACCCAATAATGGTCTCATTTGAAACCACGTATTGTTCGTTCTGAATTTCTTGTTGTGTAAGAAAAAGGGCAAGAAAACACAAAAATCGCTAAATCAGACTCCTTTGCTTCTTTAAAAACCCAAACAGCCGTTTTGAACAGGCTTTATTTTTAGGGCTTTCAAAGGGCTTTTGCCTTATTTTATAGAATAGTTAGGAAATAATGTTTCTTTGTGATACTCTAACCATTCTCTATTGTACACTTGATCGATTGCTGACGACTCCTTGAATCACATTGAACGCCCCATTCACCTCTCACAGCTTGCATACGATAAGAAGTGAGAATGAAAAATCGAATTAATGTGGTATAACGTGGACCTTCATTTCTTACTGCCGTGAAAATTTCTCTCATTAACTGTTTTCCTTTCAATCTCTCACATCTTTGTTCATTTGAGCGCTTTAAAAGTACTTTTGAGGGGGATTGGGCTTGATTTTTCTTACTTTAAACTTTTTCACATAAATAGAGTCACGAAAATAAATCTCTACGTTTCGAAGACGTTGCCATGAGCTGCGAATTCGTGACAAATAACCCCCGAATTTAAAAGTTTCAAAATAATTTTTTTCGTGCTCCCCTAACCAAGATATCTCAAGATTAATGATTTTCACGATTTTCTTATGTAAAAAAAGAAGTCGATAAATTCCACTCTTTTTGCTTACGTTAATCGGAGTGTTCGGAAATTATAACCAGTACTTTTACTTAAAGACTTGCAATAATTTCAGACATGGCAGTGATCTCTTCCTCTTCAAAAAACGTGTATTTTTTACTGTTTGCTATTTTGGCAGTGAATATTTTCATATGGTTGAATTTGAAACAACAAGAGCAAGGTATGCCTGACTTATATTAGTGAGAAATTAGAATAAAGCTTGCAGGATTACAATCATTCATACAAAAGCAAGGTATTTTGAAAGATGATCAACCGCCACCAAAACTTCCAGAAGCCAATTTAGACATGGTGAAAAGCTTTTTTTTTTCCCCGTTTTCATCCGAAAGTTTTACAGACAATTTTGAAGAAGCGTGCAGCAGAAGTAATGCAAAAATTGCGGAATCCGCCGAGTAACAATAAAGAATTTTACGACATTTTCATCCCAGAGGTAAGTGAAGCTTTAGAATCTTGAAAAATGAGACACAGATTTGATTTTGAAAAAAAAGATGAATATTTTATGGCTCTTCATGGGTTCGAAAAACTTTTTTTTTTCAGGTTCTGTGTCCAAAAATAATTCGCGTCGGTGAATGTGGCGACGGAGGAAAATTCGTTTGCAATCCGCCAGCCATTCCAAAAGACTGCGTGTGAGCTTCTTTTAAGAAACTGCGAACAAATAGTGTAAATTTACTGAAATGAAAACTTGAGTAGCGTCTCATAAGGAAAAAAACAATTCATTGTATAGAATAGGCTATAGAATAGGAGAGGAATCCATCCCCAAACAAGAGGTGATTAGAGATTTAGGAGTTAATTTCAGTTCCGATCTGAAAATGCATCATCATATCGACATAATAGTCAAAAAAAGCATTCGTATAATCAATAATCTTTTCCGTTGCTTCACTTTTTCCGTTAAAAACTTTATGAACTGTTATAAAGCCAAAATTCTACCAATTTTAGAGTATGGATCGGAGCTATTCTCTCCACTAACCCAATCTGACATAAACAGGCTAGAATCGGTTCAAAGAAAATTCACCAAACGGCTTCTCCCAAAAGAAACCTATGCTGTAAGACTAAAATCCCTTTCTCTAGACACTCTATGGACAAGGCGTCTGCGAAAAGATATCATAATTACACATCAGTTCATATATGGCTATTATTGGTGTCCATCTCCATTCAAATTACAAACGATATCAAATAGACGAAACCAACTGAGAGGCAACGGCCTTAAACTCGAACCACCACCAATCCATCATGTTCACTATAACTTTATTACGCAACGCGTGTATAAATACTGGAACGGCTTAAACAGAGTTATGGTTTTTGAGGATGACCAAAGAAGATTTAAAAGTTGTTTGAAAAATTGGTTTTTGATAAGGAAGCTGCAAATTTCACAAAATGATTCAACTCGTTTATAGATTACTTTTCTTTTTGATTCTCTTCGATTTCGACCTAAAATATTTTTATATTAAAGTGGAACTTTATCGAAGTGGAGGCAAATATAACTTTCATGGTTCTCTTCCTCCACGCCACAGATCTGTCTGTGAGCGAAATAAACATTCATTCATTGCCTGTTAATACTCCTGTATAAACTCCTAAATACTCAAGGACGAGGAAAATGATAGGTTGGATCATTTAACTGGCATGTGTGCCTTATTAGTGACCTCTTGGAAAGGGAAACAATATAATAATTAACAGTTTTTTTTTACCACACCGTGGCGTGTCCAAAGTGATCTCCGCGAAATTCAAAAATATCTTCCCCCTCCAAAATTTAGTTGTCTTTTTCACTCTCTGACTTCTATTTCGAATTTCAAGGGATCATTATGACTACGGCATTAATTAAAATAGATATTTTTACAAAAAAACAATCTAGAATACCATAAATCGGTTATTTTTTTCAGAATAGTTTCGCTGGGGTTGAACAACCAAATAATGTTCGATGTCGATATTCAGAAAAGGTCTCAGAATAAATGTCGAATTTTAGGCGCTGATCTGGTAGGTTTTCTCTAAATTTTCTCAACATAGTAAAGAATTATTTCGAAATTACAGAGTGAGCAAAATGCAAAAACCAAAGAAACTTATCAAAAAATGCGAGGCACGTTATTTGTGGGAGCAATTGGACGCACCCTATCCGTTTGTAAGTTAACAGTTCAAATGAAAAAAACATCAACTTGATTTAAGCTGAAATTATGAGAAAATCGTCAGCGTCTGAAGCTGAACTTCTCAAAATGGATATAGAGCATGCTGAGCATCATGCGTTAGAGCCGTTCCTCAAAGAATATAAAGTTTGCCAGGTATACCATTTTTATGCATTACTAACTAGTTCTGCTAACGTCTGAAAAGGCAAAAAACGTGGAATATGTCGCGCATTAAACAATTTTATTGCAGATCTTTCTGGAAATTCATGGTGCGCCGGCCTTGCATATGTCGCTCCTGAAAAAAATTTCCAAGTTTGATTAATTCAGTGAGGCTCAATAATTAAAATTTTACAGACAAGGGTATCGGATATTTTCCGTTGAACCTAATATTTATTGTCCGCTGTGCTGCGAATACAGTTTCATTCGTGAAGGATGCATTGATCGATACGGCGCAATTCCCCTAGAAAATGTCATTCCTGAATGATTTTTGTTTCCTTTGGTGTTCTCAAAACCTTTGATGATCGGGATTAATTTTCTCTACGCCATGTAGTAAGTTTCTCAATTACTTTCATAACTTTTTCTTGCAATCCTACTCGAAATTTCGCTTTCGTTATTTCGTTATTTTTGGTGTTGATTGTTTGTTTTTCTTGAAAGTAAAGAATCTATTGAAACGTGAAGTCATCAATTGTTCCATCGAGGCTACAACAGTGGAAAAAATACAGCTCTGGTCAAAAAGTCCAAAATTTGAGGACTTTTAGAAATACGGAAAAATTGTTATCGCAGCTGTGAGCGGCCACGGGCGAGATTTTGAACAAACATAACCAATTTTATACATTCATATTATTCTGCTACGCAGTTCTACTGCTTATTTAAATCAGACTTCAATCTTAATTCTACTCTGAAATGAAAAGTAAAGCTACAACTGTTCTAAAACGCAAAAATTGGCCCAATCTTGTGCTGCTATGCTTAGCGTTACTACTTTTTTATATGTACTACATGGAAAAACGAGTAAGTTACTGTTCACTGTTCGTTTTTCAATAGAAAAAGTTAATTTTTTTTAGAGTGAATTAGCTCTGCCACCTAGTTTGTACAAAGAATGGAAAATTTGTGTCTTAGAAAAAATTCAACAGTTCCGGAATAATCCTGTTGGTGTAAGTTTTTTGAAAAGGACTTGAAGCTTTTTTATCGTGTTTTTTTTTTTTCAATACTTCAGCTTTGGGATAATCTAGCTCCGGTTGTACTATTCTGTGAAAACCGGCCGAACATACAAGCCGGTCTGAAAATAAATGATTACGAGAGTCCAGATGAAACCAAGCGTGGCATTCTTCCAAAAACGGTTAGTTCCAAGCTTTTCAGCTGATACTCCTTTTAAGAACGAGCCAAGCTGCACTGTAACTCTAGGAGTTGGACAAAGTACATATGCTGAAGAATTATTGCTCAAGGTATTCATCTTCAAATGTAATTTTACAACATTTTTAAGCACTTACCAAATGGCTCGAAATTTTTTGGAGCCGATCCTTCTCATGAAATTAATGAAGAAAAGTATAGCAAAATCGGTCCGTTTTTCCCGTTCGCCGTCGCTGCCCAATCTGGCCTGTCAGAAGCTGATGTTCTCATTGGAAGTGGGTACCTCTGCAGAAAAAAAAAATGAAAAATCTCTAGAAAAAAACGTAGAACGCCATCGGAGATAAATTAAGAAATATATAAAAATGCGGCCCACGAACTAATAACACCAGACATCATAGTACACACGACTTTCCCAAAAATATTTGTCATTTAAAAAAATGCCTAAAGATTTGCCCCTACAAGTCTATTCGTTTACATCTTCGTGAAGCTTCTCATCATAATACCATGGAATTTAGCGGATAACATCTCCTGTTCATAAAAGCTGTTACCTAAGTCTATAATCCACAAAATTTTCAACTCCTAACTTGTCCGAGTCCGAGTAACCTTTCACGCTTCGCTTGTAAAACAATAAGGAAAACAATAAAAAAGTTTTTATTTTTTTTAATACTACAGTGATTAACTCGAAACAACTAGAGTTTAAAAATAACAATTTAATTAAATAAAAGCCGAAAAAAATCGCGGCGTCTCAAGAGGCCCCGCCTACAAAAAAATCGTCAAATATGACGTTTCTTGTGCATGTACCGCCCTCGAAAAACTAGCATACTGCCGACATTTTTTTATAATTTTTTTAATGAAAAACAAACTTTTTTTCAAGCTGAAAAAAAGTAAAACAGTGAATATTCGGTCATGTATCTTGAATATCAAAAACAGGGAAATACTAAAAGAAATAAACTTTTCATAAACTTTTCATTAAAAATAAGTTTCAAATATATTAAAATGTTTTTTTATTGCTGCTAAAAAGCAATGGCAAAGGATGAAAACCAGTCAGAAAGAATGATTAAAACAGTTTTGCACGAGAAAACTGCATTTACAATAGTTTTGAAAAATACTTTTTTTGAGAAGTTATTTGTGAATTATCTTTCAGTAATCGGAGAATTCAAATTCAGAGAATAATCTTTATGAGACTAAAGTTCCATTATTTTCGGGGCTTACGAACCGTTTCAAGTCATTTTTTTTTAAAAATAGACGAAGAAAATACACAACAACCAAAAAAATTACACTCGGACGTCGGTATATTCTGTTCAGATTTTGAATGTCAAGTCGTCGCTCAAGCTCCGCCCCTAATGGTGGGATAAACCAATCAGAGAGCGAGTCATACACAGAGTGTTTTTGAATGACGTCATTGCACTTGACATTAAAAATCTGAACAGACTATAATGCGAACCGGGCGCGTCGACGCTTCTGAGCATTTTTAGTGATCCCTTTAGCGGCTTTAGCGTTTTCAAGTGATTTACTTAAAAACTTCTAGTTTGTGTTTTCTTTTTCAAAGTGATCAATTCAAAATATATCGGAGAAGGAAAAATATCTTGATGTGAAAAAGATAACGAAAACCCTAGAGCCAGAGATCATAACGGATTCGCAGAATTTCATATCATTTTTTTATTAAAAAAACTAATTATTGATTTCTAGAATCATATAAGAAGAAAACTGTCGTGCACATTGACATTATCTACTTTTTCAAAAACATTATTCAACAAGAGGTTAGTTTCTACAAGCTGATGTCCTGAAGTTTTTCTCCATTTCAGTTTTTCGATAATGTTTGGATTGACGTGGAATCTGCAGAGTACGACATTTTGCCGTTTTTCTACCGAGGCGGGAAATTTGATTTGAACAAGATCACCATTTGCCAATTCAATATTGAGGTGAGCTTCATTTGTTCCATGGATGGGCATCAACTTTTTTTTTCGATCCACGAACCGACTTATCATCAAAAAGAGCTGTTTCGCGACTTCATTTTTCAACTACTGAAAGATAGTCGTTACGCTTTCTTCCGTATTGTGCAGATGAAACATATTCGGATGTTTTTCGTCAATTTCGCGGATGAGAGATGTGTTAAAAAGTATATTTCTTGATTAGTTTTGCTCGGAAAAGCTGAAATGATAACTTTTTTTTTAGCGATTGTAGTTCAAACTGTGACCGCGATTACATATATCTAAAAAATAAACTCATGAATTTATTTCCAACATATCACGGGCACCCGGCCATGGCCCAATCGATTATTTGTTTTCCAAAGTAGTACGTGTGGTCGCTAACGCTGAGCTCTACTTGAGTTGCACTGCAGAAAAGTCCGTCTGCTTCTTTGCAAATCGTGAAGGGTTGTCCCGGTAGCATGTCGTTGTTGTACCTAATTTGGTTCATTTTTTTGAGTCTATAAATTCTTATCACATATTATTATGGACTTTGTCGCAGCGAGAGTAACGTTGTGTTTTCTTTGAAAAAATATTTTCTTTAATATGAGCAATTCGTTCATAAAATTTTAAAAAAAAACGCGAAACATATAGTTTTTCTTTCAATTTTGGATCACTGCGATACGTTCTGCAGTATTGGAGATACCTTATGAAGATGATTTTTTAGAAATTTTACTTTTGTGCTTCTCAAAAACTTCAGAACTGAAATTCGAAATAAAATTTTGAAATTTTTTCGATTATTTCTGAATTCCGTTTTGGATAATAGAAAGTTTAGCAAACCGAAAAAAAAAACTCTCCAATAGCTTCATGATCCAGCAAAGAATCTCTCTCGAGACTGAATAAATGTGTGGTTTTGCTTTACAAATACCTATGTTAGATGATTTTCTAAAAAACAATAACTATTTCGAGGATTAACATCGCTAAAAGACTACTTCTTGTTTCGTAACTCACCAAACTTCTGTGCGATGGTGGAAATATTCATCGGCTCCTTCTTGAGGTGGAATGTGCGGGGTGATGTCTTTATGATGGATAACTCGATAAGAATAGGGGAACTGCAACGTAATTGGAAAGTGAACTCATTTAATTGAATGAGTAGGTACCGCAGTCTCATGCCAATCGGCATAGGCGTAGTCACCGGTCCTTGGCTGCCCAAAAGTGATCAATTTGACGTCTTTTCCATCAAACAGTCCGCTTTTGACGACGTACGACGCTCCAACGGACGCCATAGCTCCGCCCAGAGAATGACCGTGCACCTGACAAAAAGAGTAATTTTACTTGACGTTTTGGAAGCTATACCCAAAGGGTGTAGCCTGGGTAGAGGAACTTTAACTGACGAATGTCAGCCTGCATTCCGCCGTTCCACATAAACATGAAACCGTCGTAGAAGTACTCCAAAATGTTACCAGAGTCGAAGAATGGCTTCTTCTTCCTAAAGAATTGTTTAATTATTTTTTTTCCTCTTTCCAACCTGAAAAACGAGTCTAGTTCGTCGCCCAACTGTAGGTCGCCAAGTGTTCCACGAAACGTCATCAGAATGACTCTTTGGACAGTGTCGACGGCGGTGTAACCGAAGCAATCGGTCTCTAATTTGAAGAAAAAACTATTGATCAGGATGAAAAATGAAAACTTACGAGGGCCAAAAGCCGAACAGTTGACGCTGATTATTTTGGACACCTTCATCGATGGCAATTGCTTGCTGCATTTTTTTATACATCGTTATATTTTATTATTTTAGAACTATGCGTGAGATCATATTCGCCATTCTTCGAACCATTCTGACTTTTCTTCGTCTCTTTTGCCCTCGTCAGGGAGCTCATAGAAAACTTTGCAAAGAGATTCAGAGAAATCAGGATGTTTCAAGTTTCGGCGAATACAGTACTCAAGCAGAAAACATAAAACTCATCAATCGCTGGTTTCAATTATAAAAATTGTTGATCAAACTATTAAAAATTATGTAACAGGTTAAGACTTCTCTGTTCAATTTTTTGTTGAATGATTAGGTGAGTAGAACACTTACTTGAAGCAAAGCTGTGGATTATCGTTGTACGCGGCGGAAATGGTAACCAGCGCCGTGTTTCGAACGAATGTGTCATTGTAGCCGTATCCTTCTTTTGGTAGACGTGGACAATTCAGGGCCCTCTGAAAATTAAAATTGAAATCAACATCAAATGTAATATCAACTGTAATCGCTTGAGGACACGCCGGAACATTACATTTGCTGGCGGTGGCGCAGAAGCTGAAAAGTTGAACAAATTTATTTTTGCAGTACGTATCTGCTTGCTGGAGTTTGAAAATGGATGAATAAAATGACTCTATTCTCTTCCGAAAACTCCAGCAAACTATACAGAAATCAGTTTGTCTAAAAACGCAACTGTTTGCCGCTGCTCAAGCAGTCTGTGCAATCGTCGGCGTATACTGCTAGCACAAACGCAGCCAACAAAAAGCCGCGCATCGAAGCCGAAATTTCGCAAAAGGTGGCTCATTCGATAATTTCGCTTGATATCATTCAAAGGGACTGATAAGGAAAATGAGGAGCCTACTCGACTCTTTTTATGAACTTTTTTATCTCAATTTCCGGGCCGAAATTGGAAATGAAAAAAAAATCAAGCCCAACGAGAGATCTTAAAAAATTGAGACAAAAATTTTAATTTTTTCTATATGTTACAGTAGGAATACTATCTCTCTCCGTTTTATTGTATTCATGTGTGAGCGATGCCCTCGGCGTGTAATTGCTCCGGCAGACACGCCTGTATCTCACTTGGTTCCCCTGCACGCGTCTTGGCCACACGCGTGTGAGGCTCACGAATAAAGACTTCATGACAGTCTGCCTTCAACACGTCTAAAGCTTACACGGAAGAGCCGGTGACCCTTCCGGTGTAACATATATAACGCTTTATGCGTTGCTTGAAGGCTCAACAGTTTCGCACGACCCAAATTACGCCAAAATCTCGATATCATCATTGATAGAATGATGATAGCATCAAAACAAAAATATAAAACTGTATTTCATGCTCAAAACTTGGAGAGCATTCGTCACCTATTTGCATAACTATAAAAAGGAGTTTCTCATCACTTCAGTTTGCTTGCAAACTCTTTTTTCATTGTTTCTCCAAACTCAGCATGTCAAACCAACCAAACATACAGGTAATTGTCAAAAAAACCAAAGTTATAATCGACATTTTCAAGCATATTCGCTTCGGCTTACTATTTGGACCGCTTCTCACAGCTTTCATCATGTTCTACACACTGCCAGTTTTGTTAGGTTTATAGTTGCTTATCTCCACAACGGATTTCGTAATTTAGGAATCATCATGAACACGATAGCGATGATTTTGGTGGTTTCCTGTCTGTTGGGGATCCTTGAGGCTCATTTTAGCGGAATATTCAATGTGGGAGTTTTTATTGTACGTCCACTTTGAAAAAAATTTCAAGATTTTATCGTCTATGGCTCTTCTCTTGTTCATAACATTATCAAAACCGCCGTTGAATCAAGAAGGTTTATCTGAGGAATCGATTCCAAAATGTAAAAAAAAAGATTAAGGTCCCATGATTGTCACGATCCTCGCAGCGAACGCCTTTTTTGTTGGCTGCGGAATCGTCACCTACACAGTCGCCGCTTTGCGATGGTTTTTCGGAGAGGATGTCAATAAAACGAGAAGCGAAAAAAATTTTTCTTGAGTCTCCAGTGGGAACTTTGAAAAAGAATTTACAAACGGCATCAGTTCGATTAAAAAAAGTTAACTACATAACATAAAAATGAATTGCTGGAGTTGAAAACAAAAATCAAAATCGAAGCGGCTTGTATGCAAGTGCAGAAGATTGCAAGTTAATCCCGAAAGGATTTGGAAAAAAATTTTTTTATTTGAACAATCTTGAACAAGTCGATTTTTCGCGTCTATCACAGACCGAACAAAAAAATTAATTTATAAATTATTATTTAGTTAGTTAAAAGACTGGAAAAAAATTTAAAAAGAAAAAAAAGCAACAAACAGTCGAATTTCGCCGTCAAATGTGACGTTTCTGGTGGTCTTACGGAGCACATTGAGTGAACTCACGCGTCCACCGTACTTATTCACGTCAATTTTTTTTTCTGTTTTTTTTCTGTTCTTTTTTTTGTTGCTTGTTTTCAAATTTGAAACGCTTATTAACGTTCATATAACTTTGCCATCGAAAACTTCGCCTCTGATAGGGTTTTTTTTATCGAGAAACCTAAACAAAGACAGCTCATTAGTTTCCTGCGAAAAAGCTCACGTTTTTGTTCAATTTTTTTAAAAATTTTTGCAATGTATGTAATTTTTTTCCACTGATCAGTGGAGTTTTTTAAATGGTTATTGCGGATATAGTCCGGTATTAGGTGTTCCTAGGTATGGCTGTTCGAAAAAGGATGAAAGAAACTTTTGTTTTATATGCAATGATAATCCGTTTTCGAGTTTTTCCTGAAAAATTCCCGCTTATTCTCAGCACCTTATGAAGCTTAACAGATAAATCTTATTTCTTTAAGTACTCCCATCTAGAACTACCTACCACAGAAGTTTGTACCAGATCTTCTCTTGCAAGATTGAATATTGTTGCTCATACACATCTGTTCAAGGCGGCCGGTCGTGTTAATTTAGTTTAAACGTTTTGTTCGGTAATAGAATATGCGTCCTCTATACTTTTCGAGAAGTAACTGCTTTTGTTACTTCGAGAAGTAGGTTCTAAAAAAATTGCTAGGAGCTAGAAATTTTTTTTTAGATTTCGGCCACAGAACAGACGGCAGCACATGTGCATTCAGTTTTCAGCAAGTGATGAGGCGCTTCGAAATTCTTGAGTACGTTGATTTTTCTATTACAAACGGTGTTTAAACTTGTCTAGTACATAACAAAAAAAAAATAGAGCATGATTCATTTTCCACCGGGAACGCAGCAGTAAGTGTATGCTGTTGTTTGAGAGCAAGTGTATCCGATGGGGCAAAATGAGTTGACACAGGCTGAAAATTCGTTTTTTTTTTTCTTGGATCGAAGCTCGGAAAGTTCACTAACTCCATTATTTCTGCTCTAATAGAGCCTCTTCGAAAGTCTCTGCAGAGGTTTTGCATTAATATAGGGCAACATTAAAAAAAAAATAGCAAAAGACTTTGTACTGATATTTTTCAAAAATCAGTCAGTTTCGTTTTGAATTTCCCAAAAATGTAGTCCCTAAACAGAACTGAAAGAAAACTGAATTTTTCTTTAGTTTATCACCAATCGTTAAATTTTTGCTTGTATTATTTAACAGAACTTTTAAATTACTAAAAAATGTTTAACCTCCAAAATATAATTGAGAAGATATCTGATAGCACAGTCCATCACCAGGAACAGTTGGCGAAGGACAATACCCATTAACGGTTTCTAAATTGAGGAAAAATATAGCAGAATCAGAAAAAACAAATATTAAAACAAAATCTTACGTCCGTAATAAATGGAATTGACGAAGCATTGGGATGCTGGGTGAAGGTAGAAGCCCGAAGGACAAAATCCGTTCACTGCTTAAATTTTTTAAAAGTGCACTTTTTTGTTTGAAAAGATCCCACATGGATACTGTGCTGCAACGGCAGAAGCTAGAAGTATTGTTAGGGTACTGAAAAATATCATTTCGAGAAAAAAAATGTTTTGCTTGCTTTTCGTCTTTTATAGTCACAAGCGACGGCGGAAAGGTATTGGGACACATGTAAATATGAGATGCCAGGTTGAAAAGCAATAGAGTTTTGCGCCAAACGTATACACTATATTTCAGCTTTGGAAAGCAATCAATTGGAAAGTAGCTGGATCACAGAAAAAATAATCATTTTGGTCTTGAAATGGGGTAACTGAATTGATATCGAAAAAATGTCTCTTTCTCTGTCGAATAAGATAAAAGATTACTGAACTTCGCGAACCCCGAAGTTTTTGTAATTTTGGTGACCTTCATAGCAGGAATTTTTGGAAGCTAAATACTTTGAACTTTGCCTTTTTTTCTTTTTTTTTCGTTTCAATTTATAAGTTTTGATATTCCACCATCTCAAAACGGCAAACTTTCCCATAAAAGCATGTCGAGCGAAGCAAAGCTTTTTTATTAAATTAAAGTAGTACAATGACAGTAATCGATTTCATTTCGAACAAGGGATGAATAAAAGAACGTTATTCCCATTATAGTTTCAAGTACTATAATTCCTCGAAAAATCGTTGACATGTGCGCAAGCTTCACTCATAATGTAATCTTTTTCTTTTTCAGACTTGTCAGCCTTCCTGGCTAGGTAGCATAGGTGGCAGTGTTCAGTTGCCCTGCAAGATGTTTCTTTAGAAAAAGAAGTTTCACTTTTTATAACCCTACCTATCTTGATGTTTCTTCGAGAAAGGCTTTATTGAAACACTGTCAGGGTCCTTTGGTACATCGTTATCTTCTTCGGAGTCCCAATTGAAGTACTTCTTATCACTGAAACGCCGCCTTGTGAGGTTTCCTTCTAAAGCCATCTGTAAAAAGGGATTGTTCAATTGCCAGAATCAGAAAGCGGTCCAAATTAGAATTTCCAAGTCCGGCTTTGCCCACTCTTCAGATAAAAAAGGATGGAAAAGGACCATTGTACTTTTGAAGAATATTAGAGACTCTATTTGACAGCAAATTCTTTGTTCTTATATCCACTCAAAGTAATTGAAATTAGAATGAAAAAAAAAAGAAATATATTACGTTGCTCGATGGTCGTTCGATCTGGTGCCGCTGTCTATATATTTCAGCTTGCTCTTGTTCCTTTCGTTCCTTTTCGAGCTTTTCTTCCAACTCTTCTTTTTTCTTTTTTTCAATTTCTTCGACGATTTTCTTCTTGCGAAGTTCTCTCTCTTCGTGTTCTCTATTCAAGTCGGCGATCGTTTGACTTTTATGGGGCGAAGGCGCCGGAGAGTTTTCAAATGGGGTGACCACCGTAAACGATCTTTGCGAGGATTCTGCAAAAACTTGAAAAAACGTGGCTCGTGATTTTTTTTTTTCAAGTGTCCTAATCCTTTTTATCTCATTTCTACCACCCGAGTCGCCAGCAGAGAAGCTTCTCTGAATACTAATAAATGTCTAAATAATAAACTTACTTGCTTTTCTCATATGTGGCCGCAAGTCATCTTCAGATAAAGTCAGAGAAAGTTTACGCGTGCCGGAGTTCATTTCAGGAGGTAGAAGAGAGAATGGAAATATTTTCGCGGTATTGCACGGGAAGACGCAGATTTTGGAGTGGTCACTATGACATTAGCTTTTGGAAAAAAAAAAACTGAGAACATTTTCAAATTTATTTCTTCCCATTCAAAATGCAAGGAGGGAACTGGAAAAGTCCAAATTTTGAGAGTTTGGAACTTTGATTTTCAAAAAAAAAAATATTTGATTCAATTAGTACATTAGGATTTGACAAACTTGAAAAAATGCGGCAATAAAGGGTACACCAAAGCATAAACCCTGAAATTTAATGAACTAGTTACTTACTTGAAGACACTCGCGAGGAGGGCTCCGAACTCTTCTGACTGCTCGATCTTGTGTGGACAGAACTGGCGTCGATTAGTTTTCTGAGTCGGAAGCATTTTCTGAGAAACGTCGTCTCGATGAATAGTCGCCTTTTCTCAGGGCTCGCTATGAGAAATGAAAGTGGGATGACGTAACCTTCAATTTAATATTGTTAATCATGGGTTGGCTTATTGTAACTTCCTACTATCCTCAAAGTATTCGATTTACGGGACTCAACTCACCCATCAAGGTTACAGTATAAATACGGCCCATCAAGTATACATTCCTTCGAGAACCTTCTTCTTCTAGACTTAAAAAAAGCCAAAGAGTTCCCAACTGTAATCATGACCGGTTTGGCAAAAAAAAAAACTTGACTCTCACAAAGCTGGAAACAGCGATGGGCAAAGCTTGATACACTATTTTGAGGTCATTTCTTGAGGAGACGGAAATCGATTGAAAATTGAATTTTCTTCGAATTTTAATGATGAAGATCATGTAGCCAATGATACAGAAACTAGAAGTTGCGAATCGAGAAAACATGTCAATCTTGAAATGAAATTTTTGTAGAATGGACTATTGGACTCACCCAATAAAAAGCATAGCTTTCTTGTGCTTCCTTGTCCAAAACATGCGATGCTTCACTGTTCGTCTGCTCCGAAATTAGGTATAGTTGATATTTTCCGAAAACACGATTAGAATAAAACATTGAACGATTTGTGAGATAGGTCAGTGCGGGGCATAACACCAAAGTCAGAATAATCGTCACCCTAAATGAGAAAATTATTTTGAGAAAAAAAAAATGCAAATACACTCATAGGCTTTTTTTCAATTTTTCCCTCACTCACAATTTGAAATTTTTGCTGAACTGTGGGAGTATATCGAAAAAGACGAAAATCCTCTGTACACATAAAATGGCATCAATTATTGAAATGAACAGCGGCAAGGAGTATACGAACATTGCAAATGCTCCAGCAATGACAGCAGCCGTCATACTGTTGTTCAGTAAAGATTTCGGTAGCAAAGAGGCGAAATGGTAGAGGAAACCGCACAGAATCGATCCCATTTCTAGGATCGGTACAGCGGCGTAGTAGGTTTGCTGGAACAAATTGTGAAAAACCTCATGAAAAAGTCTCGTGAACCTTTTTGTCTTCTCGATATGTTGATTTGAGTATACGGACAAAGTGGAAGTGCAGCCAAATGATGAAGAATGTGTGAAGGAAGTAGACGATCACTGCGCAGATCGAGTAAATAATGCACATGACCACCACTGTTTCATCGGTACGCACAGATACACTGTCGCAGGTCGAGATGAAGTTGTATATTTGGTTCATCTTCGTCCTAAAAGTTGAAAAATGTGTAAAATAGCTTGGCTTTTCTCGAAATCTGTCTCAGAACTGAGAAACTCAATTAAAAAAAAAAAGGTGACTAAAAGCGGAACAAGCCAGTTTCCGAAAAGGGAAAAACTTTGGCCGCTGTGAGCCTTCGGGAGCAGGTCAGATAAACCAAAAGCTCTTGACTCTGTTTTCGAATTACGTCAAGAAAACGTTCCTGGGAGGTTTGTGGAAGTAGTTATGTCTCCACTCGCAGTACAAAAATTCGATTTGACTTTTTTGATTAGGCTTTTTAGATGGGAAGCAGGATAGTAGAAAAAAAATGCCATGCAAAACAGCGTAGAATACATCTGGAGGATTTGGCCTAATTAAGAAAGTTCTACTGTAAGTTGACACCCTTTCCTGACCAGGGAATGGTCTCAGCTCACATTGGGACTTCTGGAAGAGACCATATTTTCTAGATGTAGTTTTTCACGCTGATTCCAAATCCGTTTTCAAAAGCTGCCACCGAGGTCTGTGAAAAAAGTTATGGACCCTCAAAAGTCGAAAATTTCATAGTCTCCGATCGAGCTCTTTTTTAGAGGGTATATAGTCCTTGTTTCCCTTGTCACGATAAACCATCAAATGTTTTCAAAAATTGTTCATGAGCCAAGATATGAGCTTTCAAAGCCCCGCCGCACACAAGAGAATGCGCGCGCGGTGTCCTATTGCGATCCGACGGCTGTCGAAGCAAAGCTCATATCTTGGCTCATGAACAATTTTTGAAAACATTTGATGGTTTATCGTGACAAGGGAAACAAGGACTATATACCCTCAAAAAATGAGCTCGATCGGAGACTATGAAATTTTCGACTTTTGAGGGTCCATAACTTTTTTCACAGACCTCGGTGGCAGCTTTTGAAAACGGATTTGGAATCAGCGTGAAAAACTACATCTAGAGAATATGGTCTCTTTCAGAAGTCCCACTGTGAGCTGAGACCATTCCCTGGTGAGTACCACATTAACAGAAACACAGCGTAAAGAAAGAAAAGTCAAAGTTTCTGCCTTGCAGAACCTTTTATACCTGTTAACTGGCTTAATTGTAGAGTGAGAAGCTTCAATTCAAAGGTTACTTTATCATCACTTCTTAGGTACCATTTATTTCGATGCAAAATATTAATAAGAGGTTTCGTTTGATCCGTTTGAGCAGTTAATAATGAGGATTTTCGAATAATAGGGTTAATAGTTATCCTTTTCTTTTTTCTTTATTGTTTGGAAGTTCTTTCTCCTCTGTGTCAATGTGTTTTTACGGTTTCTCGAATCGGGCGCAATTAGTTTATTCAGATTGTCATGGTTCGGATTTTGGGTTTATTATTGATTATTGAGTTTGAAGGCCCGAAGGTTTCTTATCAAAAAGTATCTAATTCCTCAACTTTTTGAAAAGTTTCGTGAATGTGTTAGTATAGTTTTTGTGTGCACAACTGCGCAAATCGACGCGTCAGAAAGTTTCTTTCTTTCTTCTTTTGCAGAAATATTGTTTGCAAGAATCTTATGCTTCTAATAAGTTCTATGAAATTTTTCAACAATCTTACCTTCCAAAGTTTTCTGTCCCATACTCGGAAGCTATCGAAAGTCACTTATAATCTCGTTTTTTTCTTGGCGTTTCTGGATCGTCTTAACAATCATTTTTTTAAACTTTCACATCAATAGTAAATCCAAAGGTTAAAAATTTAGACTAACTTTGTACTAAAACTATTTTTCAGGATTTTCTAACGAATTGGGGCTCAGCCGTACGAAAAAAATGAAGCAGTGATAAAGGCCTACAAAACGTGGAAGAAATGCTTCGAGGAAAAATTGTGGGACGTGGTGAGGAATCATAATGAAAAGGTTATTTTTTTCATTGTTTGAGTTTTTCTTTATCAATTAATTGAATGCCTGCAGGTGTTTTTCTCGATTCAGAGGAAATAGAAAATTATTTGACGTTTTTATCCGTTTTTCAACTACAATTACCGTAGAGTGTTGCAAATTGCAAATCATATTAACTAGGATCACCTGCAAGAATTTATTTTTTTTTAAAAGACCTCTGACAAGTTTTTCTTTAGTTGAATTTTCTCTGACATTTTCACATTAATCAAGAGAAAATCAGCTCATGTCTCTGTACAGCAATTTCAGTGATTTGATTAGGTTTGATCAATTTTTTTTCCAACGCTTCTTTAATAAGGTTTTTTACTTTGAAATCCATTCTACCCTATGAAATCTTGTGAACCTTTTGTGAATATATAAATCAGCAGGTGTGGCTCACATTGCCAGAAGAAATCGCACGCTGTCGGAATCTCACTTTGAGCCGGATTATCATCAATAAAGTCCCCAACTCAGATGACGAGAAAAATTACGTTGGAGTCATGCAGGTTCGACTTGAATGAAAGTTGGTTTTGTTTTAATCATCTTTAAGACGAAGCCGGCGATTGTTGTAACTTTGGGAGTCGGATTCGATGTGGCAGTCGAGAAAAAGTTGAAAAACGAACTTCCCAAGGTAATTATAAAATCTGAGCGTTAAATATGGGTTTTCACTGTAAATCTGTAAAAAATAGTTCGGTTTTCACACTAAACCGGGAGGATTAAACTGCTATTACAAGATGGAAAAATATTCTGCCATGCATCATAAGCGAGTCTGAGAATAGCTCAAGGAGGGAATTTGCTGGAATCTAAACTAGAACGGAAATCTTTGGTTAGATGTTTTGATGGTATATTATTTGCAGAAAGAATAAGTTTTGCGGCATCCATTTTTGTTTATCTTACGAAAGTCCGCGAACGGTTCATTCTCAGGCAAAGTCGGAATGGTGGATACTGGCCGCTAAAAGGGATAGGCTCAAAAAAAGTCGCAGAAAGGCAGAAAGACTTGAAAAATGGTGGAGCTGAGAAAATGGAGCAAAAAGGCAGCAAAAAGGGAGCCTTCAACACCCTAAAAGGAATATGGAGCTCTCCAGTAGCCTTTATGACCGTCGGAGGGTTCTTCCGACTTCGCCTATGTTAGGAGCAAATTTACACAGATCCACGACTTCCCTAGATAATTTGAATTGAATATTTACATTTTTCAATCGGAGTTCTGATGAAGCCCGACCTTTAAATTTAACTCGCTTACTAGGGAATGGTCTCCATTCGCAGTGGGACTTCTGAATGAGACTAGGTTCACTAGATGTATTTTTTCACGCTGATTCCAAATCTGGTCTCAAAAACTGCCCTCGAGGCCTAGTTAGTAGTTAATACATTTTTGGTTTATTTAAAACCAGGCAAGAAATTGAATCCTTGCAGTTCTTTTGGCGTTTCTTCAACCAATAGCCCGTTGGCTTCGGCCGCCGCAGGCAGTCTTTAGAATTTAATTATAATTTTTTCAAGCAATTCTGACTAAAAAGCAATTTGAAAATTTTTATTTAAAGGCTCTCTCATTTAAAATGTAGACTTAAGGGATCCTTGTTTTTTGGCGCTGATCCGATTTCCGACAAAAATGAGAAGATTTTTTCTGAAATCGGCACCTTCTTTCCGGTAGCGGTTGCTGCGACTAGCAAGTTAGCCAACGCTTCTGTTCTCAAAACTGAAGGTAAAATTTTTTTTTTCAATTCATGGTTAGTTCCGTTTTCTAGAACAAGGGCTCTGATCAGTTGCTCAAGCCTATTATTTTGCAAAGTGAGGACGAGTAATCAAATCCAAATAATCAAATTAGTTGTCCATTCTAATGTATAGTTTGATTTAAAAGTATCGGTTCCATTCAGGTGGATTCTACAAAAATAAATTGATCGAACATGTCGGATTTGTCGACTTTGTGGAGAACTACGTTCGGCAGAAGTTTATTGATATTCTGTTATTAGACAATGAAGGTTAGGAGGTTTTTCCAACTTTAAAAGGAAAAAAATTTAATTAAACAGGTCCAGAATGGGACATTTTCCCGATGATGACTCTAGGAGGTGAGCTCGATCAACGTCGCATAACGATTTGTCAAATGAGCGTTGAGGTTTTTTTTTCTCTAATTTGAAATTTTTATCGTTGAATGACGAGTTCTTACTTCTATGTTTTGAAGCGTAAATTGCTTTTTTTTTGGTTAGTCGACAGCATTTTTTTAAAAATAAATTATGGAACTTGAAATATTTCAGTTTCATTACGATGGCCCCGGGACGAGACCAAAGCTCGTCAGATTGGCAGAAAGTCTATTGAAAGGTGAGGTTTTAATCATTTTCGGTGGAAAATTTTTCATCTTTTCAGATGATCGATGGGTTCCCCTAGTTGCAAAGCGTGCTCGACATCTCACTGCATTTTTTTTAAACTTTGAAAATTCCGAATGCGTCAATAAGTATATTGCTCACTTTTTCAAATAAAGCTTTTCTCTTACGTAAGCAGGTTTTTTTTGCGTAGAAACTAAGAAAGTACTTAATCAACTTACTTACAGAAACTTTGGAAAATTGAATAAGTCTTGGACCCATTAAAGTAGACTGACATTCGATTATGTTTCAATCTCTCTCTAGGAAACTTAAAACTGGGAGAATCGGGAGGAAACATCGGAAGCGTTTGAAAATACTCTGCTCCTTAGTAGTGTCCATACATGGTTCTAGGTACACCCCTCTTTTTTAGGTCTCAGGGGAACTTAAAAAGAGGGATGTACTTGACAAAAATCGAGAAACTGGGGGGGGTGGCAAAAACCATAAAAAAAAATTTCAGGCCTATAAAAAAAAAAATCAAACATTCATTTTGTAAAGCTTATTTGTTTAGCAGAAGCGATTTTTCTTATTTAAAAAAATGATGAGTAAGACGAACTTTCACATCCTCCGACGTCAACCTGTAATTCAATAAACTAACAAAAAAATTGTTCCACGAGCATGGAGAAGGGGGGACTTGGATGTCGCCAGTCATGCTCATCACATGTATGGTAGTGTCACTTTTTTTGATTCAGAATAATAATCATGCAATTTCAATAAAGTTTTAAAAATTGGCCAGAGGAGCTAACAACCAATTTTTTTCTACGTTCAACTCGAGCGATCGCTGTTTTTTTATTTTTTTATTGATTTTAAGTTTGCAGATTTTTCATTCGGGCTTCGAGGAATAAATTTTCAAAGAAAAAAGTATCAGTTCTTCATTGCAACTTCGTACGAAAGGTGGGTTAATAATAATAGTTTATTCACTGCCGTTATTTAACAGAAAAAATATAATTAGTTAAAAGCTTTACAAAAAAATTTTATTTTATTATTTGAGCTTTTGATAAAGATTTATACATGCAGTAAGAGAGACCAAATAATTGATTCATGACACTTTTTTCGATTGTATATCAGAAGATTTCACCGCGCTCCAGTCTTTTGCTCAGATTTTGAACTTGTTCGTCGACCTCTAGCCTTTTTACGCTCAATTCTTCTTCCGTCGCTCTTTTCCGGATTCTCAAGGCATTCAGCTCGCTTTTAAGACGTTCTCGTTGGTTTCTCTGTAACGTAACTTTTCCATAACCAATTTTCCACAAAAAAACACTAACCATCCATTCGAGGTCGTCTTCAGAAGCTTCTGAGTTCTGAAGCTCAAGTATATCATCTCTTACTTGCTCTACCTCGCTCTCCGTTTCTTCTATCAAAGCTTCCAGCTCAATTATTTCATCAATAATGGGTTCAAGTTCTTTCTCTCGATCTGCTCGAAATTTCTCAACTTTTTCCCGGAGCTCCTCTGAAAATATAAGGAAATTATTTTTTTTCTAACTTAGAACTTACGAGAAGCCGCCGCTCTCATTTGTCGCGAATTGGATAGTAAATCAGCAGTGATCGGTTCTTTCCCTTCATTTTCTTTATGGAATTTTTCTATTATCCTTCGCATTTCCACTGGAAAAAAAATGATTAAAAATGGCATTTTTACACAAAACTCACAAATAGCCGCCTCTCTTGTTTGACGAAGTTCAGCTTGTTTTTTAGCGATTTCTTGTTCATCCTGCTCCATTTAGAAATCGTCAACCTTCTCTTACGTTCGAATCTCGGCAATTGCGCTTTCTGGAGAAATTCCACAACGACATGCTCGACCCTTTGTAACGCAAACCAGACGCGCCCCGGACGTGTCGGAGCAATTAAAGTAACCACTTTAGGGTTTCAGCACTCTTAAGTGATCACTAGAATTACTGCGACACTTTCGCGTGGCCAAGGTCCGAGTGAACTTTATTCAAGGAACGCATCGTGAATTGATTGTAAAACGGAGGAAAATAACGAGGCAAGCGAAAAGCTCATGTTTAAACTAAGTGTTGATAGTTGAGAAGAAAAGAGGGTGCCGAGAAAACCATTGACTTTTGGTTTGTTCAAGGGCGGTTTTTTTTTTTAAAGTTTTTCATTGGAGTTGGAAGAAGAGCAAGTTTTTTTTCTGATCGAAGTTGAAGTAGAGTTTAAAATTTTTTATGGGATTACAATGATATAAATCCGCAGACCGAGTTATTGCCCAAATTGACCAATATAACAGCCAAGCTTCGTGGCGCAGCGTGAAAATTTCTGTTTGTCGTCAAAAGTTCGACTTCCTCCGAGCGTTTTCTCTTTTACATCCATAATCATACGGCTTCTCGGAATTAGAGAAAATCTGGTGGTATGAAAAAAACACCAGCGAAAATTAGAACGGCGACTTTTCCGATTTTTTCATATCGCTAGGGAACTTTCCGACGGCCACCTTTCCGACGGATCCCTTTCCGACTTTTTTCCCTTAAGTTTTTCGGTTTATAAAACATCTATAAAAATTTTTTTCCTATTTCTTTGTGTTCTAATCATGAACCAACTACCTAATTTATATAGGAAGATCTAAAACGAAAATTTTATCGAGAAAAAAAGTCGGAAAAAGAATCGTCGGAAAGGTGGCCGTCGGAAAGTTCCCTAGCGATATGAAAAAATCGGAAAAGTCGCCGTTCTAATTTTCGCTGGTGTTTTTTTCATACCACCGAAAATCTACTTATCAAATAATAAAAACGAAAAGTGAAAAAAGTGAGGCCAAGCCTTCGCGCAAGTATTCGACTTCTCCTTGTAGGTTTTTGCTCAATTCAAGTTATCGGATCCCTTTTCGATTTTTCAAAGCGTTCAATCTGCTCTGGACGCGTTCCCATTGCATCCTCGGAAAGGAAAATACTTCAAAATATAGTATAATTACCGACCATTCAAACTTTTATTCAGTCGCCCGGAATTCCGAAACTCAATTAGTCCGTCCATCACTCGTTTTGTTTCCAATCCATCAAACTTTGAAGCTCTTAAATTTCAGTTTTGATCGGAAGTCCTACCCTGTCAGTTTTCAGTCGGCGATCGTGAAGCTAGTTTTCTTTAGAATTCATTCAAATCTCCCATTCAGACACGACGAAACAATTTCAGAATCATTTAGCGATGTGTTAGTCGCTGAAAAAAAATGGTGTAATCATAAAATATATTATAAGAAAGAAAAAAAAAACAGTTGCGCTACGTAGACAAATACTCACTACTATGAGCAACGTTTTACACTGAAAGCGAGTCGAATTTTGTTTTTTGAATTGACGCGAAAAGATACGCGAGTACCGTTTGATTGAATGTCGGTTTGCCGTCGTGAGGGTAAGCAGATCGACTCCCGTCAACGAGAACGGAGCTCTTTTTCGTCTTTTTTTTTCAGTGTCTTCTTTGAACGATGCTGATGAACATTCATTTTTCGAGTAGTATAATTTTTGAAAAATTCAGAAGGTTTCACCGCGCTCCAACTTTTGCAAGAGAATTTGAACTTGTTGGTCGATTTCCTGCCGCTTTTGGCTCAATTCTTGTTCTCTTATGTTTTTCCTGTCTCTCAAGGCGTTCAACTCGTTCCGAAGGCAATCTCTCTGATTTCTCTGAATGAAAAGAAAAACTATTGTCGATCATTCAAAAGAAAATTTTGTGACTTCCGACTTCATTTTAACTAAACTTAACTAGACTTCAAGTATTAAAACCCTCACCTTCCATTCAATTTCGTGTCCAGGAGCCCCAGAATTCTGAAGCTCGATGACTTCATCGCCAACTCGCTCAAACTCGTTCATTTTGCCGTTTATAAAAGATTCTAGCTCCATTATTTGATCAAAAATCGGATATAGCTGTTGTTCCTTTTGCAGCCGGAAATTGTGAACTTTTTCTCGAAGCACTTCTAGAATTTTAGTTGAAAAAAATTTTATTTTGTTTTTAAACTCACCGCACGTGTGCTCCTTAGAGTATTCCATCTCTGTAAGCCTTCTTTTCGACATCTTCTTGGAAAGGGTCTTGTAAACTGAATGGAAGAAGCAAAAATGACCTTGAAACAGAAGGAGATTGAAGAAAATGAAAATTGAGAAAGTTCAACCGAAAGAACAACTATACAAACATCAAATGATTCAGCAAACAAAACATTACATGAAGAACTAGAAAATGTTTTTTCGAGTAGCTTTCAGCTAGAAATACACTAAAAGAAGGCTCATATTTACGTTCATGGGTCAGAATAATCGGAAATCTTTTTCTAATTGGAAATCAATATTTTTACCGAACTCTTGACGATCGATTTTTTCCTTACATCTACTTGAATGAAGGTTCTCCTGTCTATCGAGGAAATGAAAAAGCGTTCTCGGGAGGTTAGCAGTCGACTCCCGCCAATTTTTCTTCCGTTCCCTTTACATAGGCACCACAAGCCACTTCTCGAAAAAAAGTAATGCATAGTCGAATCCAACACCATCTGATAGAACATACTGTCCAAAAATCAAATCAGTTTAGCTTTTCAAAAAATTTTGATTTTGAGCCGAGTTATGAAGCTTTTAGTGACGCGCGAGAAAACCGAAAAATCTGGCGTTTTCCGAATTTTTGGCTGCCGCCACACTGTTTTGGCTCGTTTTCCATTAATATTCAACCGTTCAAAACTGATGAGAATGCCTCTCTGATTGTTTTTCACCCAGTTTAAGGTTTTTACAAAAATGATTAGTTCGCAAAGTAAGAAAAAAGGATCCTCGGGCACCAACGCAAAAACGATTATATGATATTTTTTGTTCAAACCTTCAAGAGAGCGCAGTCTAACAGTTACATAAACAAGAGAATGAGAAATAATATTAATTATCATAGTAAAACACAAAGTTCTGAAATTTTAATTTCGGATTTTCCATTTTTCGCCCGTAAAACACGGCGAGGCTTTTGCGCTCCCTACCTTTACATGTAAAATTGATCAATTTTTATTTTTCAAGTAGTGCAAACAACAGATTGAATTAAAAAATTTTTCAGAAAATGATTAGACGGCTTCGCCACGATGCAGCTTATCCATGAGAATTCGAGAGTGTCGATCGATTTCTTGCCGCCGATGGCTCAATTCTTGTTCCCGGTTGTTTCTCCTGTCCCTCAAGACGTTCAACTCGTTCCGAATGCATTCCCTTTGATTTCTCTGAAAGGTGAACCACTATAAGTTTATCTTTTAACTTCTGGCTTAATTAAATAAACTAAATTCCTCGATAAAAAGGCTCACTTTGTTCTGGACATCGTTTCCAGAAGCTCCAGAGTTCTGCATACTGATGATTTGGTTCGTCACTCGATCAAACTCGTTCTGTTTTTCGTTAACCTGCCCTTGAAGACGGCTCATTTCAGAATATATCGGGTCAAGTTGTCTTTCTCTTTCCAGTCGGAAGTCATGCACCTTTTTTTCTGGAAAAAAAAAATTGGTGAATAGTTTTTTTTAATCTGGAACTCACGAATTTTATGCTCCCTGGAGAACTCCATCGCCGCTCCAGTGCTGATTTGAATAGACGACATTATATTAGTCTGAAGGGATCGGAATATGGTTGAGTTCCGAGCGGAAAATCTCTTTTAAATCAGAGATACTCAACGTTCTCTCAGGTTTGCTCATCGTACGTTTTTTGCGGCCTTGATCTCGTTATTTCATCACTTTTCGCTCTTTGGATTTAGTGTAAGAAGTTTTACAAACTCCTCCATTCTAGTCCTAACGTTTTGATTTTTGATTTTCACCGCGATTACTGTAAAGCTATGCTTACTTGAAGGAAAAATCCTACTTTTCAAGGAAAAAAATGAATATCTAATTATTAAGAGCTCCGGTGGCACCCACTTATTGCCCGAATGGTGTTCCACAGCGACGATGCTCTTTGGCGCAATGCAGAAACGTTTGCCCGCCGCCGCGAGGGTCACTGGTTCGACCCCGACTACCGTTCTTTTATTCTCGACACGTAGGAATTGCGTTTCGTGGAGTCAGGAACGGAAAATTGGAATTATTTCACGGACAGTGGAAATCCTTTCAGTGGATCTCCCACTTGTGATTTGAAACGAACATTTTTGAAAATTAGAACTTTTAACACTTTTTTTTTCATTAAATCTTGAATAAAATGAAGTTTTATTATCGAGAAATAATCAACAATAACAACGAAATGTGCACTATATCGAAAAAATACTAAAAATTGTAATCGAAAGAAAAAAAAATTAAGCCTTCTGAAGTGGCGCTCCGTTGGCTTCGGCGTTGAGCATTTGGTGTTCCTGGAAGCGCATAGAAACTCGTTGCGTCATCTGAAAATGATTTCTTTCGAAACATCTGCTTAAAATGAATAGTTTGCCACTGTTATAACGAAATTCTTTTTGGAAAAAGTTAGAGGGGCTTGTCTTTCACAAAGATCATACCGTGTTCAATTTGATTCCACGAAATGCAAAATTCCCGTTAGAGAAAGGAAAAGATCACTAAATTTTGTAGAGTCAGAGATCATTTTGCATTTCTCGGAATCACTCTGAAGACGGCATCAAATTTCAGCGCTTTCAACTTTGTTTCATAGAGTTACAGAAAATTTTTAAAACAGTGTTCTGTCGACCGGTCAATTTTGCGCCGTCAATTTTCGAGCCGGATAACATTTTTAAAAATTGTTTTTTTTTTTTTCAAATTTTTTAAGAACATCTCTAGAGGTAAAAATGTAAGTAATGTCTCAAAAAGTGCAATTTCATTTTTATAACGGAAATACCTTTCTAATTTACCGCAATACGACCTTTGCACTCTCCTTTTAAAACTCACAAGAAAAAAAAACCGACCTTCAAATATTTATCGAGACAATTGGAGCTGCATTTTTCTTCCTTGTCGCTGACGGTACGAGACGTGAAATCATTAACACACGAATTGAAACACTGCTCAGCGACATTATTGTATTGGACGAGGAAATCACGGAATGTCTGAATATTGGCGTCAACGGGTTGCGTCGCCATTTCTGCAAAAAAAGAAAGGTTTAAAAAATAAGAAAGAAAATCGTTGAAATTTGAGGCCAACACTAAAAAGTCTCTAAGACCTGCAGTATTTGCCCAATAATCGAGTTAATATGAAAATGCAAAAATTGCCAAAGTTTAAAACAAAAAGCTTTAAATAATAATAAACGCGTGAAAATACAATTATTTCCGATCATCTGATCAGTCATGCAAATGCGCAGGTAAACTTCTTCTCTAGAAAAAAAATTTTAGCAAACGAAACAAGTGAAATTAATTGAATTGAAATCAAAAAAAAAAAAAAACAAAACATTGAGAACGAGAAATTTTAGTAGGAACCATGCGGCGTTTGCACTCAGGTCGCGGCCAGTTTGCAAATCAGTCAGCCTCCCGCGGCGCGCCGAAAAATTTCAAAACGTCATGACTCATCCCCGTTTTAACGTTTCGTTTTGAAGCTTTCAACGTATTTTACACAATATTCCATTTCATAAGGATCTCAGTTAGTTGTTCTAATGGTTGCAGAAAGCGTTTTTTTATCGAATTAAAAAATTGAAGTTTTTTGAAAAGAAACTTTTTGTTGTTCCAAAATGGCCGCCAGACGCACCGGTTCAATCGATGATTCATCAATGGCCGTTTCTTTGTTCACATAGTACACATGCTATAATGCTGTCATTTGGAAAAGAAGTTCGAAGTTTCTGGACTTTGCTCATTTTTCCACTCCCATCGATTGTTGTCGCTAGAGGCGCGTAAACAATTTTATATCAACGCGTTTTTTTTCATTCTGAAACGCTTTCTGTTTATTTCGTTGCAATCTGAGGGAAAAAAAGTATGTATTAATTTTTTTTTCAATTCGCCAGTTCTATCTCCAGACTTTTTATCCAATTTAAAATTTTTTTTGTCTTTCTCCTATTTTTCTAGGCGTTATCATTTAAAAACTTCCTCTCATAAATTTGCCTACAAAATTTTGGAATCGATCCGTTCCCAAAGGCGAAAACGATGAGCTTTTGTTTTGTCTTCACCAGTGCTTGAAACACTTGAAAAAAAGCATACAAATATTGTGTGGGTTTTTTTGAATTATAGAACGATTATTGATAAAATCTGTGTTTTTTTGCCAACTTTTTCAAAAATTATTCTATTTAAAAATAGGAATCTATGGGTTTTTTTAGAGTTTTTTTTTGCGGTGAAATCAGGTTCTCCTATGATTCACCGTTCGTTTTGTTTGATTAGTTTGTGTGATAATGCTGAGTGTACTATAATCTAATGATGTCAATGTTTACTAATTGGTCTTTTTTTGTTTATTACTTTAAAAGCTTAGGCTAATTTTTTTCGTAATCTTTTATTGTGTTAAGCCAAAAGTCTAAGTAAGTCTAAGTTCACGACATTTTTTGAATTTTCTACCATTTTTTTGACACAAATCGGCTCATTTTTGTTAAAGTTACGTCACCTCTTGGTGTTAAACAATTTTTCCTGGTAATATCCAAAAAAAATATTTCAGTTTTATTGCGTACAAAAAACAAAACATTTTGTCTCTTGGAACTCATGGAATCTTTCTCGAATCATTTTTTGTCTGTTTCGTATCCTCGTGTCTTTCAGTTTTCATTAAAGAAGATGCTCATTTCAGAGTTATAAAAATGTCAGGGTACGGATTCCTATGTGTGCCTTTGAAATCAACGAACGAAGTGGATTTGGTTAAGCCTTTGACCACCTACATTGACACCGTCTACAATACTTCCGATGATAATCGAGCCGAAGTCACCGAGGCCGTCCAAGTGGCTATTTTTCGTTATTTTGGAAAGAAAACTGTGTTTTAAGTGAAGTCTTAAGTGAGAGAAGTACTCCAAAAAGTTTTTTTGACGTTTCATTCAATAATTTTCCGTCCAACGGAGTTTGAAGTTATTTCATGACTGATAACATTCGTGAAAACTGCTTGAGAAACTAGTCTTGAACAAATTGCAAGTTCTTAAATCACACGCCTTTGACAGTTTATTCGGAAAAGTCCTGATCCAGAAAAACAGATTTATTTGCATTTCATTGAAGATATTCAGGAATTGAACAAATTACGCTCGAAAGCCTGTTGTCAGCCTCTGGATAAGCATCAATCTGCTTTAGATGTTATTACCAGGTTTTTACGATTGTTTTTGTATTTTGGACTGTTCTTTCTTCCATTTTTAATTATTGGGTATATGTTTTCATTCTCATTTTCAAAAATATTTCATATTCAAACATTAATCGGTTGATTCCAGATACTATGATCAACTCGTCGCGATCGAGAATAAAATCGTTATATCCGCAACACAAAATCCAGTCGTTTTCAAGTGGAAAGACGCTTTTGACAAGGGTAGCTTGTTCTCCAGCAGGGTAATTTATCATATTTTTTGTTCCTGAAATAGTTTAATTTTGTGTGGTGATGAAGAAAATCGCTGATTTTCCTAGTATTCGACGTTAATTTCTGTTTTCAGGCCGCTTTATCACTTTCCGATGGATCTTTCGAACGAGCTTCCGTGCTTTTCAATTGTGGAGCTCTAATGTCCCAGGTGAGAAATTGAGTTTTTTATTGGCACTTCCTATTTATGTTATGATTATTGTTAAATGATCATCAAATGAATGAATTTCACCTTCGTTTTTCGACTCTAAAAAAATCTTTTTACAATTAAAGGCCCTTCGTTTTAAGTTTGATGAGTTTCTGGCTCTATTTTTTTTTCTTTTTTTCTGAACTGCTCTGCGGTTGAATGAGAGTTTTAAAAGAACTTTTTTTCGAACTTCAGAAGAAATTATCCTTTTTTTAAATATTGTGAAGAAACATTTATTGAACTTTTTAAACCTTGGAAGAATTTTTTTGGAAAGATACAAGGGAAAACTTTTTTTCTTTTCTAGTTATTTATTTTCCAACGATGTAAACCAAATACAGATTGCTGGTACCCAACAGTTCAATACCGATGAGGAGATTAAAACAGCGGCCAAGTTGTTCCAACAAAGCGCAGGTTTTTCTTTAAAACCTGGAATCTTGAACCCCAAGTGAATTTTTCAGGAGTTTATGCGAAACTGAGGGACACGATTCTCGGCATGGTTCAGCAGGATCCGACTCCCGACCTCATGCCAGACACTTTGGCCGCTCTATCGGCTCTGATGGTCGCCCAGGCTCAGGAGGCCATTTATATCAAGGGCCACAAGGGTTGGTGACAGTAGAAGGATGAAAAGTATTTTAGCCATACATGGGAAGATCATTTTGAAGCCCCCCTCGAATTTCTCCTCAAATCAAAGTTAATAATACCTGAAATTAGTGTCATTGTGACCAAAACAAGCTTTCTGAGGTTGAAACTTAATCCTAACTTTCTAAAAAAATATGTAAGCCAACCCCTCCTCCAGGGCTGAATGAGTTCTGTACTTGCCCATCTATGGTTATAGCCCATTCCGTGTAAGATTTAGATTTTTTTGCATCTGAGCTACAGAAGCCGTTATGTTGAAGACTCTAGTCTTCTTCGTCCTGGAAATAAAGAGTCTGATTACCCTGATATCTCAGTGATTTATAAGCCGTTTCCCTGATTCAGTTGGGCTCGAAAATTGTCTTTCCCATTTGAACTGAAATTCTAAGTGTTGAGAGGTTTTGGTGTAGAAGATTTCACGGTGACCTTGAGAAATAAAGGCAAAGAAGCCTTTTTTGAAGTTTTATATGCAAAAAATGGATTTGGAACCTTCAAGCTGTCGACTTTAGGAGTATTAAGTTCATAGGAAAGTTGAAAGAACTTTCAAATTTTTTTTTGTATTTTGGAAATAATCGCTTTTATTTTGGTATCTTTTGTTTAGAGAAGTGAAGAAAATTTTAACACTATCTATCAATTTTTTTCAGACAAGATGAAGCCAGCGGCGATGGTGAAAATCGGGGCTCAAGTGGCGGATTTCTACGCCGAAGCTCAGAAATTAATGACCAAAGATATTGTCAAAGGCCTTTGGGAGAAGGTATTGAGAAGAGCTCTTTTTTAAAGGCGCAGAGAGGATCCAAAAATATCACCCCGGAATATCTTTTCAAAAAACTTCCTGCGCGTTTAAAAATCTTTCGTTTTTCACTCTAATTATTTCTTGTTCTTTTTCAGGAGTGGCTGAGCACAGTCAATGGCAAGAATTTGGCCTATCAGGCCCTTTCGCAGTTCCATCAGGCTGAGGTGAGAACTTTGGGTAGAGATAATTTCCGGAGTTCATGTTGGATTGGATGTTTCCAAGCCATTTCATTGCTCTTGGAATATAAACTTTGAACAAAATGAACTATTGCAGTTCAATTTTTGGTTTTAAAACTTTTTCAATCTTCCTTTCTTCAGCTCAACGGCGAGAATCGGGAGATTGGCGAGCAACTTTCTCGACTCTCTGAAGCGATAAAATTGTCGGAAACTGCCTCGAAATACCTGCCCGCCGGTGGTTCCAATGCAATCACCGACCTTTTCCCGGCCATTTCCAAGGCTCACACACTGGCCAAGAAAGACAACGATTTCATTGTGGGTTTTTGTGTGGTTTTCGAGTTTTCATATGTTACGCAGTTCATATAAAAAGCAGTTATTTTCATTATTGAATGAAAGGAAATTTTTTCAGAGAAAATGTTTACTTTTACTTTTTCTGATAGAGTCATGATTCCTTTGAGAACTAATAGGGCTATCTCTAACTTTGAAATAAATTTACAAATTGAAAATATTTAATAGATAAATCAACAATTTGAGCGCTTGAGTTTTGAAACAGAATTTGAATTCTTTAATGAATTTTTCCAGCTTGGGAAGATTTTTGAATCATTTCAAGCTTATTTAAGCCGTCAACTTGAAACAAAAGTTCAGTTAAAACCTAAAAAGGTATACTTTCAAAATTTGTTTTTAAACGACCTTTGGTTTTTTCTATCGAGCTTATCAACTTGAACTTGATTGACTATTTAAAGTGTCGATTGATCGATTAAAGATATCATTTTCAGTATCATGAACGAGTGGCTGATTTCCGGTCCCTTGGATCACTGCCAAAAGCGCCACTGGCCAAGCCAACCCCTGTCACTTACCCGATTTCGCCTAGGTTTAAAGGTGATTTTCGATTTTTTTTCCCCAAAAAAATGTTTCAAAATTTTTGATTTGCAGATATGTTTGAATCGCTCGTTCCCGTACAAGTTCACAACGCCATGCAGTCTTACGAAGCGAGGAAGGCCGAGTTGGTCAATATGGAGACGGTTCGGCTAAGGGAACACACTCAGCTCATGAATGGGTGCCTTTTGTTGATATTATAAAAAACATCAGAAAATGGCTCAATTTTTGCGAAATTCCGAAAGAAAAAACCATTTTTCATTTTCAAAAATTCCTTCAGCATCCTCGCCTCTCTCAATCTGCCAGCGGCTCTCGATGACGTCACCTCCAACGAAACGTTGCCCGAATCGATCAAGCAAAAATCGTCGAAGATTAAGCAGGAAGGCGGCGCGACCGAAATCCAACGACTATTCTCGGAAATTCCCTCTTTGTACACTCGAAATGAGGAGATCATCAATGAGGTCGAACGAAAAACTGAGATAAAATCGGGAAAATTGGTATTTTTCAGACGAGTCGTGTGCTGACGGAGGAGAAGGAGAGCGACGATAACTTGAGGCGGCAGTTTGGAACCAAATGGAATCGGATGTCCAGCGATCAGCTGACTGGACCGCTCCTCCAGGTTCGCGAATTATGAAAAAGAGTTTTCCTTGAAAAGGGTCTCAAAGAAGAATTTTAATATATTTGTTTTTAATTCTATGATTCACTGAAAAAGATGCGAGAAATCTGACATTGAATTGAGTGATGCTGAGATAAGAGTCTTTTTTTTCATTTTATTTACCACAAAAAAAAAGCAAAAAGGATATGAGTTTTGCGGTTTAAACTCCTTGGAAGTTTTCAAAAAGGCGATACTTCATTTAGAAGGCAAAAAGTAGAAAATAAAACAACCTGAAGATGATTCAAAACATTGACAGTCACACTCTGTTTTTCGCGACTTGAAACTGCTTTTTGTCTCTGTGTGCTCCTCCTCTCGGCATCTCTCTCTCATGAAGATGTGCTTTTTAAAATTTTCTATGGCCTTGCTGGTTAGGGAACAGATGAAATGCAGATACTCGAAAAGTGTCAAATTGCGGCGAACGGACTATGCAAAAAAATATATATAAAAATAAATCAACGATGTTTATTTCCGTATGATTTCTTTCTGAATTTTATTTATAGAAAATCTTTTTTCAGGAAATCGGCAAATACAGAGGCATTCTTCACACGGCGTCGAATGCCGACAAGATGGTCGATGGGAAATTCAAAATCCATCAGCAGGGCATCACTTTGTTGTCGAAGAATGAGGTTTCCGAGAAAGATATTCCTGTTTCACGACGGATTTCTTCAAGGTGGAGTTGAAGAGCGCGATTCCCGGCCAGCAAGGTCACTCGAACAACGGTCAGAGTGAATCCGTTCAAAAACTGCGCCAGTTGATGTCCGAGGTGCAGGAAATCACGACGGAGAGGGAGCAATTGGAGAAGGTTTCATTTTATTTAAATTAGGAATAAAAAAATTAGAAAAAAATGAGACAGAAAGAAGGAATTTTCATAATTTTTGTGCGTTGTAAGAGGAATTTTTTTATTTCATGCATTAAAAACAGGAAGAAAACTTTTTGAAAAAAATGGAAATTCCGGTATTTTTAGTTCAAAAAAGACGTTCGAAGAATTCAAAAACGTTCAAAAAAAGCATGGTTTTCTAGAAATTTGGCTCCCATCTTGAATTAAAAATTCATTAGATTTTTCCTAAATTTGATCGTTTTGAAAAATTTTGGAAATCGTTTCTCAGTCGTTTTTAAGCCATACTTTGTTTCAAAATGAAAAAGTTTCAGTTGATTTTTCCATCCAGAAGATCAACGATCTTTTGAAGCTTTCTATTATATTTTGCAAAATCACAGGAACTGAAATCAACGAATTGCGACATCGCCAACGACTTCCTGAAGGCGATGGGCGAGAGTCAGATTCTGAACGAAGAGCAAATCTCCCGAGAAAAGATCCAACAGCTGTTCGGACCTTTGAAGTCCCGAGTCGAGGCCTCCGTTAAACGACAGGACCAAGTTATGGCCCAGGTTCAGGTAATTGATCCCTCAAAATTAGGAAAAAACTTGTTGAAAATTAACTTTTAGACATGGAACTCGAAATTCGCGTCGGAGAAGTCCGGATCGGCTTCTGGAGCCGAACGAGAGAGGATTTTGAAAATGCTGGCCCAGGCGGCTGATGCCTTCCTAGAACTGAAGGCCAATCTTCAGGAAGGCACCAAGGTCAGTCAATTTACCAAGAAGAGACATTTCATCAGAAAAAAAAAGCAAAGATGAGAGGAAAGAATGGTTTGAAGCTTTTCAAGTCATTAGGTAGAGAAGTTTTCGATGTTGGAGTGACTTTTTATGAAGGAAAAGGGAGTCTAAGAGCCCTATAGAGACTACTATAACTAGGTCTACGTCCAATGTGAAATCAGCCTTTAAATTATGAAACTCTTTTGAGAATCAAAGGAGAAACTGTAAGTGAACCTATAACTATAATTTTGAATGACGAAATGTCAATTTTTGAGTTTATCAACCAGTTGTGAACTGCCATTCGGCTGAAAACTTTGAAAATTCAGCCCTAACTTCAAACTTTGCAAAAGCTCAAACTTATGCCTAATAGACTTTTTCTAGAAACATCTAGTTACCTTTCAAAGAGTTTGAGAAAGGTTGAATCAGCTGATAAAATTGAGGAAAAACATGTTGAAATCAAGTTTTGCAGTTCAAACTCATGTAATCTTTTTCAAGAAGTATTAAGGAACTTTTGAAAATTTTAAGAGTTACTGACTACTTGAAATATCTTCCTGACCTCAATATTCTGCAGTTCTACAACGACCTGACGCCGATTCTGGTACGACTGCAACAGAAGGTCAACGACTTCTCGTTCGCTCGGCAAACGGAGAAGGAGGACCTGATGCGACAGCTCCAAATCAACATCGTGGCAGGTGCGGCCGCGAAAACGCTTTTCGACAACGTCGGTCAGATGGTCGCCGGCTACGTCACTGGTCCGTGCTCGTGTGTGTGTAGCTTGATCGAGTCTACGTTCGAAACTCCGAAAGTCAGAGAGCGCCCTCTTGTTTACCAGTGGTCTCTAGCTTCCGGAAACCTCGGACTCGGACGTAGACCACAAAAGCTCCTGATGGGTTTTAAAAGGGCAACGGTTTTCGAAAACCTTTGAGCTTGATCCTGAAGCCATACAAGACTTTTGCGCCTTTGAAATTCTCAAGCGAGCTCTCGTGTGAAGATTGTGTTTTTGCTTGTCTTTTCGAGAATAACTGAAGATCGACCGACAAATCTCGCCCATCGATAACACTTCACTCACTGTAGTTGTTCTCGAGTCACTTATTTGAAGCGTATTTATATTCCAGCTTCTAGAACTCTTTTCGCTTGCTTACAATTGAAGGAAAGGCGCTTCCTGATTGAGAATTTGATCAAAATTTGCTCCCTTTGATTAAAGCTTTGATTAAAATTTTGCTTTTTAGCAGATCTAGAACTCTCAGAGACGCTGAAAACTTTATTTCCCTACTAAATTTCATCGGAGGCCTAGCAAATTAGTGGAATTTTTTGTTTTAAATAGGCATTGTTTTTTTTTTCGCATGTTCAGTTGAATATTTCTTTTAGAAACTATTCTAGGCCTCGAGTTCTATGGACAAATCAAATAAATTTCTAGTAGATGTTTCATTTATTTTCCGTTCATGTTTCCAAGAAAACTGCATGAAAATTTCTAAAATACGACAAATTGATCGCCGTTTGAAAGCTCCGGAGAGCCGCGAACAAATTTTTATTTGTAAACGTCATTCTATGAGTTCTTTACGTTGTTAATTTTCGTCCTCGTTTCGTGAGAATGATGCACTGTTTTTTGGGGATCGGGGACTTGTAATTAAACTTTTTCTCACGATTTTCTGTTCATTTTTGGCTTCAGGAGGCGCTGGAGGGAACACTGGCGGCGCGTCGACCCCAACTGCACCGCCACGACCACCGCCACCACGGCCCTCACAGCCGAACGTCGAGTCGCCGATTCCGCCGCCCAGAAACGTCCAGAGCTTACAAGGTGATTGGACTTTTGGACTTTTTGGAGTTTAGTGTAGTTTTTTTTTGTGTGGGAGGGGGTTTTGAAATGTTGGATCAGAAAACACATTTCAGCTTTTTCTGTATGTGTTGGAAGGTCTGTAAACTCATTGATCATGATTTTTGAAAAAAGTTAGGATTTATTTCGATTTATCTCTAGAAGACTCGAATTTTCCAACTAGTTCTCCCAACGCTTCTTTTGTTGAATGATTCAGCCCAAAAATTTAAATTTTTTAGCGCTTTTTGTGATATACTAATGTATTAGATTTTTATTTTGAAGTTTTATGCTTGTGGTGGTCCTTTTTAACATTTTTTGCATGTTTTTTGAAGGTCTATTGATGGATTATGTTCAATTTTTGTTGTACTTTTTCTCCTCTACTAAACGATTTTTTCGTCTGCAGCTGTCCCCGGAGCTCCACCTCAACAGCAGCCGCAACAACAACAGTACAATCCATACCAACCTCAGGCTCAGAATCCGCAAATGAACCATCCGGGCTACTATCAGCACCCGGTCCCCTATGGTTTGTTTCCTTTTTTCTTCAAACGATTCGGAAAAGCTTTGGTTTCTGTTGGTGTCTTTGTATTGTCGGTGGAAAGTGGTGTTTTTTTTTTTGTTGCGATATAGTCTGTTCAGATTTTGAATGTCAAGTCGTCGCTCAAGCTCCGCCCCTAATGGTACGATAAACCAATCAGAGAGCGGGCCATTCACAGAGTATTTTTGAATGACGTCATTGCACTTGACATTAAAAATTTGAACAGAATATAGGTATGATCGCGTTTGGAATGGTTCAGCGTGCGGCCGACCTTGAAACTACTTGGGCTGGGGCAGCCTGACTTAGAGCTATTATTCGGATATATTGAATTCGAGGCGAACATCGAAAATTTCATATAATTTTTTTCAGTATCCGATTCCCCGAAATATACGTTTTTCAGGCCAACCGCAGCCGCAGCAGTACATGTTCCAGCCCAATTATCAGCCAACTTTCGCTGCCCCCTATCCGACTTTCCCTGGCGCCTTTCCCAGCTACCAGCAACAGCAATGGCCTCAACAGCAGCAACAACAGCAAGGATTCCCGCCAAATCCAACCTTCAATAACCCTCAACAGCAGCCTCCACATAATACCAACCCATTCCAGTGATTTTTCGAGTTTTCCCCCTAATTTGTATAAATTTCGACCTGAAAATGCGTTCTAGCGAACTGAAACCTGCCAGAGCGTTTTCGGCAGCTTTTTTAGGCGTTTAAATGTGCTCTAACGAAGCTTGATTGGGTGGAGAAGCGCCCTTTTTAAGTTTGAAGTGTTTTTGAAAACATTTCAAGGATTTAAATACGAACTAGGAGCTCGATTCGCTGGCCGAACCTATTTCCATAGAAATTTTGACGTCAGAGTCGTCTGAGCACATTTTTCGGTTTTTTAGTTGAACAGATTTTTTTTAAAATAATCAAAGTGCTACTTGGAGTTGGATGAATTTGGGCCTTAGAAAATATTTTCTCTTTTTGTAATTTTTATTCATCCAAGGCTTGCCATTTTCAATCTGTTTCTTAAAATTTTCACTTTTTGCTAGGACTTTTGGGATCTTCTATCTTTTTGTCGGTACAATGCCTTAGAAATGCATGTATTTATAATAATCCTTCAATTTTTTTATTGTCTTCAATATTTCTCACTACGGCTGAATGTTGTGTACATTTTCTTTTTCCCAATATTTTTTCTATTGATTGATATAAATTTATTATCATGTATGAAAAAGTTTGCGTGAAATTGATGGATTAAACCGCCGGAAAACCAGGCTCAAATTGAATTTGTTCCTTAAAAACTTAATGAGATATTATTTTTGTAGTATTTTTTTATGAGGGAGAAAATGTTTTTTTAACGTTGGAAGAGTGATTAGCGGCGCTTTTTTTTCCGACTTCTTCGAGTTTTACCCTTAAGTGATCACTGTTCAGGGAATTATGGCAGATTGTGAAAAAGCCGCCGGATGAAACACATAGAACCCGCTTCAATCGTCACGGGGTAAACATTTCTATGGAGAAAAAAATTAATTTTTGTTTCAAATTATTATGATAACAATAAATTGGATTTTCTAAATCAAATGAATCTTTTGAATGAATTTTTGGGAGGAAGATATAACTTTGGAAATTTTGCCGAAGAAGAATTTATTTTCGTCTGCACGCCGGTTGGGCACGTCCTACAGTGTGAGTTCTTAAAATCTCTGTAACTTTCGTTGAAAAATATGTGGGAGAAGGTTGTTTTGGTATGAAGGAGTTCTCAAAATCATACCTTAAACGATCTGACTCGTCTGCACTCTCTCTTTCTGTTTGTACGCTTTTTTATGACCTGGCTGGCGAGAGAAAAGAGAGCCCAGACAGGCCAGACTGCAAGTCGATTTGATTCATTTCAATTGAAATGCTTCAGAATTTTTTCAGGAAGCCGTGTTGAAAACGGTCAGCCCGTTGAGAATTTCGATTGAATTTAATAAAAAGGTTGAATTTTTTTCTTTGAAACTTCAAAAAAATTCTGAATCGTGTTTTTTTCTCTACTGATAATACCTTTTTAATGAAAAAAAGCTGACGAAATGATCAATTTTTGGAAATTCAAAAAACTCAAAACTTTCGAAAAATCTTTTTCATCTTTTTAAAGGTTGTAAGTAGGCTCCAATAAACTTTCTCAAAGAGACAAAGTTCAAAAATTTATTAAATTGAAGTGAAATTACAGAGTTTACACGTTAATTATTCCTCATTTTGATGAATTTTTCTCTTTCTTCTTTTTCAAATTTAATATGAAATAGTTCATTTCTAACGCCAGGGCTCATCGGCGACGGACCTTGCCAATCAGTCTTACTCGACCGTTCTGAAAGGCGGTCACCTCAGAAAGGTTCACATTATTGCTCATGTTAAATTGGAAACCACGCCCCTTTCCTAGGACTCATTTTCGTCTATGTCGTCTCCAACGGAAAGCGTCAAATCTCAGGTTTGGAAATGGAAAAAAGAAGAAATTATTCTCCAAATATGTCATTTTTAAAAGATACTGAAAAAGGCTTTTTTTCAAGCTTTGGAAACCGTTTCGAAACTTTGAAGTCAAAATATGAAGTCTAAACACCTTACGGGGAAAAACTATAGTGACCACTTAAGATGATTCTCAAGGGCTACATGGAGAGGACACTAAAGTGGCCACTAAAACCACTTCTATAGAAGCCACTATTTTGGGCTTACTGCAGTAGTTTTCAGTGGTCTAGTAATACCACTAAGATTCCTTAAAAGGCCACTGAATTTTAGTCACCTAAGTAGTCACTATTTTGACTCCTATAGTGGTCACTAAATATTTTCCCAGTAAGTGACCATTTCTAGGAGAGTTTATCATCAGCGCAAAGTCAATTCACCTACTCAACGGACAGAGATACCTTCATTTCAACGGTTTTTGAGCCTCGGAAATAATAGCAGCGCTATTTTTTTGGCTTCAGATGACGGCTGAAGATGAGAAAGAGAATCTCGAGGAAACTCTTCGGGGAGTGGAAATTTTGGACGATCAAGCTGGAGAAACGACTTTGGAAGGAGAAGAAGATGAAGGGATTTCTGTGGAAGAGCTGGACGACGAGAAAGAGGAACAGCTTGGAAATAAGGACAATTCAAAGACTTTTGTCGAAAAAGATGATAAGGAAGGAAAATGTGAAGAAGAGAAGAAGAAGCCGGTCGTGGTAAGTGAATCAAAAAGATTTTACAAAAAAAAAAATGGTTTTTTCAAAGTTTTTTTCACTGAGCCGTTTTGAAATCATCTTTCATTTTTGGTAATTTCCTGGCGAAAAAAGTTCTCGATCACGTCACGTGAATCTCAGCCGCTTTGAAATTAGCGCCGTGTCGGAATTTGCTAGTTCTGTTGATCCTGAAAAACTCACCGGCATTTCAGCCGCGAGAAAAAATTCTGAGCTTTTTAAAAAAAAATTTTTGTTCTATGATGAAATCAAATATTTGAATCCTATCGTTTATTCCTGTCCGTATTAGAGATTAGCGCCAGATATAGCTTTTGAAAAACTCCTTTTTTTAGCCGACCGAAATCAGCAGCGCTTTTTCCTCGAATTCCCGGTCATCTTTAGAGGAAAATTCTCAAAACCTGATGTTAAGTCTGAGATTCCAATAAAAGTGATATCTTCGCCATGCGCGAACTGAGCCGTCAAAGAAATAGCGCCAGCTGTTTAGTTGTCATAATCCTTCCTAGTTAGTTTCGAGCCGCGAAAAAATTGCTTTAGATTTTGGTTTTCGTTTTTCAAAAAGTTAGGATTTCGTAAAAGAAACAAAAATAATATTTTTTCGATTTTTAGGAAACTCCAATCTTGTTCTCAACAAGCAGTGAGAGTATCTTGGTCGGTTTTTGATTTTCTTTTTTTCTTCACATTTTTCCTCCAGGACTCTTTATCATCCTCTTTTTCCAACTGTGTCAGGTTTGAAGAGGATATCGAGGCTTCGGTTAGTTTTTTTGAAATCAATATTGTATTATTTTCTCAGAAACCAACAGTTTTACCGAAATTTCGACCGTCTGGGGGCGTTCGAGCCACGCGGCCTATTCTGAAAAGTGAGAAATTTTTTTGAGAAAAAAATTTTTTTCTTTTTAGAAACTTCCTGAAAAAAAGTTGAGGAAATCGAGAAAGTTGAGAAGAAGACAGAGGAGCCGGAAAAGGTGGTTTTGATTGAGAAAAGTGGAAAAAAAAAAATAAGAACAAGAATTTTAAGCCAAAAGTGAAAAATCAGAATTATTTTTCTTGTTTAGAAGATCCCTGAAAAGGCTGTGAACATCGAGAAAAGGGTAATCAAGTCCGAAAAGGTTGGTTCTATTTGAGATTAGAAAAAAAAATTTAATCATGGAGGTTTTGAGAAAAGTCATAGTAGTTGGAAACTTTGGAGATATTTCCAGAAAGATATTTTTAATTTTTTTGAGACATAAAATGAGAAAAAAATCATTATTTTTCTTTGTTCAGAAGAACCCTCGAGAAGATTCGAAGATTGAGGAGAAAGCAGTAGAACAAAAAAAAGTAGGTTGTTCAAGGTTTTTAAGGAAGTTTGAAAAAGATTTTCGCGTAAGATCGAGAAAAAGGTAATCGGGCAAAATTTTTGGAAAAATTTTCAGCCAATCGAAAAGGCCGTTTCGAAAAACTGCAAGAAACTTGGCGACCTGCAAAAAGAAGAAGCTCGAAAGGCTCCGAACTCGTCTCAGGTGCGAAAAAAAAAATTCAGCCACTGCTTATTTTCAATTGAGTAAATTGGTAGACTTTCCCCTTTTTTGCAAATTTTTCAGTTCAGAAAATAAAAGAGAAAACTTGAATGAGACTTGATTATGAGAAATGAATTTTTTCAGGCTCCCCAGAAAATCGAGAAAGTTCAGCCCATTGTGCACTTGGCTTTGGTACGAACAGTACATGCGGATGTGAGTTAGGAGAAAAAATTGAGGGTTATGAAAATTTGTTAATTTTTCAACGTTTTCTATCAATTTTTGACTTGGAAAAGTCACGTGTAGAATTGAGTTTCTTCATTTTTTCTCTGAAATATTTTTTCGATAGAGTAATTTAAACAGTTTATTGTTCTTTACAGTAGTTTAGGGGTAAAAAAATTGATTGAGTTCGGATATTTCTCAATTTTCAGTAATAATTGCTAATAAGTTTGATATTCTAGTTCATATCGTTCATTTTTTTTGGTTCTTTTTTAGAGTTTTAAAGTTGAGAAGGGTTTTTGTGGGTATAGTCTGAGTACCACGACTTGGAATTTTACCGAACGACATTCCGCTGTTCCGCCGGGCGCTTTTGCAAATCTCGGTCGCGCTTTCAATTTTTTCTTTCATTCAAATACTCGCAGATGAACGATCCATCTATCTGCAATAAAAATAGTCTGGAAGGGTGACCTAATTCCGCAAAGGCAAAGACGCTTTGCGACCGTACACAGCGGAGCGTCGTTCGGGGAAATTTCAAGTCGAGGCACACAGAATATGGCACCCAATTTTTGTACTTTCGATTCCGTTTTTAGAGACTTTTTTCCTTCAATTTTTCGAACTTCTTCTTTTAGAAACTTCCGAAAAAGAAAGAGTTCATCCCGCCGCCGGTCCCACAGCAGCCAAGATATAATGGGGTTTACTTTTTCATTTTTTTAATTTGTTACCAAGAAAAGAAAAAAATAATTTCGAATTATGTTAAGGATTTGACGAGAATTGAAAAAAATTTCTTGGAAGTTCGTCTTGACTTTTAAATAATTTTTTTTTGAGAGATGGGCATATCCTCGTCAACCTTATCGACCGGAGAACAATTATAATTATTATGGACGCCAGAGTCCGTATAATAGAGATCGGGTGAGTTTTTCTTTGAAATTTGAAAAGGAAATTCGTTTTCGAAAGTGAACTCGATTCGCCACGTTTTGAAAAATGACCTGACCTGTCTGCGCCCTCTTCTCCCTCACCGTAGAGTTCATAGAAACGAGAGAATCGCAGAGAAACCAGGCGGTTTCAAAATGTCGCGAATGAGATTTTTTGACTATTTTTTTCCTAAGTCATTATTGACGTTAAAATGTTGAAGAATGGCCTGTTTCCGACGAAAAACGGATACGGAATGCCTACAAATTACCGCCAGAACACGGCCAACAACTACGGCGACTATCCGGAAACGTTTGTCCGGAATAGGATCGAAAAAGAAAGGAGGATGATTGACCAATCGACGAGCGATCTGAGAGAGTAAGCCTGATTTTGACATGATTATTTCGATGAGGCAAGGTTTTGAGCGCTCAAATTTTTTTGGCCACTAGAAATTTAATTTTTTTTTTCGAACGGAAGTCTTCCAATTCCAGAAACTTATTGGATGACATAGATTGCCAAAATTTCTAACAAAAATGGTGGAAAAAGTATTCGGTTGAGATTTAGATTAAATTTGGCGGAGAGGTGAATTGGGCATCCTTGATTGAAAATAAGTAGGCAAAACTGAGCTTTTCTTTTTTATGAGACCTTAAAACGCCGAAAATTTTGTTTTTCAGAAAAAATCTCTAGTAACTATACCTAAAGGCAGAAAGGCGTGGCTCTTTCTGAAAATTTTGAAATCAGAGCGTCCTAAAAAAAACCTTCGGCCTAATTCCCTCGTTCTCTCAACACCTTTTGCCAATCCTTCGAGTCTCCTTGAAAAACTAGAAATGAGCGTTTTTTAGTTTCATCTATCAAGGAGAAAAAGAGTTGTCGGTGCTGAAGAGACGCATGAATTCATTGGGCTGTGTACATGAGCCGTCGACGACGCTTCGTGCGACTCTGAAGGAAGTCAGGGCGGCTGGAGGAATCCACTCCGTAGATGATAAAGTCGCTTTTTTGCGCAACAGCTATTCGACTGCTATGGTATCGTTGAAGAAGGTTTGGTGAGAGATCAACAAAGACCTGAAGAGACGCCAGAGAAGTCCGATTCGTGCCTCTGAGTACAAAAAGAAACAGTGAACTTCATTGACAAAAAAGGCAAAAGTTGAGAAAAAGCAAGAGATTAAAGATGATCCGAAGAGACGGCCAGAGAAAGAGAGAGCTCATTCCTTCTATGGTGCTCTTTCTTGCCGCTGTGCAGAGGAAAACAAAATGAAATTTTAAAGCCAAAATACGATAAACTGAGAGGAAGCGATAGAGTAACTGCCCTTGGAGACGTTAGACATTTTCAAAGTCTGCCTATTCTCTAGCGTCTCTTCGGGTCGCTGAGTTGAAAAAGGCATTCTTATGACCCAAAAAGAGACAAAAAGCTCAGAAAAAGCGAAAGCATTATGGCGTTTTTAGAGACGCCAGACAAGAGAAGAAAGAGAAGACTTTTTTCGTGTCTCTGGCGTCTCTTCAGTCCGCGCCTTATCTTCAGATCTGACGAAAAATATTTTTTTTACTTTCCAGAAGTTGTTTGATACTCGTGTCCCTGTAGAGTAGTGTTACGTAACCACACGTTTTTTTCTTCAGCTTGTAAGGCTGTAAAAAATTATCTCCAAAAGAAAGTTCTCAGAATGGTTTGAATCGATTGACCGCTCTTTCAGGTGGAGGAAATTATCCGATTTGAAAAGGAATCCATTTGGATATTACAAAAAAAGTTTGCATGCTGTTTTCCGATCCTCCCGAGTCCACGCTTGGACCATTACGCACAGGTTTTTATTCGGTTATGGAGGAGTTTTTAAGTTTTTAATTACGATTCAAACTCTATGATATTTCTTGTTAGAAAAATTGAAGCTTTTACTCAAAAGCCCTCCAATGATAATTCTCGGTGCTTGATCTTGAGAAAATGATAATTAATTCAGAAATTCCTTTAAAATTATTTGAAGTTGAAGTGCGCTCCATTGATAATTCCAAATTTTAATGTCAAAAAAAGTTTTCTGGGCTAGCTACTGACCTTTATGCCCTAAAAAAGGTTTTAGCTTTTTTAAAAGCTTCAAAGTTTGCCCCATTGACAATGAAGTTATATTTTTCTCAGGGTGCTTCAAAAAGCCGGGCAGAAATTGAAGACATTGTTACCCTATCCAGCAGCCTCATCCGCCACTATGAGACCCAACGTCCTGCCTTCAAAAAAATCCTGGAGTTTGAAGTTTAAGTCTTACTGTAAATAGAAATCACCTGTGTTTTTTTCTTTTCAGGAGCTCCGCGAGTGTGCAAATCGGCTAGAGCAGGTGATTGAGGAAGCCGGATTGATAGTCAATTTGAAGATCAGATATCCGTTGGTCCGTGATTTTTCGAGTGTTACGGTAGACTTAGTTGGTTACTGTAGATTGAAGGAGTTTAGAATTTCCGAGCATATAATATAGTGATAATAATCATCATTTTTTTGTTAGAAATTTTTCGAAAAAGGTCAGAGTTAAATTCTAAGTGGGATTGTATAAAGAATAATTTATTCTATTCGGGTATTTTTCTCGAAAAATGGGATAATTTTACTGTCGATTACGATATCTTAAAGGATTTGATTACTGTATCTTTTTTTGTAGAACTTCCTCGTCAAAAAAATTTCAACTATAAAAATCAAGAAAAAACGCCCCATTTTTTTCTATTTTTTTCGAATCTCATGGTATACAGTAGCATATTGACCTCGTACAGTAAACTATACAGTAATTTTGAGACTTTGATGTCCGTGAATTATCTAACAAAAAGTCATGAATAAACGGAAAACTTTCAAAAAATTCCATGCTAGGGGCATAGACTACTTTTTCGAGGTCTCTTAAACCCTTCGATATGATTTCTTCGCCTCAAATAAGCGAGCGCACTTTCGACGTTTCAGGAGTCCGAAGAACAATTGACATACGACTTCAGAAGGTTTTTACGACAGAGCCGACTTCCTCCGTTGCATCCCGAGTGTGAAATGTTCTTCGACCTGAGTTTTGCTCAAAACCAACGGAATATCAGTCATCAAGTTGACGCAATCGTCAATTTTGAGGTCTTTTTTCGTGTTCAGCACCTTTCATTGACTATTTGTTCTCAGAAGGAGTTCGAACGGCTCAAAACGTTTAAAGCCCCACGTGCCGATTTTAATGAATCGACAAACTCTTCAAGTATCCGAGAAGCGATGTATTTATTTGTCGACATGTATAATCGCATCCGAGCTGGCGTAAAGGTAAAGCTTTTAAACGCAAAATTTTGAAAAAAAAATTTGAAAATAAAAAGTTTTGCGGATTACTGTAATCACATGCTGTGTAGACACCCAATGCGTACAATGCAATTTTACCCCAAAAATTCCCTTTTTTTTTAGCTTTTTGTACTTTTTTTTCTCGGTAGTTTTGATTTATAAACTTTGAGGACCTTGGTGAAGTACGGAAGTTTGTTTTCATCGCGTTTCGCATCAAATCCGCATTAGTTTTTGCTGTTTTTTTTTGTGTAATTATTAGAATCTTCTCTTTTTCTTCTATATTACTTTTGATGTGAAATATAAACAGCATTCAGCGACTTTTGGACATAATATTGAATGAATAAAATAGTTTTAAGGCGTCATTTCTTATTTCCGGTCCTCTTTTCCGATCCTCACTCAACCCTAAAATGGCGATGATTTTTTTTTCGAAATGCTTTTTTTCAGTTTTACGAGGAATCTGTGGGTGTGATTGAGGCGTTGAAAGAAAACGTCGAAGATTTATCAGCGGCGAGTCAAAGGGAAAGAGATGAAATTTCGCGGGATTTGCAACCAAAAATGGACGATTGTCGACACAGGGGTCACTGAACACTGAACATTTTAGGAATCTTTGTTTTTGAAGGTGTTTCAGAAAATCAAAAGTTGAAATCCCTGTCGTCGAATAGCAGCGGCTCCAGCGAGTATTCTACGGCTTTCGGGGGATCGGATCAGAAAAATGAGAAAAGGGACCAGTTCGATAAAGAGCCACAACGTTTCTACACGAAGCTGGTTCGATTCGCGCCACAAGACGGACCGCGGCCGGTTTACGCTGGTCAGCACCAGATGGGCGGCCTTGAAAACCCAGAGTTCGGACATAAACAGCAGTATCTGCAGGGTTACGGTCAGTTTTGAAGATTTTACGGTGTTTTGTTTTTCCCAAAAGTTTTTTTCAATTCTTAACATGAAAAAGTAAAATAAGTCCTTTCCTTGTCAAAATTGAACCATATATGAATAGCTTTTTCTCAAGTTTTTGCTTCCGGAATCATTTAAAAGTAGTTTTCATAAAGTTTTCAGTTCAACCAATGAACCCGACGCCACGTTCGATCCGTTCCGTAGCAAATCCGCAGCCGCCGTCTCAAGCCTGCGATAACCGTAGTTGTTGCTCGAATGATTACGGTAGTACTGTAACCGTGAAGTTTTTATCGTAAATTTTAGCCGCGCCGTGCTCCAGCCACGCCCCTCCTTGCAAGCCTCGAAAGTCGTGTTGTGACGGTTGCACTGAACATACGTCTTCTTGTTAGTTTGGATTTTCATAATTAGTTCAAGATGCATATTTCGCGCCAGCTTGTCACGTTTTTGCCTGAAATGTCTTAAAGCGAAGGTCCGAAAACGTGCAGGTCTTGAAGCGAACTGTCGTTTTCTCAACATTATTTAACTTGACAAAAGCTTGTATTTTGAAAATTTTTTATACCTTTTTTGCACCAAATTCATGTATATGGTCTCTTCCTTCTGGATTCATTGAGACCTGAGCTGACCCAAATTTTATTCAAATTTTTTTTTCTCAAAGTATTTGTATGCCAAATCTTCAACTTGGACTCGTTTTGCTTTGTACTTACTTGCCCATTTATTTTTTCCATGTTTTAGAATTGTTTTTCTCAGCTCGACAAGAACCGCCTTCGTCGTGCTGCTGCCACCGTCAACCGACAGAAATGACGGGCTGCCGCGCGTCGCCACATCAGTCGCAGCAGCAAAAGCCCGCCCAGAAGCCCATGGCTCCGCAGCCATCCTTTCCCGTTAGTTCTAATCATTCATGTCGATTTGATACGTTGTGGTAAGGTTTAAAGCTTCAAATGTATGCTCTTTCGAGCCGTAAAAGTCTCAAAAAGCCGTTCAAAGTTTAACAAAAGTCAATATATTTATCTCTCAAAAAAACTTTATCAGTTGTTAAGTTTCCTTACTTTTTAAATTATATATAATCGTTTTTCAAACTCGATAGTTTTTCCGCGCCAAAAGCAAGTTGAGTTTTTTTAAAAAATGAAGTTCGAAAGTTATAAATCTTTCTTTGAAATTTTTTTCTAAACCATGGTTTGAATTTCATTCTGTTGAAAACATTTTTTTCCAACTCAATTGATTTTTTTAATTAACATTCAATTTGAACGTTGCTGAGTTGTCTCTAAGAAAAAGTATCGAGTGTGTCCTTAAATGTCATTATAAACGGGATCTTTTTTTGGATTTTCTCTCTTCCTTTAAACAGAACCCGGATGTCTGTTTCAAGTCATTTTATATTACGATTTCAAGATGACGTCACCGACGATGGACCCATCGCAGCAGTACTACTCTCCGCAGGACTTTTACTCGCCAAATGGTCGCTTTCCTCCAAGTTATTGAATTTTCGACTTTTTTTGTTCTCATTCAACTTTTTGTCTTATTTGTTTCGAATTTAGTGCCAGCTCATTTTGAGAGGATTTTTTGACCCTCTGAGGTATAACAATTTAACGATTCTCCTTCTTTTTTTTGTGACTTTTTCCTACTTGTGTACTAATATTTTTGCACCAATCTAACCGATTAACGCTTTAGTTTCATGATTTCAGTTTTCCAAGGTGTTTTTTTCGATTTCTCTATCGTGTAGTTGCGTTTTTTTAATTGTAAAATGATGTAAATTAGATTTTTAGAAAACCTCACTCACTCCATATTCTTATTTCACCCCGACTGTATTTTTTTTTCTATCAGATCAAACTCGTTTCTATTTCATTTGTCTTACTTGCTTTTTTTTCGCATGACAGTAGATTCTTTCTTCTTTTCTGATAATCTTTAGTTGCATAAATGCTCGCGTTGACATATAAAACATGAAACGATGAGTCATTTTTGTTACATAAAACGATGAGTAATTTCGAAAATCGTCGTATTTTATTTCTTGGACTCGGAACCAAAGCTCGAACCCATACAGTGCAGCAATACTGAAGCTTACAACTCCTGCTAAAACATTTGATAACCTGTATCACTGTAAAGATGACGTCAAGACGAATCGAACGATGTGTTCAGATGAGCTGTAGCTGCTCGAAGAGCTGAGTTATAAGCCTCCAAAGTCCATCTTCAAAAAAAATTTTGCGCGTCACATAAAATGCATTGCGTGAGGTTGCCCGTCGGGTGAGGCCCTTGTCTGAGGCCCAAATCGGTGTGCTTTTCTCGCAAAAAGGGAAAAGCTCAAAATTTTCCCCGGCTTTTTGAAGTTTTTTGTGGTGAAATCGATAGAGAAGCTTCCATATTGTACTGATATCATATCACTTTGGGACGGAAAGCTCAAAAATGGGTTCAAAAAATCGAATTTTTTCAGAATTTCGAGCTCTATAACTTCCTTCATTTCGAAGTTACAGAGAAACTGATTACATCAATCGATTTGTCTTGACGTCATCTCTCCAATGGCTCAATAAATCAAATGGTTCAGCTCCATCCAACAGCTTCATACATTGTAATTGGAAATAGACAAGTTTTATACATCATTCGACGCAGAATGGCGGGCTGAGTTCAGAAATTGAACTTTTACTCTTCAAAAGTTTCTAGGAAAAATGTTATAGCCCCTCAAAGTTGATCATTTGGAGACTTTGAAAATCCGTAACTTTTCTCTTAGAGACCTAGAAACTTCGGGACCAGGTTTTTCTTGATCCTCGTGATTTCTTCTATCGATTGATACCCATTTCGATCCAATTCTTAGATTTTGACATAAAGTTTGATCGCCTATAACTACGTTCCTAGGTGACCTACGGAGGTCAAACCTGGTCCCCGGTTATTTTTTCGTCGAGATCTATCGATTGATATAGGTTTCGTCCAGATCGGCTCCCATGATTTCGGAAGCTCAAAAAAAACCTAAGGGGTTAGACTGTACTTTTTTCGATTTTCCCCAAAACCAAAGTTTCCCAGATTTTTACATCAATCGATAGGAAATGACGTCAGAAGTACGAAAATCCAGGTCGGAAAGTTCTGAGGCTTCTAGAATGAATGTTATGATTTTTTAAAGTTTTTGAAAAATCATATCTCAATTTCTAAAAGGTTACGAACTTAGAGGTTTAGTTTTTCTTGATCCTTGTGATCTCCTCTATCGATTGATATCAATTTTGACGAAATTTGCGATATCTGGTTTCTAAGTTTGATCGCCTATAACTTGATTCCTAGTTAGCCTACCGAGGTCAAACCTAGCCTCCGGTTATTTTTTCGTCGAGATCTATCGATTGATATCGGTTTCGTCCAGATCGGCTTCCATGACCTCAGAAGCTCAAAAAAAAAACCTAAGGGACTGTACTTTTTTCGATTTTCCCGAAAATCAAAGTTTCCGAGATTTTTCCATCAATCGATAGGAAATGACGTCAGAAGTACGAAAATCCTGGTCAAAAAGTCCCAAGCCTTCTAGAAATGAAGATATGATTTTTCAAAGTTTATTATCAATCATAGCTCGACTCCTAGGAACTTAGGAACTCAGAAACCTAGTTTTTCTTGATCCTCGTGATCTCCTCTATCGATCGATACCAAATTCGAATGATTTCAGATTTTTCGATCTCGGAGTTTGATCGCCTATAACTATGTTCCTATTGGACCTACGGAGGTCAAACCTAGCCTCCGGTTATTTTTTCGTCGAGATCTATCGATTGATATCGGTTTCGTCCAGATCGGCTTCCATGACCTCAGAAGCTCAAAAAAAAAACCTAAGGGACGGTACTTTTTTCGATTTTCCCGAAAACCAAAGTTTCAGAGATTTTCACATCAATCGATGGAGAATGACGTGCCAAGTCCGAAAAAACAAGTGAAAAAGTTCCTGGGCCCCTAGAAGAAATGTTATGAATTTTTGAAGTTGGATATTTTGTAGGAAATTGTCTGAAATTGTTGAAATTCTAGACCATTATAAAGATGACGTCGAGACAAATCGATTGATGTAATTAACGTCTCTTTAACTTCAAAATGAAGAAAGTTATGGAGCTCGAAAGTCTGAAAAAATGAGCTCTCATTCGTACCCGTTTTTGAGCATTTCCTCTCAAAGTGATATGATATCAGAACCATATGGAAGCTTCCCTATCGATTGCAATAGAAAAAACTTCAAAAAGTCGAAAAAAATTTTGAGCTTTTCCTTTTTCGCGTGAAAAGTGCACTGATTTGGGCCTCAGACAAGGGCCTCACCCGACGGGCAACCTCACGCAATGCATTTTATCTGACGCGCAAAAAAGTATTTGAAGATGGACTTTGGAGGCTTATAACTCAGCTCTTCGAGCAGCTACAGCTCACCTGAACACATCATTCGATTCTTCTTGATGTCTTCTCTCCAGTGATATAAGTTGTCAAACTTTTGATCTTGGGTTTTAAGCTCCAGCTGTATTCCCTTTTGAAGGGAGAAATCGCTTAAGAGGCTCCTATTTGGTCTTAACTTTTTACGTGAAATTCAATCATAAAGCACATTTTTTCTTCAAAAGCCATCGTTCTGTTGATGGAACATTTTTCAGTGATAAAAGCTGTCAGATCAAAGGAAAAAACTCGCATTTATTCGGGGGACAAATGAAGAATTGTATTTTATCAAGAATGATCAATAAGTTACTGTTACATCGTGGGTGTGAAAAAAGAAAAAAAAAAGGGAGTTATTTGTAGAAATCGAAGTCGTTGGCGTCCTTCTTGATGACGTTCTTGTAGGCCTTCTCAAAGTCCTTGGTGAGGACGACGTAACGATTCTCGCGGACGGCGTGCATTCCGGCCTGGAAAAAAATAAATCATCGGTTTTTTTAAGAGTCTTATAAAGTCAACTGAAAAAAAACTACAAACTCCAAAAATATAGCAAAATTTTTGCGAATATCTTCAAAGTACCTCCTGAGTGATGGCGTTGATATCAGCACCGGAAATCTTATCGGGTCTCGCCACGAAATCCTCAAGATCCACGTCATCCGAGAGGTTCATCTTCGCGGTGATTGTGGAGAAGACCAAGCGTTTCTGGCGGCTGGAAACTTCATATTCAACTATTTTAATGATATAATCATTTGGAATTAAAAGAAAGGTATAAATTCCTAGAGGGACGCTATCAAAATCCGAAAGTTGTTTTCGAAGTTTACAAAAAAAAAAAACTTCAGTTCGAAGTTTCTAAAAGTCTAAGGACGAAAATTGCTAATAGAGCCGTATCTTTCTCATAACTTTCAAATGAAAGAAAGCTCCGTATTCCTAAGAATATGAGAAATATCCAATAAACACTCTGTGTCGCTATCAAGCTATGAAAAATCCTCTTTAAAAAAAACTGGTTCTCTCCAGCTCCAAAATTTGAATTTAAAGGCGCATATTAAAGATTTTCGAAACGAAGAGCGGACGTCAGAGCCTGAAGACATGAAAAACCCATGCTAAATAGACCATAAAACATGTGCAATCGTTATTTTGAAGACACGAGGTTAAAATTAGCGAATTTTCCTTTTTTGATAGCGAAAAACATGAAATAAATGGGTAGGAATCTTGTAAAAAGAGAAAAAAGTAAAAGGAAAAGGATTTGCTGGAAAACTGGCTAATTTTCAATTCGTAATGGTTTTTTACTCAATTTTTTCTTTTCTTGAAAAATTTCCAATCACCGATCAGGCAGCGGGAACTCAATCTTGCGATCGAGACGTCCGGGACGCAGGAGGGCCGGATCAAGAGTATCCTGTCGATTCGTCGCCATGATCACTTTAACGTTGGTGCTCTGGTCGAAGCCGTCCATCTGATTCAGAAGTTCCAGGAGGATACGTTGAACCTTAATCAAAATATCAGTTGAGTTGATTGAACTGCTCGAGAACCTCGCGATCAGCACCGGTCTGGGCGTCGAAACGTTTCGTGGCGATGGCGTCAATCTCATCGATGAAAATAATCGATGGCGAGTTCTCCTTGGCCAATCGGAACACGTCGCGCACCATTCGGGGACCTGAAAAGGACATATTTCGAATTAATCAGAATTTGCCCTAGTTCTTTGAAAAATCTATTGAAATATTCAGGCTGTCTAAAATTCTGACAAAATTCAAAGAATGGATTATTTTTTCGAGCATTAGTGCAATATTCCTACAAATGGGTTTTTAAAAAACTCTGGAAATGAATGCATTGATTCTGGGTCATCAAAACCACAATATTGACGCAAATATCATTATCTTCCAGCGAAAAATTCACGAAATCAAAACCTTCTCCCAGGTATTTCTGAACGAATTCCGATCCAACGACACGGATGAAAGAGGCGGCCGTGTTGGCGGCCACAGCCTTGGCCAACATCGTTTTTCCGCATCCGGGTGGTCCGTACATCAGAACACCGCGAGGGGGGTCGATACCGATCTGGAAAACATGAAAACTGATCAAAAATAAAGGTTGTGAAAGTTGATCGGAGACACTTTTCGAGTGATTTTATAAAACTATTTCTTTTTATTACTGATGGGAACATCGAAATTTTTTTCGTTTAAAAAAATTAATAGAACCCCTTTTTTTCCACATTTCAAAGCCTGATAGAGCTTCCGAGAGGGAATAACATTTTGAAAAAAATCTAAATATTTCTTTTTTTATAATTAATATCTGCTCTTAATCCAGTTTTTTTACACAATCCAGCAGCATAGAGCTTTACAGAAGCGGAAAAAAAAAATTCAAACCCTAAACCCTTTTGAGCCTTTACAAAAAATTCCCGATCAGTTTTATCTTCTTTTTTTTTTGAGCTTCGAAAATAGCAAAAAAAAGAATCGATGCTAGCAAAGTGGGATTCAGAAAAAAAAAGCTAACATTTCTTATTTTTCTTTCCCTTTTTTTCCACCAGAACTTCTCCAGTAAAAATCGAATTTCGCTTTTTGAAAATCAAGACGCTTTTTGGTTTCAACTGCTATCAGTACGAAGAAAATTTGAAATGATTCAAAAATCAGCAAATTATAAAAAAGTGGCAGAAAAAAGGCATGTGAAACCAAGCTTTTTGCGTAAATCGAAACAAGTCAAGCTTCTTTCAAAGCCATTTTTTATCCCTACAAAAGCTGGTCCAGCTCAGCACCTGCTGGTAGAGCTCGCCATGGGTGAGCGGGAGTTCGACGGCTTCGCGAACTTCCTGCTTTTGCATGTCAAGACCTCCGATGTCCCCATAGGAGACGTCGGGCTTCTCATCAGCTCTGAGCATCTGAAAGCAATGTTTTGATCAAAAAAAATGCACGGATCGTCCGGCGAACTTGAATGGAAGAATCCGCCTCGGGGGGCAGGACATCAACAAGGGCGTTCGAGTATTTGTGGAGAGCCACTGAGCAGCCCGGTTTCAAGAGTTCCCGGTCGAGGATCGATAAAACACGGACGTAGTAGTTGGATCCTAGAAAAAAATTGATGAAAAAAAGGTGGGAAAGATTTTTTTTTAAATTAATAAATTCAGAAGGGCGCCGAAATTTCTTATATGACTGGAAGAAAATTTTTTTTCTTACAGAAAAATAACCAAAAATTTTCCAATTCTTCACATACCTTGAAGGATCATTCAAAACAAATTCTCATGTTTCATCTTTCTATTTTTTTCTTCAAAGAAAAATTGTGAAACCGAAAAAAATTCTGAATGATAAAATGGGCGGCTTTGCATCATTTTGAAGATTGAAATCCAAAACAAAACTCAAGAAAAAAAATTGAATAAGTTAAACTTGAAAAATTGTTTTTTTTTCTTTTTCAAAAATCGTCCATTTGGAATATTGCTCTCGATTCTTCGGCAGATTCCCCTTATTCAAGACTTCATTTTTTTCCTTCTCCAACTTTGCGAAATTTTTCCTTACCAGTGGTACTTCCAACGATGGCATGATCCTGATCGACAGCCTCCAAAAATTGTCCAATAACCAGGGGGACCGACTGGATTCTTTTCACCTACAATTACGTATTCAAATTCGAAAAGTCATTTTAAGTATAAAAACCTCTTCCTGGGCGTGCAAAAGCTCCTTCTCCAAGTTTCTCGTCTCCAATTTGACATAGTCTTCCATCACTTGCAGGTGGAGCAACTGCTTTTGCAGCTTGTTCAGCCTCAATTCATTATTCAGCAAAATAAGCCAATGAATCGATAAAAACTTGATGTAATCATCCTGGATGGTAACGTCAGTGTTGGCAAGGATATCGATCGGATTTTCCGGAACTACGGTGACCGGTCTTGCTAGATCATCGTGCTGAGCGAAGTGAATTTGATTTGATTCAAAGAAACATTTAAATTTGAGGTATGATGGAATTATTCGTTTAATAGCTTCTAATATTGTTATTTTCACAAAATATTTCTTTTGAAAGTGTTCAAAACTATTTCTAGAAATTTTATCGGTAAAAATACTACATTAGTCGAAATGAAAACAGCTTTTTTCCTGGCAAAGTTTGTCCAACTTCGTCAATCCATTTTTTGAGCTACAAGAAGGGCTATTGAAAAGATGGAAGGCCTAAATGTTTTTTTCTCAGAAATATCTGGAGTATTCCAAGATGCAGAAACGATCATTAAACAATTTCTGAATTGATGAACACGATTATCAAGTTAGCCGAGAAAAGAATTGATTCAAAAAAAATAAATTAGAGAGCCTTATAGTTAAATATTTTTACTCTATCCTCGGAACACTTTCCATTCCATAAAATCTACCTTTGAAAAAATATTTTTTGTTCAAAACTCCTTGCTGAAGTGTTCAAAGGAGCATGGGTTCGATTCATAAATGTCGCAAAATGAGAAACCATTTCATTTTGAATTAATCCAACCCTTTCAAAAACATCAGCAAGGGTTTTTGAAAAAAACCGCTCAAATCTAAAAATGAAAAAAAGGGAAAATTTTCGATAAAATCAAACCGAAATTCCAATTTCCTGAAGGCCAGCGACCGACATTTTCAGGGGTTTCCGCTGAAATGACTCAAAATAAGGTCACAAAAAGCCAATAGAGAAATAAAATACGATTTCACGTCAAGAAGACATTCCAATAAAATAAAAATGTCAGGCATTTATTTCATTTTGGGAAGCGCAAAGCGAACCAGAGATCAGTAAGTAAATTGCGAAGGAAAAAGCAATTAATGTCAATAACTTAATCAATTTCAAAAGCCACAAACGAAATACAAAATGAGCAAAAAATTGGGGAAAGACAACTGTAAGCAAGTGAAGTCCAGCATTATCACAAAGTTATGACAACTTCAAAATAACATAAATTATTCGAAAATCCTTTCGTGGGCGTTTGTGCCGTGTTAAAAGTAATTTCCGCGAAATGCAAAATGGTCTCTGACCCTCCAAAATTTAGTTTTCTTTCTCTTTCTCTGACGGCTATTTTGAATTTCGCGGAATCACTTTGAACACAGCATTGAAGAAGTCGAGCGTGACTCAAAACATTTTATTTTCTGGCGGTCCCGAAGAGTCGTTTTTAGTTTTTTTCAAGGTAATTCAAGGGTTCTGTGCCTTCAAACATCCCAGTAAGGTTTTCAGAACGGATAATGAAGGATAAGTTATCAAAAAGAATTTAAAAAAGCGAAAAAGCACAACCGGCGAAAATATCATCCTAAATCGGAGTTGCGCCGGCGTGCGCGCGGACTTGCACGCTACCGTGGGAACAAAATTTGTCAATTAATTTTTCAATGAATAGCCGTCTTCTCCAGGCATCTGGCCTTCTATCCGTAGCTGGTCGATAGAATCCGTCAAGTTCCTGCCCCCGTGATCCGCCAATAATCGGTCCAAGAACTGTTCCGTTTGATCCATCGCGATCTGAGAAAAGTTCGCTGAATTATTCATTTTGGAAGCTAATTTGACCTGTTTGATGACCGGTTTGACGATAGTTCCGATCGATCTCACATTGGCAGGAGGGTCATTGAGTTTCAACGAGATTCTCGGCAACATTTTGAGGAATCTCGGTTGAACACGTGGGAAAAGCGGATGGATCCGCGATAAGTCCATGTCCGCCGGCATTGTCTGAAAAATATGTTTTTAAAAAAACAGTAACTCAGAAAAAAAAGAAACAAAAACCAACGTTATCGGGCGAGTTGAGCTCATTTTCGTAGTTGCTTGGCCGATGAACCGAGTTCAAAATTCCCGTCCGAAGTTCCTAGAAAAGCAAAATTAATGAAATTAGACGAAAGAAAAATTATTTTAGTACACTAATCATAGGTATTCGAACGCAAATTTCCAAATTTGAAGTTTTTTTCAGAATTATTTTTTTGACAGTAAGTCAGGTGCAGCCGCGTCGCTCAGCCGAGTCGTCAATTATTTATCAAGTCTATATTATTTTTGGAAAACGCAACGAAGAAGCTGAGCCGAGGTGTGTGAATAAACGCAATTTGTTCTGCACATAAGCGGCGCAGTGCATGCACACAATACACGAAACTTTACGGAGAAAAAGTGGATCGAAAAAACGCCGGTGCGAGCTATCTCTACAGCCGAGCCACCACAATCAGTCTTACAGTTATTCCCTCCACGCACCTGACTATACGGCGCCTGCGGCTGAACGTAGAATCCGTCCCTCGGCGACGCCGTCGTCGTCGGGACGTCGACGGGTCTTCCGTAGAAGTCGACGACGCCGAGGTTGCTGCCAGGTGACGGCATCTGAATCTGCGGGAGCAGATCGTGCGGGAACTGATCGATGGTGTTGTAGATGGCCGGCGGAGGCGCAGGCTGTTCGGGCGCCGGCGGGTAGATCCGCGGTTGATGAGTTTGGGGAGGAGCCGTGTCAATGACTCTGGAATTTGGTTTGAGACTGTTGGTATGGTTCAAAAGCTCTTGAAACACGGAATTTAATGAGATGAACGATCTAGACAAAAAAGAGAATACCAACCGATTTCCTTGCCATTGAACATAACCAGTTTCTGACGGAAGTCTTGGAATCACGATCCTTTGTTCTGGGTTGTAAGGTTCTTGGGGCCTTCCCATCTGAATGAAAACGAGTATTATTTGACAGGAATCATGATGATTTTAATTAGGCATCCTAAAAGTCTTTTATTCTAATATTTTTGAAGTTTCATTTATTTGAAACAAAATAACCAAGCTAAAAAGATTCTTCTATTCAAAAAATCATAACTTCCGTTACAATCATCCATTTCGAACAGTATTTGTACCATTCCAATCAGAATAAGCTGAATTTTTCGATTTTGAAATCACTTCTTACCGCGCTCTTCTCGCATCGCGCCAATTCGGGGACAAAGATCAGGGTATCGGGACATTGCCGTTCGGTCCAGCGGCCACGGCGTCCAAGCATTGGCGCGCATTGAAGGTACCAAGAATGGTCACTGAATAAAACGGTGAGGTCTTCATCCAGTTCGAAAAAGAAGCCCAATGGGTAGAGTATCAAGCTGTAGTTGATCAAAAAAAGTAATTTTTTCAGAAAAATTTTTTTCTGAGGCCTTGCAACTATAATGCTCGAGGGATATTTTGAGGGATATTCACGAAGAAATTTTAAAAAATCGTGTCCTTAAAAAACCGCCTCTCTGGCCTATAGAATCTACTCGGCGGAGCGAGTTCTTCAAAAAACGACCAAAAACATAAAACCGATAAATAAAACATAAGTGACCCCTCAAGTACACTCACTGCGGATGAGGACACAAGGTGTCGAAATCGTAAGCCAACGGGCAATCTCCATTGATGAGACATCCTCGGAGGACTCGCGGCTCGCCCGGTCCGCCAGAAGCCACCTGAAACATTGCTCAGACCGGCACAGACTTGCACCATACCACATTCTGATCTTCCAAGTCGATCTCATTATTCTCCCAGCCATTCGGTGGCTTCCATGAGTTCGATGACGTCACCCATTCAGGCTTGGCCGTCGTGAAGCGGATCATTTGCGACTCGACGTCGGGTCTGAGGTTAGTAAGATGAGAAAAGTTGGGTGTCTTTGGCCTTGTAGCCTCCAGAATTGAAAGGAGCATGAAATTTTCAAGCTCCATAGTTCTGATGATGAACCAGGAGGATTTAGAGCCATAACGAAGATTTCAAGAAAAAGAGACTCTCTGAAACCTTTTGAGACCCAAAATTTTCAACTTTTAGGAAGTTTGGTGTCTTTAAGAAGCTCTCAGATAATCTAGGAAAACCTAAGAATTTCTAAGGGCTTATAAAGTTTTTAAAAAGATCTGAAATCTCCCAAAACCTTTGCTGAACTTCTCCGTATCCCCCTTCAGGCAGTGCAGGGCGATAAATCGGCGTCCCTCGCGTGGTTTCTGAAAGTCCATTGATTCATTGGCACCTTTCTGAAAATCTGAACCTCCTCCTCCTAAGACATGCTGCCTTTCTCTCTCAATCATCTGCTGCATCTCCTGACGCTCTCTCTCCAGTCTGAAACCATGCTTAACTCTTTTTAATGATTATATTTCGGTAAACCTCTCCATCTCTCTCCTCTGCTGCTCTGCTCGCTCAGCCAGCAAACGGTCTTGCTCAGCTTTCTGGAGTTGGAGCTGGTGGAGTTGGTACTGACGTTCTTCTTCGGCTTTTTGAAGCTGGACCTGCTGCTGTCGCTCCTCTTCAGCTTTTTGAAGTTGGTACTGTCTTTGACGTTCTTCTTCGGCCTTCTGAAGTTCCAGCTGATGCTGTCGTTCTTCCTCCGCTTTTTGGAGCTGATATTGCCTCTGTCGTTCTTCTTCAGCCTTTTGGAGTTGAATCTGCTTCTGACGCTCTTCCTCCTCGGCCTTCTGGAGCCGCTGCCGTTCTTCTTCCTCTTTCTGATGCTGATACTGTCTCTGTCGTTCTTCCTCTGCCTTCTGAAGTTGGTATTGACGCTGTCGCTCTTCTTCGGCTTTCTGAAGTTGGATCTGTCTCTGCCGTTCTTCCTTCTCTTTCTGGAGTTGATACTGTCTCTGTCGTTCTTCTTCAGCCTTCTGGAGCTTTCTCTGTCTCTTCTCCTCCAGCTCCTTCTGTCGCTCCATCTCGGCCTTCTGAACCCTCTCGGCCTCTTCTCTTCTTCTCTCTAATTCCAGCCGCTCTTCCTCTTTTCTCCTTTCCATTTCGACCTTCTCGGCAGCTCTGATTCTAGCTAACTCCTTCTGCTTCTCCAGCTCGATCCTTTCCATCTCGCGTTGTCGCTCCTGCTCTCGGATCATTTCGAACTTGCGATGTCGTTCTTCAGCTTCAATTCTCAACTGCTCCTGCTCCTTTCTGACTCGGTCTTCGGCCTCCTCTTTGAGCCGCTCCTTCTGCATCTCCTCGAACTTCTCACGCTGTTCCCGCTCATTGACGGCCTTCTGGTGCTGAACAATGTTCATCAACTGGGACAGGAACTCCTGTTCGGTCATGCTCCGTCCGTTGTACTTGACCGTGTACTCCGGCTGAATTGTGGTAGCCCTATCAGTCTCTTCTTGAAGAGGTTGATGAACAGTACCGCTATAAGGAGGGAGCGTTTCTGGATATCCAACTGGCTCCGGGGTCGGCTTGGTCTGAGCTTCCGGCCAAGGTCGAAACTTGGTAGCATGAGTGACGCTTCTAGGCGTGGTGGTGCTTCTGAAGCGATTCGGCGGCGTGAAGGCGGGTCGATAAGGCGCTTCGGTCGTCGTCTTTCTCGAGTTGAATTGTTCGGCCGACGTGGGTCTCGGAGGATTGGCAAAAGATTCAGAAGACGTCAACTTCTCGGCGGAGTAGGCGACTGTGGTGGGTCTTGGCGTGGTGGTTTTTCTTATTTTGACTCTAGGCCTTGGAGAGCCTTTCCCGTTGGCGGCAGGCCTGGTCCGAGGTCTGGGCCGTTTAGGTCGAACCGTTGAAAAGACGAACTCTTCTTCGGCTCGAGAAGTCGTTGACGCAGTCGTCGTCAGTATTCTTGGCTGGAAAAAAAATAGGATGAAAGAAAAATGTAGCTGCTATTTTTTCAAGGTATTGTGTGCTCTATTGATAAAACCAACCGTGACAATTTTCCGCATAGGTTTGACCGTCCTCACTTCGACCGTCCTATCCTTGCAGACCTAAAGAATGTTTCTCATCATTGCTCATTCTATCTCATTTCTCACCCGATCCTCAGGATCAAAGGTCATTCCAGGAGCACAGGGGACGATCCAAACACGGCCGGATGGTCCGCATTGCTTGTACCTTGAGAAAAATCGGTCTTGAGTGGAAATAAAAAAAAAAAACAGGGAAAGTCACCTTGATGGATCGCCGTAGACGATTTTCAGGCCGAAAACGACACGATCGCAACGCTCCGATGTGAAAATGACGTCACTGAGGGCTGAAAATGTGTTTTTTTTAAAACTTAAAGATAGAAAAAAAAAAGCAAAAAGGCCGTTTTTTCATGATTTTTGCGCTCTATTGACAAATCCCCTCCAACTGCCTCATATGCCCTCAAAAAACTCGTGAAGGTGACATTAAACCAGTTCTCAACTTAATTTATTCTTTTCACCTCGCGTATGAATAAATGATTATCACTAAAGCTTGAAAAAAGGCAGAAAGGCCGTTTTTTAGATCTTTTGCGCTCTAATGACAATCCTTCCAACAAATCCCCTCATAAGACATCACAAAAACTCTTGAAGGTGACCTTAAACCGGTTCCCATCTTATTCATTATTTTCACCTTGTGAATGGATAAATGATTATCACTAAAAGGCCGTTTTTTCAAGATTTCTGCGCTCCAGTGACAATCATTCCAACAAATCCCTTCCAAATGCCTCATAAGCCCTCACAACAACAGCAACAAATGTTGCAATCCAAATAAGGCGCTCCTTAGAGCCGACTCTCGAAAGTGCGGCCAATTGACAACTATCAACTCTCTCCCTCTTGGTGAGGGTGGCATTTTCGGTGGCCACTGGCGGCGGCGCAAATATTTGCTCTAATCAACTGGTCTATGCGCAACTTTTGCCCAAAAATGGTTTTGATAAGGTAGCCCTGATTTTTATTTTCCCCCAATCAAAAGTTTGATGACTGATTTGCTCCACGGCTAACCGAAAACCATCACGTTTCTGGTCAAAAAAGAGGCGGTTTTTTGTGGGTTTTTCGCGCGCGCCCGAGGCGATTAATTCCGATGATAAGCTGATGAGACGCGGCTCACGCGAGTTGATTTCACGCAGAACTTTTTGGAGAGAGAGAGAAAAAAAACTGGATCTTATTCGTATGACTTTTTTTTAGTTAGGAGCCTAATTTTCATCAGAAATTCTCACAGGAAATCTCGACCATTGACTTTTTTTAATAGTTCAAACCCTTGGAATTGAAAACTCGCAATGTTCGGTCGTGACCTCAAAAGTCTCAAATTTTTGTAGATTCAATTTTTGAAAATTCCTTTCGAAAATTCAGAAGAACTGTATGGAGTTAACCTGTTTTTATTCGAAAAAAGGGACGAAAATCTCATTTTTTCTTTATTCAACTTCCAAATAGACAGAAAAAAAAAGCTCAGATCTTTCAAGAGCTAATCCTATTCTATCAAAACCCCATAACTACTAAAAACTGTTGAAATCTCAACCAGAATCACCTAACTTCATTTGGATTTTCTATATCCTAAGACTTTAAAAAATCTTGATTTACCTGTGAATCTCAAAAATCGAGAAAAGCCAGTGAAATTCCAGAAACTTTTTTAGACATTCTGGAAAAGTTGAACCTTCTTTACCCCTTCAGAATTCATTTTTTAATAGTGCAAAAGCTCGACTTTTCCAAAAAATCCCCTCAGAAATCGATTCGAAAACATGGCCAAATCCAGCCAAAGCCAGACTTCTTTCGGACGGTTGAAAAAGTTGTTTTCCTTCTCCATTGGCGAGCTTCCTTCGGAAAACGCGGGGCAAAAAGACCAAATATTGAAGAGGCTCAGGTAATTGGATATCCTCCATCTTTTTTTCTGCAGTTCTTTCGCGGAAATCGACCGGATTTTCAGGGTTTAAAACTTTTAGAGGTCAAAAATTTGCCAGCTCATTAGTTTGATCGGAAATTTCAGCAAAGTTTTTGACTTCTAAAAAGTTGATTGAAATTGGCATCCCCCAGGCTGAAAGTCAAAATTTGCTGAATTTTCAAGTTTTCAAATTTTTCTAAAGTTAAAAAAAGGATCAAACTCTCAATTTCAATCCACTGAACTATTCTTTGCACTGGTTGACAAGGTTCAGTTCTGAAACAAAAAAATACTGACTTTTTTCATATTTCCAAAGTCATGTTTTGACAAAAGGCAAAATTTTCTCGATATTCAATCGGTATCGAAAACATAAAAAAACCTTTATAGTTACCCTTAAAAATCACCTTCCTAAATCGAAAATCGAAAAAGGAAGCAAGGAAACGTGTCAAGTCAAGCGGCGTGGGAAGACGGGAAAAAAATCGCCAAACAATTGGACTGCGAAAATTGTTCGCTTCGGCTGTCAAAAAATTCAACGAAATGAGCAAAAACTGACCACCGCACAAGTTTTTTTCTTCTCAACTTAATTTTTTCGAAATTGATCGGATATTTTTGGAATAGACTAATACTTATATCAACTTTCCCTCTGCGATTGGAGGTGATAAGGGAAAAAGGAAACAGTAAAAAAAGAAAAATCGGGGATTGCTCGTTTTTCTTGAAAGAAGTGTTACTGAATTTCACACTAACTTTTAGAAAGATCCGAAAAATTTGATGATTTTTTTCCCGAAAAAAAGTCTGTAACGCTCAAAAATGCTTTTAAGTCAATTTTTCAGAGGGGGGCGAAATTATGCAAAGCAATTTTATATATATTCTTGGAAAAAAGTGAAGAGCTTCAAAAACCTGATTCATGAATAGAAATTAAGCTAAAATTTTCTGTAAAATTAAAATTTCAACTTTTTCCACCTTTTTTTCAGTTACCATGGACAACTAAAAAAATAACATACAATGAATAGAAAAAAAAATGAATTTTAGCTCAAATAGCTCTTGAAGAGAAAATCCTAACAAAATAAACCATTTTTCGCGAAAAAAAAAATCTTATTTTGAAGTTTTCGACAGAAACCTTCTCTCAAAAAATTACCTTAAAAGTTATAACTTTCACAGGTAAATTAATATATAAAATCCCTTTCTCATTTCTCAATTTCTACCGAAATCGCACTTTGGCAGACTGAAGAATCCTACTAGAAAACTGTAAGTTTGACCCCACAAGTTCCATTTCAATAGCCTCAGTAGGCAAATAAGAACAATGGAGAAAGTTGGCAGGTCAAAATTTGTGGACAATAGAAAGACAGGGAAACTGTTGGACACTTCGACAAAAAGAGGCATGGAAACTATTGAATTCTCTTTTTTTTCCATTTCCAGGTGAAAAAACCTTTTCTAGTAGTTTTTCAGCAACAATGAGATCATATGAAAAATTTCACAACGTATGATTTTCTACCTTTCTTCCCGGTATAAAGACTTCAAAATAGTTTCCCAAAAACCAGCAAAAATGGATCAAACGAAGGTATACCTATTTGAAAGACGGCACAAATGAATAGAAAAATCGAGTTTCCCGTCGTTCTCATCGTCTCCTGACCATTCGTGATCGGCTTTTCGTGTCTTTTTTCCTGAAAAAATTAGATTCTCAATTTCCCAAAAAAAAAACATGTCAAACATTTCAATCTGTATGCTCTATGAAAAAAATTGAAGAAAACAATGAAAAAAATTTTGGAAAACCCTGGAAAATGTATTGGTTTGTTTGAAAACATCGAATTCGGGGCCTTACATTCAAACATGAACTTAGAAGCCCTGGTTAATTTTAAGTGACCACTTTAGGGGAAATTCGGAGTAAAAACGTGTAATCCATTAACCTCCCCTCCTATAATAGGTCATTTTTTCATACCTAATCTTCACTATGGTTTTAAGAAGCAACTTTAGTGGAATTTGGAAAAAATGCAAAACGAGTCCTTGAAGAGTCCCTGTATGTCCCAAAAAATCTTCTCAGGGACATTTTTTTAAGATCAAAAAATCAATCCCATAGTCTGTTCAGATCTTGAATGTCAAGTCGTCGCTCAAGCTCCGCCCCTAATAGTGCGATAAACCAATCAGAGAGCGAGCCATCCACAGAGTTTTTTTGAATGACGACATTGCACTTGACATTACAAATCTGGCTTGTGAGCTTTCATAGATTACATGAAAACTTTGAAAATTTTGAAAAATTCGAAATCGGGCTCATTTTCTTAAAAATTTCATCATGTTCGCCCACAAAAAGAACGTCGTTTTTCGTCGTCTCAAGATGCATTTCCTTGAGAAGCAAAAACCCATAAGGGTTGGGATCCTGTGCAAATAAAAGTGAACAACGACAAAAGGAGGGGAGAGCAAGTTCATGGCCGTCCCCGGTTTTCCCTCCCCCCACTGACCGACCTTTTTTGCGAGTTTTGAGTTTCACACACAGACGGCATCGAAACCATGCAGAAAAACGGAAAACTGACACTTTCTTGAGCCGATTTCGTGGTGAGCTTTCAAGATGCCTATTGTTTTCAAACATTCGTCAAGCTTATTCCCCCTTTTCGAACAGTAAAAGGGAAATGAATGTTTTAAAACGTCAAAATTGCGCCAAAAAGCTTACTTATCAAGTTTTTTGAGCTCTAAAGACAGTTTTTCTTCGAAAATAATGTGAGATAATCAAAACTGGAGCTTGATCCTCTCATTCCAAGAATGAAGACGTAGAGTAGGAAACTAAAAGTATCTTAAAATAGTATTGAAAGACTCATTTTTGAACCTGACCAGGCTTTTGAACTCTAATAACGATTATTATTTTTATAAATATTACATAGAAAGCTTAAAATCGGAGCTTAGCCCTACTACCTGAAAATATCAAAAACTCGTGACCTTTAAAGATTTATCAAGTTTTTTAAGACGAAAAAAATCGACTTTATTCCAAAAACAAAAGTTTCAAAACAGGCAATAAAATAGTTGAATGACTTTCCAAATTTCTACAGACAAAAAAAACGATTTAAATCGGTAAATTAACATATTTTCGAGAATAAAAAGTCGACTTTCATATCAAATTTCTTTTTGCTCTTTTGAAAAATTGAACGAGAATTAACAAAAATGACGATAAATCTGGTTAATCGACGATTAATAATTTTTTTGCCTTTCGGTTAAAATCTCAATGGTTCCCCGAAACAAAGCCCTTTAGCAAATTTCAAGAAATACTTTTTCCTTCTTCTTCTTGATCTTAAAAAAATTTCTGAACCGAAAAAGTACCTCAAGAGAAGAAGCTCTCTTTTTTTTTCGAGTTCTCAAGTTTCTTATAGAAAAAATCTGTCAAGTTGATCTTAGTTCCTATAAATGAAATAATCAACTTTTTCAATTTACCGATTTTTTCAGCTTTTTTGGACGAAAATACAACTGAGACAGCGAATAGCACATAAAAAAAACAGACTAAATCTCAAAAAACTACCCAAAAATCCCAAAATATACGGTAAAATCGAAAGGAAAACGGTTGGTCGAGATCAGAAAGGAGGAGCCGCCGGCTCCGAAAGCACAAAAGTGGGCGGAGTCTGCTCGGCGAGCCGCCGACGCCGAGCAACGCCCTCTGGTCATTAAGCTCTACCTGAGATTCTAAAAACTTTGAAAGAATTTAAAGATTACACCTAATTGTTTGCTTTTCTTAATTTCGAAACGCCATCAGAAAGTTTATTTCAATAGTTGATAAAAAATTGTCTTTTTTTTTATTAATCTTCTGGAATTTTCGCTTTAGTCCTCAAGAGATATCTAAGGCTTCCCAAGAATTAATTTATCATTTTTTTTTAATTTATAAAAAGTTTTTTTGAAACAGCAAATCTCAAGTTTTTCTTTTGGTAAAAAAATTAGAAACCAAACTCACATCTTTTTAACCGATCCATTGTAAAACCCTCAAATGATATCTCTTTAGTGGTCCCTTGTTTGAACCCTGAATTACACTTCAACTTTCAAAAAACTTTATGAACATAGAATGCGGAGCAGAAAGCACGGAAAACGCAACGAAGATAGGATAAAAAGATTTATTTTCAAAATCGAGCGAAATGAAAAAAAGGTTTATTACGTCCGAAAAAAATTCACAAACAGTCAAAAAAAGTTTATTATTTGATCGAAAAGTATGATTTTATTTGATTCAGGATCACAACCAAAAAGCTCGAAAAAAAGCGAAAAAAATTTTATTTTTAAAGAAAGTAGTTTTATTTAATTGAAAAAAAGGTTCACAACCAAAAGAAGAATAACCGTTCAAAAAAAGACCGAAAAGGAACTTTTTTTAGTTTTTTTGATTTTAAAAAGCGTTGTAGAGTAGAAAAACACTCGGTTTGAACACGTAAAAAGATAAATAATTAAAATTATCAAAAGAAGATTATAGTTAAATATTAAGAGGAAAGCTCAATTTTTTTTATGTTTCATAATCTTTAATTAACTCAAAAAGTAGATAAAAATCATAAAATTCCGAAAAAAAAGCTGAAAACATCAATATTTTAATATTTTTATGTTTAGGCATCATTTTACCGTTAGTTTCTCTCAAAATTTAATTAAACTAGGTCCGAACATGTGAGAAGTTTTTTTTTGTGAGAACACAGCGACGAATCTAATTGAACCAAACTCCAAAAAAAGGAAAAAGTAAATTAATTTAAATCAGTTAAATGTCGTAAAAGGCGTTTTGTACGTGGCCCCTGTGCTCGCTGCCGGCGGTCTTCTAATTACAGTAACCTTAAATTCCAATTTTTTTTTCCTTTTTTTGGTCCATTTCATTTTTATTTTAATTCTAAGCCTAAACTGAGCTTTCCAATTAGTTGATTATTATTTAATCTGATTTTTTTTTTAGTTCAGAACGCCTTTCTGAAGTTGTTGATTATTGAAATTGACGTTGAAATGGAAAGTATTGGCCGCCATCATGTTCTGCTGATTTGAGACGTCGCGGAGGACCTGAAATTCCGAAGAAAGTTAGTATTTTCCAAGTATTAGTGTTTTGAAACCTCGCAAGGCCTCGCGGAAACGTTCTGCGACATTAGCGACTCCAAAATCGCCGGATCTGTCGTCGATTCATTCGCGGCGACGCCTCCGTAGTCGCAGAAACCGAGTCGCTTGCTCAAGTCGGCGATTTTCTGAACGAGAGATTGAAACAACTAGGCAAAAACGCCTTCAGGGCTCGAAATCTGGTCTCAAAACTTGTAATGCGAACTCTTAGCCACTCTACCAACCTCGTGTGCTCGTGCGAGCTCCACTCTCAGCCGCTGATTCTCATCTTGGAGGCTTTTCTCGCGATTTTTCCGATTGATGCGCGACTTTTTGGCGGCTTCGTTGTTTCTTTGACGTTTCTCACGGTACCTACAAATATTATTGGGTTGGGCGGGGGGTCGATTTGAAGGTTCCAAGTCGAGAAGAACAGCTGCACGGTGTTGATGCTGATGTTGGTTCTGACGTTGATGGTGGTGGTGATCAAATATTCTGGTGGAAAAAGCTGAAAGTCCTGAGCGCAACGGTGTTACTGAGGCTGTAGAGGGGCTTCGGAGCATGAAGTTGGTTTTTAGGAACTTAGAAAACTTTATGTTTTTGATAATGATTTTTGAAAGGCTCTAACGGGAATAAAACTGACCGACTCGGTCTTTGAAAGCTTAGGGAAGTTTTTGAAGCTTCTGAAAGGCTCAGAACTAACGATTGATCTTCAGAAACTGGATTGAAGTTCTCAGGGTCCTAGGCTGTGTCATTAGAACCTTAGAAAAAGTTCTGAAGATTTTTTCCAAGGTTCCAGAAGACTTAGAACTTAGATTGGAAGCCCTGGGAACTCGAAAAATTCATTAAAAAAATCACAATTTTTTTTAATCGCTACTAATGAAAAAATGCTTTCTTAAGACCTAAAGCCATGCTCCTCCAGCCGCAGAACTTGTTGCTGAACACACTGAAACACCACCTGAAAACATCATTAGAAAGGGAGGGAAGCTGGAGTGAGCATTGAATTTGTTTTTGATGGAAATTCACAAATTTGAACTAAAAATGGCTTGGTCAACTCCAAAACCCTCCAAAAAAGAAGAAGTCAAACTCACTTTGGCGAGGTCTTCGGGTCGAGCTTACCGCCATTTGAAATGGTGGACTCGTCGGACGTCGATTCCGGCTGATAATATGGCGGTGGACCCGTCGTCGCGGCACTGTACGCGTTCAGGTGGCTGGAAAAGGAAAAATGAAAGATTTCCAAGTGTAAAATATATTAAAAACTATTCACTCAGCTTCTGAAAGCCTTCTAGAATCTTCTAGATGCAGGGAAACTCAATAGAAAGCAACTGGATTAATTGAAATTATTCAGAACTAATGGTCCGTAAAGGCCCATTTACCTAGCTCAAATTGGAGTTTTGGTAAAGCTTGCAGGTTCAAAAGGTAGCTTTAAAACTCTCATTTTCCCAATTTTTTTTTGGCTCGAAGGATCTACAAACTTCATCTAAAGCAAGCGAAACAATTGAAAAATTTTCAAATAATTCTGAAAATTCATGTTTTTGCATCTCTGGTCCTCAGCTTATAAAGGAACCGTAGAAAACTTTTTCAAATTCTTAAAAAAATTAAATAAGTTTCCAGAAAGGTTCACAGTCCTTCCGAACCCATTCCACAGTAACCCCTTCTCAGCCTCTCCAAAACCCCTCTCAAGCACTCCGGATATCCCTCTAGACGCGCACGCCCTGTTGGCGGGATGCCAACTTTCGTTATCTCGATTAGAGCTGCCCAGGTGGCCCAAGCGTTTCTCTGGACCCTCCATTAACTAGGCACTCTCTCGGTTCGTGCTTGACCCGAACCGAGCGGCGGCCGACTCAACTCGTCGATGGCGTGGCGTCATAGTGCGCTACGATTTGGCGCAGTTGGATATTTGGTAAGAGAAGGCTTGGGCAAACACGGGCTGCTTTTTGAAGCTAAACGGAGTTGGGCATTAGAGAAAGGTTTTCTAAATAATAATGATAGCTTCGAATTGTAAAAATCGTGATCAAAAAACTTTTACAGGAAATTGATTTACACACAGAAAAACATTTTCTGACACTAATTTTTCTGTGATTTTCAAAGGACGCCATTCTCTGATTTCATTAAGGCTCGAATTCTCTACATTTTTTTCTAAGTAATCGGCAAAGTTTAAAATAAGAAAATCGAGCCTTTCCGTGCTTACCTTGATATTGGAAAAAACTTCTTGAAGTTCTCTAAGGCCTCCTAACTGATCTGATATTTTCTTTTTTGTTGTTAGAAGTTTTTACTCAAAATATGAGTGTTTTTAGGTTCTTAATAACAAAATCAAAGCCGTAACCGGTTCTTAGTACCAACTCATACCTAAATCAAGGTGCGAAACTACCCAAATCCAGCCTGACTTCCTATAGGCATTACCTCAACACCGTAAGCTAAATTATTTTCTAAGACGCCCGTGGGAAGATGAGACTGTCCTTCCAAGACACCTTAACTTCCTTGAGGTACATGCAGTCTTATGACCAACTCCAACACCCCTGAAGCAAGATGAGATCATCCTTCTTGGTTCGAGCCTCTCTAACTTCCTTGAGGCACAGCCTACGAGTCATAGAGAGCAATCTCACTTGGTACCAACTCCAACACGCCTATGGGAAGAACAGATTGTCCTACCAGGTGCAAGACTTCCTATATCTACCCTAACTTCCTGGAAGCAGTTTAGAGTTTCACACTTTTACCGTAATGATAGGTGAAGTGAAGAAAACTCAAAAGCATATCAAAAGTTCATAAATCGAACAATAGAGCAAAAAATTGACTATTTTTCTAATAAGGCTTATAATTTTCGTATTTTGAAACAAATAAGACGGTCACTACGAAAATATTTCAATAGAAATAAGAAGATCGAGTAAAGCTTCAAAATAGTCCTATTTTTTTTCGAAAGCTTCTTCCAGCAAGCTTATAACTTTCAATGCACCTCAGGAATGCATTTGGCAGCTCCTCAGAGCAAAAATGTCTGAAGAAATTTTTGAGAAAGTCTACACAATTTCAGAAGAATGTTAGCTGTACGGATAACAAGAAAAAATTCGAAAAAAGCCTTCATTAACTTCTTTGGAGAACTTTGCTGAGGCTTGAGAAGAGCCTGGATTCTCCTAAATAACGAAAATGATCACAGCTATTCCTGGAAAGCTTTCCCAAGATTCAGGATGGCTTGACTTATCTTTCAAAAAATCGCTGAAGCCCAAAAAATCTAAAATGAAGAAAAGCTCTTGCAGGTAAGCTCTTTAAGCTTCAAAATCTCAGGTCCTAAAAGCCAAATTGAGCATGACCTTTTTTAAAAAACGTTATAAAGGCTCTATAACCACTCAAGCAATCCCTGAAACCAAAGTTGTCACACAGCTTCTCCTAAGAGTCTCCAGACTGTTCAGAAAGCTCCTTGAAAGCAGAAAAAGAGGATGAAACCAACTTGTAGGCGTAGTAGTTGAAGCTCTGCGGATCGAATGGCATCTGGTAGGCTGGCAGCATGGCTGTTGGCGGTGATTGGATTGCGCAAGAGAGCTAACGGACGTGTGACGCAACGAGGCTTGCTCGTGGCACGGTTCGGTGGCACTTCTGTGGCCGGCCGCCGCCGCCGTCGCTCCGGCTCCGCCCATCCTACCGTCGTTGGCGCGCTCAACGGGGGTCACACGCTTGGACCTGCCGCTTGGGACGTTATTGATCGGAAACAGGTCAAAACACCTTGATGGATGGGGGCTGGGGTGTTAAGGTGCCCTAGGAATGTAAAGAAAGGTTGGCTTGCCACGAGGAAGTGAGATTGGGATGACCTAGTAGGCAGACTTGCTTGTGAAAGACTTTCTTCCTTAAAGAGGAGCTTCGCTTCTTTCAGAATTTCGGGAAATTTTCGAGACTTGGTTACCTGTCGCCTCGAGAAGGATAAGTAAAAATTATCCTGTGCTCAGTTAAGAGTTGGGAAGCTTCTGAACTTCCGAAGAAGCATTGAATACCCTTACAAAAAACGTACTTTAAAATTTTTTTTAGCTTTTTAACTTACTGTACAAAGATTTTTTTAGTCTCAAACTGAAAAATGTTTTAATTTCCGGAAAAGAAACCCCAAAAGTTGATTTTTCATGTCGCTGTGGCCAATAGTCCAACTTTTCACTCACTAGGGAACGTTTTTCAGCTCCAGTTGAACTTTTGATGAAACTTCGCTGAACTTTACTCTAAGACCTCCTGATTCCAGAACAAGAAAAAATTTCTTGCAATAGTTTTCGTTTTCGAGTTAAGACGCTTAAAAAGCTTGAAATAGCGCTTTTTTGCCATGGTTCGCGTATTTTACGGACTTTGAAGCTTCATAACTCGAAAATAAAATCTATTGCGCGACATTTTTCTAATTTTAAAAATCAGAAGGTCCCGAAATACACTTCAGCAAAGCTTCATCAAAAAAATTCAACCAGGAGGGGGTGAAAAAAATAGTTATTTTTACAAAGTTTCTAACGCCTTTCTTACAATATAGAAACTCAAGTTTTTTCAGTATTCCTAAGGAAATTTCCTACGTAATCCCTACAATAAAGTCCTTCTATGGAAAGGTTCTAGCCTCTCTACCACTCTCCAAGTCCGAACCACTCTCTATTACCCTCTTTTCTCATGATACCATATTTGAGGTCGCGCTTAGGCTCCCTCCTTCCGACTCACCACCCATTCAATCAACTTGTACTATACATGCATAGATAGAGATCGATACTTGCCAAGGAAACTGGAAAAGACTCTCTTATTGACTAGTTTGAGATTGAGAATCTTCTCTGAAAATTGATAACCATCTCCTCAGTTGTATTTTTCTTTATCATGCATAAAAATTGCCTTTCTCTGTGATTTAGGTTTTTCCAAAACATTAAAGCCTGTAAGAAATATAATTTTCACGCAGAAACTATTCCTAGATTTCTTGCAGCTGCTAAGAATTTCCTAAAAAAAAATCCCAAAACCCAGCTGAAACATCTAGACAATGCAACGATACCATTGTGCAGATGTTCGGCAAAGTTTTTTTTTCCCTCTTCTTATCTCGGACTTGGGGACATAAAATCGGACTAGAGAGCAGGTGGCTCAGCGAGTCCAGTTGGGACAGATGTTCTACAAGAGCTGGAACTTTTTTTTTCTCAGTCCTCGGATGGGAAGCTCTGGTTCCGATTACTACCGTAAGAAGCTTGGACGGCCGAAAGATGTGTTAAACTATTTTAAGTGAAATTTTCAGATCGAAGTGGGTTCAATTGTTTGGAATCTGTCTTTAAAATAGAAAAGTTTGAAGTTTTCATGACCTTTTTCTAGGACATCGAAGATTTTTAGAGAAACTCCCACCCGTCAAGTAAATGACCTTCTATTTTGAGTTGTTGTGACATGAAATTATTAAAAATAATTAAAACCTGGAATTCCTAAAAAAATCCTTGCCTTAAAGTATTGAAAAAAACTTACCATTAAATCATACCTTCTTTTCTTTATTCCTTATTTTCCGAGCTACTCTCATCAACAAATGAATCCCTGCCAAGAGGTCTATACCACTCAATCGCGTATCGCCATCAGCGCCGCCATAGCTCAGTCGGTTAGAGCGTGGGTCTAATAAGCCCAAGGTCGCAGGTTCGACCCCTGCTGGCGGCAAATTCCTTTTTGCTATTTTACAACACTCCTATTCATCAGTTTTATCGGGAAAAAGATTGTTGAGATTCAGGATAACCGTTTTCATCATCAGTTTTCTGTCTTCAAAAGATATTAAAATGCGCAGAACCGTAAAAAGTCGATAGATATGGCTGGAAAGTTGCTCAAAGTTGCTCTTTAAATGCTGCTCGGGCCGTTTGTGTTGGAAGTTGTGTTGGTGAGAAAGGTGCACGCCAAAATTGAGCTTTTTTTTCGAGGCGTCATCTCTGGGGCGAGTTTTCCGCGTCTAAAAAGGCTAGGATTTCTTTAACATTCGAAAAACATTGGTGGGAAAAGACAGGAAAGAGGGAAAATCACAAGCACGGCCAGTCAAAAAGACGAAAAAGCTCAAGCTCACACGAAAAGCGATTTTCTAAGCTCAAAGCGTCATGACAGGTTGTTGGGCTTCTTTAGAAACGGCGCTTCTGAAATGACGTTATTTGGAGTTGGATGGTACCTAATAGAATATAGATAGCTTCCATTTGAATGAACTTTCCTGACGCCGGGTGTTATTTTAATCAAACTTCAGATTTATTATACAATTTTCTGAGTAATTTTTTAATGTTATAAAATGAAGGTCCTGAAAGTCTCAACCTACAAAAATTCGTTTTTCGAGAAAATAACTTTCAAAAAAAACCATCAAAAGTTGGTTGTTTTTGACTCCGAGCCCGAATTTTTCAAAGACCAAAAGTTGGTTCAGGGTTCAGTTTTTAAAAATACAAAAGTTTTCACTTCAGAAACTTCTTTTTGTGGAGTTCAAAGGTACAGGGAGGGGCTCAAACAAGAATATCTACTGTTAACTACTTAGAAAGGCTTTCTGAATTTTTTAAAGGCTCAGAGAGAATTCTTTCGTAATAGGACCCTTTTCAGGCTTCTCCCTGCTCCTTCAAACCTTCCTAAAAATTGACTAATTATAAAGTTTTAATATTTCGAAGATTCAGGAAAAATACTTCTTTCAGTTCATCATCTCAGCAACTCACATAAATATACTTTTTGAATAAAACTCGACGATTTAGAATAAGGATCGGGACCGTCGGGAGGATTTTTGGCTGCTCTCATTCTGGGAAGTACCGTCACCGGCTCCGTCTCCGTCCATTTGTCGCCAGAAATCAATCAATATTTTTGGCTCACAGGTCGGTACAATTTATTGAATTTTCAAATGATATTTTGCTTGCAGAGATGGTATGGATTTTTAATCGAAAAAAATCGAAGCAATTTTTGGAATATTAAACGTTCTAAATTTATAATCATATACTCTTCAAAAGAGCTTTTTTTCAACAAATTAGCGTATTTTCCATTAAATGATGTCCTCTTACAAATTTTAAACAAAAATGTGATTTTTCAAAACTTTGGTTCCCTTTGAAACTTCCAAAGATGAAAATTAGAAATTCTAGTCCATTCTGCTGGAAAAAACTTGAATATTTCCTTCATGGGATCCTTTGTACCGACCTGGGAGCCTTTTTTCAAATACTCAGAACAAAAATGAATATTTTGGAACTGATATCGACTTAAAGGACAATGGACAGTTGGACGGACATGGGACTATCGAATTTAGGAACTTTTCAGAAAAATTCTGCGTTTGCAATCGAAAATGAGACAATCAAGCAGACAGAAGACAACACAAAAAACACAGACTTTGAAAAAAATATTAGAAAAATACCTTGACGGCGTTTTTGAGGCGTTCATTGTGGTGTGGGTCCGCAGGGGATGGGTAATAACTTGGCGAAACTGCTTGTTGAACACCAAGGTGATTATACTGAAATTTTTTTCAGATTTCTATTTTCTTTTTATGATCGAATGAGTATAATAAAAAGATATTAAAAACCAAGATTTTATTGGTGTAAAATAATTTTCATGAGGATGGGTATGAACAAGTTTACATGAAGTTGAAGAAACCGATCCTAAATCCCGTTTTTGAATAAACTTTTTTTCAAAAATTCATAACTCTCTTTAAAATTGAGCTATGTTTATTAAACCGGTACTTCCAGGATCCTCATTTCAAGGGCTTTCAAATGAAATGTTCTAGGGTCCTTGAATTTCAATTTTTAAAGAAACATTTTTGTCAAAATCAAGCTCTTTTTTGTTAATTTACTATTTAGTTATTCCTTTTTAGATCTTTATAATGAATTATTAGCTTCTTGAACTGTATCATCTCTTTGAAAAATCGCATTTTTCGAATTCCAAAAATCCCTTCAAATCCAATCCGTTTCACTGAACCCCAAATTTTTCAAAGCATCCATGAATTGGTCGCTTGGACCTTTCAAGAGCCTTCTATGCTTAATTATTCATCTTATTCGTTTCTCCTTATTTCTGCAAACCTTATTTTTTTTTAGTTTGAACCGAAATAAATTCTTAATCATTAACAGACAAATGGCCTCTAGTATACAAATTTTCCAAACCAACCCGTCCAAAGTGTGGACCAAGATCCAGGCGTAGGTTGTGAGCAGAAAGTTGGGCCATCGATTGGGCGATAAGGCGAGTTTTTCGGTTTCCAGGGGTACCGGGAAAGATAAGGCGATGTAGAAGTAGGTGACGAGTTCCATCACGTACAGAAGTCCTTGCATGGTGACCTGGGAAAATAAATGCTTATTGGAGCAGAATAAGCTCGATTCTTTCGAACTAAATGAGAGTTTGAAGCTATAGGACATGTCGAAAATAAATGGAAGGGTAGATCCCAACCTTTTTCTTCTTATTTTCAAAGCTTACCATTCATAGTACTCTGAAGCTTCGAGTCTTGAATCTTTTTAATAATATTCAAGCGAAATTCAGACCTTCTGTGCCTTTCAAAATTCTAAACTTTAATCAAATTTAGTTATAAAAAAACGATAAAGCTTCTCAACAACCTATCATCTCGCTCAATGTCGTTTAGACCAAATTTTCGCTCAAAAACCTTTTGAAAATTACGATTATTTTTTCATTTTCCTTTCTAACCTGCTGCACAAAAGCCGTCTCCACAGCTCTCCTCTTAACCTGTTGGGTTGTTTCAAACGCGCTTGCCGCCTAAATTTTTGCTTGTTTAGTTGAAAAATAAAGCGAAAAATTACCTGCTTTTTCCTGTTGTGGATATGCATACGGACAAAAGTACAGCAATTGATAAAGGCGAAAACCGAGATGATTATGAGGCCCCTAAAATAGTTCATCTTATTTTAAAACTTTGAATATTTGAATATTTGAATACTTATTTTCTCATGGTAGAGCTTGAAAAGAGCTTTTTCATAGTGTATAGAAACTACTTATAGATTTTTTGAGGTCAGAAAATTCAGAAAAGTCAGAAAAATCAGATTTTTAAAAGTCAGAAAAAATGGACTCAAAAATAGAGGAAAAATTTCGTCTTTTTATAGTTTCTGGTTGTATTTTCATCGTTCCCCCGTTGGTTTTAATGGATTTTCAGCCTTTTCCGATTAATTTTTGGTATAATCAGAATTCTCATGACCTCTTCTTTCTAATGATAACAGAAAAAACTAAAAAAGCAAATAAATCAGGTGATTACCGGAAGAATTCGGCATAGTAGACGTTGATCATTTCGCAAGGCGGACTAACGTAGTCCAACATCCAACGTTCTCGCGAGAATCCCATCCGGCAATCCACTGGAAATAGGTTTTTTTCTATTTTAGTTTTAGAGACGTTTTTTTTTCGTTTTTCTTTGAATAGTAGAAGTTTAGATGCAAAATCAATAAATTCAAAAAAATTTGGAAATTTCAGAGGACTTTTGAATGAGTAGTAATTTTGGATACTTTCATATATTATAGAGAAGCTCTGAAAAAAAGAAAAAAACTTTGAAAAATTGAGAGAGAAAAAAATAAGGTCTTTGAAAATCTTTGAAGGGGGGCGGGGGAGTCCAATTATTGGTCCAAAAAAATTCTTCAAAAATTCGGTTATTTTTTTTCTCTTACCGTGAGAAAAATTGTATTTTTTTCTAAGAAATATTTTTTTCTTTACACATTCAAACATCTTCGAAAAAAATTTCAAAAAAAGAAACATTTTTAAAAAAATTGATGTTTCCGCTAAGTTATTCCAAAAAGCCATCAGAAAAAAGTTCAAAAAAAATTTTTTTTTCCCAAGCAATCCATAAATTGCTCAATTCCTTTTTCGAACTGATTCTAAAAAAAAAGTCAAAAACCAACTTTTTCTTCCAAAAAATGCATAACTTTCTCCTGTTCCACCCATTTTTCAACTGGCAAACTTCAAAAAACCCATAAAAGTTCGATTCTAAGCCCCTTTCTAAATCTCCTATTTGTTTCCTCATGTCCTTCCATTTTTCAACTGGAAAGCTTCACAAAATAATCCAGAAAAAGTTTATTTTCCAGTTATTTGTGAAGATCTAAAAAACTTGATCATTCGGCACCATTTCCATTAAAGTTTTCATTTTCAAGCTATTTTTGGATATTTTCTTAATTTTTCTCATATCAATTCATTATCCAATCGAGAACCTTGAATAATCGTGTAGGATTTTTTTTTTTCAACCTATTTTCTAAGGTCATATATGAATTCAATCATTTTGTCTTTTTTTTCAGAAAAAAAATTTTTCAACCAACCCGTAATATACCCTCTTCCGTTAATTTTTCGTGAAAATTCTTGAAAATATTATGGATATATTTACTTTAAACTGGAAGATCTTCAAAAATCCGTTCAGATTTCATTCCCCTGTCATCTTAGGTCATGTTCCTAACTCTGTTCCTTTCCATCCAAGTTTCAAAATTTTTATAACTTTCAATAGCTAATTGCGGCCATTTTTCATTCGAAACCCTATTTTCTTGAAACACTCACCAATTATTAAGAACCAGGAAAATCCAAACGAAATTCCAACAATTCCAACGACAAGAAAAGTAGTGAATCGATCAGTGAAGATGGTCGTATAACTTGTGGGAAAATACAAGGAAATGAACCTTAAAAATTAAAATTTTACCTGACTTTATCACAATGCTCACCTGTTAAAGGATATGATTAAATGTGTATAAATTGAAATATCGTAGCAGATTAGGCAAAGTTGGGCCAAGGTTGACGCGATGTTCAGTGTTTGCAGGGAGCGAATGTCACTGAAAAGCAAAAAATGACAAAAATCAGCGATAATATCAGAAAAATGTAAGAGATATTGCTTCAAATTGCCGTCCGGAGCTCACAAAATGAAAAGAAAAATAGCAAAAGGGAGAAAGGTCCCGGGGAGATCTGAACTCCCGTCGCAGGATTCAGAGTCCTGAGTGCTAACCGCTACACCACGGGACCGACGGCTGGCCGGGGCCGCTTTTGCATCCAATTTCCTCCCAGCTTTCTTCTCCTTATGACCATTCTTAATGAATATTTTAAGAATTGAATATTTCTAATATTTTGAGTGGACGTGGGAAAACATCATACAATTTCAACTTTTCTTATCTGAAAAAAAAACTGAAGTTCTAGAGCAAACAAAAGACGACAATCTCTTGTCTCGCGATGCTCTTTGAGACTATTCTGAGTGACAGTCCGGTTCCTTTTGTTCTCTTTGAAGCTTTCGGACGGTCAGCGGTTCCGTGGTGTAGCGGTTAGCACTCAGGACTCTGAATCCTGCGACGGGAGTTCAAATCTCCCCGGAACCTTCTTCTTTTGCCCGTTTCTTGATCTCTGATTTTGAAAAACTCTTAAAAACCGGAATCAAAATTAATTTTTATGATTATTAGGACAGGCTAGACCCAATTGAGATTAATTTCAGACGAAAAAAAAAATCTGGGTGGGCGTTTTTTTTAAATAGAAGCTCGAATATTGAGCAATTAGGCTTCTTCCTTAAAGGTCGAAAAACGTCAGTGAGTTCAAGTGTGTTCCGAGAATTTTGAGGTAGTTTGAACTCAAGAAAAACCGAGCTTATAACTCCTTTAAAGATTTTCCGAAGGAAAAATAAAAAAGCAGTACTAAACCTCTCACACTTTGAGTCAAACTTTCTGAAAATATAAATCTTTGGAGCTTGACCTTCAAAGACTTCTATCTTTTTTTCTGAAGTAAAAACTACCAAAAGGTCTGTCGCTAACGTTTTTAACTTTTTATCAAAGTTAAGATTCAAAAATTGCCTGAACAGTTTTCTTATGAATTAATTTTTATTACAATCCGGTCTAGCTTGTCTTCAAGAGTGTGTCTATTAAAACTAATCCTAGCAATTCTTCATTTTTTTCTCTTTAAAAAAAAGCTGTCAAAAAAACCCAAAAGAGCAAAAGAGAAAGGTTCCGGGGAGATTTGAACTCCCGTCGCAGGATTCAGAGTCCTGAGTGCTAACCGCTACACCACGGAACCGCTGACCGTCCAAAAGCTTCAAAGAGGACAAAAGGAACCGGACTGTCACTCAGAAAAGTCTCAAAGAGCAACGCGAGACAAAAGATTGTCGTGTTTTATTTGCTCAAAAACTTCAGTTTTTTTTTGTTCAGATAAGATAAAATTCACATTCATGATGTTTTCCCACGTACATGATCGATTCGCAATATTGCAACTTTCATTTTTTTGAGAAATTATTCAAATATAGTCGTAAAGAAGAAGGAAGGTGCAAGGAAATTGGCTGCGAACGGGGCCACGGCCAGCCGTCGGTCCCGTGGTGTAGCGGTTAGCACTCAGGACTCTGAATCCTGCGACGGGAGTTCAAATCTCCCCGGGACCTTTCTGCCTTTTGCTATTTTTTTTCTGTTGTATGACTGCAATAGTCTTAGTTCTCCCATTTTCTGCTCTCATAGTAGATATTTTTCGTTAGGTTTCTGAGATAATTATCTTGCCTAACTTTGTGTTACTTCTCTTCTATTTCCATCCTGATTTTTCGACCTTCATTCCCAGCCTTTGCGAAACTTTTGCAACTTTCCTCCCAAAGTTGGATCTCTCCTTTCTCATCAAACAAAAAGGTGTCCTCCTCGGGAATTAATTATATTTGCCCTCAAAAAAGGGCACCATTAGCCGAATTACACACGATCTTAGGCCTTTATGAACATGCGTTATTGTATGAATTCGAAAAAAAGATGCTTTTTACTTGATTACATCCTTAGGGGATGCGAAAAATGACATGTAATCACGAGGCTTCCGTGTTTTTTTTTCGCCTAAATTGTAGTGTGATCAAAAATTATTCTTTGGCTTGTAAAGAAAATTCACAAGATTTCAAACTCCACTTTCAATTTCAAAAAAAAAAAATGGTGTATGGAAGTGAAATGAAAGAAGAAAAGAGAGATCGAAACCCGAGAATCTTTTGAGTGACGTTTGAAACGCAAGACTTGGTGCTGCTGGTGCTGGAAATGAAATACATTTCACTTGGTCGCGGATAAATGGAAGAAGAAATGAACTGGTTTCAGAACTTTTTATCGAAACTTTTGAACTTTCATGTTCTAAAAACTGAAAATACAACTAGAGAGATCAGCTTCATAAATAATCTTCTAAAAGGGGAGGTCATTTTTTTTTTTTGGGGGGTTGGGAACTCTCTGAAAATTGGCCAGAACTTATTGGTGTACCAGAGGAAGGTCCTGAAAGTTTCAACCTGCACAACTTCCAAGTTTGCGAGAAATTAAGGCTCAAAGCCTCGAAATAGCCTATTTTTATGGATTTTGAGGGTTCCCTTTGAGGTCTCTTTTCTCAAAAACGAGGAAGTTGTGCAGGTTGAGGCTTCTAGAATTTTCTTCGGGTACATCAAGGAGCTTTGTGGCCATTTTTCAGGAAGTTTCTAACTGCAAAGTAAAATGACCTATTTTGTAAGTGGCAACAAGAGAAGTTAGAGAAAAAATAACCTAGATTAATGAAAATTATGAAAAGGTTTCAGAACCTTTTTTAGTAACGTTTTTAGTGTATTTTTTCCGCTCAAGTGGTCACTTAGGGGGCATTGATTCATCGTTCAAATGGCCATGAGAAGCTCTTGATTTCCCTTGGAGAATTGGTCACTTAAGGGACTTGCCATTCTCTATCAATTTCCAACTCATTTCTTTTTGAGTTACATCCAAAAGGTCACTTGATAGATGTACGTTTCAATCCATTATTTTATTGGTCATTGGGATTATCTTTTCAATGCTAGAAAAACCCCTCCGTTTTTTATTATTATTCTTCTGGAAGCAACTAATGTTATGACACCTTTCAATTTGCTTTAAAAATTTCATCTAACAAGTCATTTTGCGGTTAAAATCTGGCCAGAATCTGCCCGATGTACTTGAAGAAGATTCTGAAACTCTCAATCTGCCCAGCTCACTATTTTTTGAGAAACACCGGGCTCAGGGCCCAAATAAGGGCTATTTTCAGGATTTTTTCGGGGTTTCTTAGACTTTTAGGTTTGTTTTTCATAATTTCTGGAAGTCTGCCTCACTTCCATTCACAAAACTTCTTTAACGAGCTCTATTCTTCCAAAAATTCAATATCATAAATATTTGAGAAACTGGAAGCTCAGAAAAATCTCTGATGCAACTGTTTATTCAGCTTTACCTAATAAAAAAATTCCCATTTCAGTCTAATTTTGAATTTTGATCAGAAGCAAATAATACATGAGCCCTTTTCGAGAGATTCAATGAAAAAAATTTGGTTTTTGCCCTAAAAATTTCAAAAAGTCAGAAACTAATCTATATAATTTTATCTTTTCGTAAAAAATTCGAAAAACTCACAAAAAAATAAGACAGGAGCAAAGTAGAAGGCCCAAACTGAGACGAAAATCGCATCGCCAATGGCCTGGAAATGATAAATTTACGTTTTCTCAATATTTTCCCTCCAATAGTTCATTCACGGCCAGTTTGGCTTGGGAAAAAGAAACAAGCGCAGAAAAACATGCCGATTTTCGTGTCAAGATATTTATAGGAGCTTAGCCGGTGTTTCTTTTATTTAAATTGAACTTCATTGCTAAATTCGTGGAAAAAAAGGTTCTCAGGAGAATCTTTTCATATCCTAATTATTCTTTCGAAAATCAGTTCAAAGGAACTTGAACCATCATATAAAGGACACCTTGAAACGGAAAAATGGCGCTTTTTTTGTTCAAGGGTCAAATCAATCCTAGAAAATTTTGGACTTCAAAGAAAGATTTTTTCTGTGTTTTTTTAGTTTTCGTGTGAATTTTGACTGATTTATTAATTATACAACCAAAAAATCTTTAAAGGAACATCAAACACGTCTCAAAATAGATTCCGACGTACGTTTTGTTGCTTCTAAAAGTAAAAATGTTTTTATTAATTCTTTTTTTCAAACCTTTTTTGTACTGAATATTCATTTGAACAACTATCTGATCAACTAATTTTATTATTATTTTTCGCCTTCTCTCCAGCATCTTTGTATTTTCCCGTTCTCTCTGAACCTTCTCAGAACCTGCCTATTTTAAGGCTCAAGTTCAAAGAACTAGAAGGCCGAAAAGCAACAAAATCGGGCAGTTGCGAAGGGGGAGAAAGAAGGAAACGTAATTATCGCACCAAAAAAAAATTGGTAACATTATTGGGTAGGCCTTTTGATTAAGTTTGTGCGCGATCGAATAAACACGCTTTTTTCCTTGGTTACTAAATTAGGTACAGGGAAAAAGGTGTCGTTAGCAACATATAAAAAAAAGTTAATTTGACCGAGTTGGATTATAATGTTTGTAGTTTGGTTTCAGATTTGAGATCAAAAGATCGAATTGAAACATTTTTTCTTGCAGAAAACGTACATTCGCTGAGTGTGACTGAGCTTTTCGAGTCGCTAAAAACCTCAAAAATCACGGAAATTCTTATAATTTGGGCAAAATATATAAAGAATCCGTTTCCAGAAACCTTATGAAATTGCTTACAATGAAGATATTCAAGCCCAAAAATTCAAAATTATAAAAAAAAACAAGTCGCTAAGGGTCGGTTGCAGCTCAACACGCAGCGCGACCGCGACGCTTCGAGCCATTCCTCGTGCCGCGAAGAAATTTAAAAGATCATATGTATTACAATTGTCCGAAAGATACACTTAGACAAAAAAAAATTGGAAAACAATTCCAAAATATTGAGCAACATCCTACGGTCGCATTTGGAATGGCTCTGGAAGAATAAATGTGAGCGAAACTCGCTGAAAGTCGGGTGCAAGCTTTCAAGTTTCTCCACGTGTTTTAGTGACCAAATTTTGAACACCATCATGATATTTTTTTCATTAAAAACACACCTGAAGCTGTAAAAGTCGTCCGAACGAATTTCTGAGCTGAGACAACCGATTGATGTAGATGGCAATGAAGATATTGCACAGGAAACCCAGAAATGATGTCTGAAACTTCCATATTCCCATTAAGATCTTTTAAAAATCACCAAGAATATGACGATAGCTGCAAATTTGTCGACGGTTTGTATTGGTACCACTTTTTCCAGCATCCATCAAGT